CACCAGCTTTACCGGAAGCAGCGCACGCGACGGCTGATTTCTCGACGAGAGTGACGGCGATTCCTTTCTTGGCGAGAAAATAAGCAGTGCATACGCCGATTACGCCACCGCCGCATACAACGACCCGCTTTGAGGTTTCTCCATCGATTTGGTTTTTCGCCGCCATTGATTTCGAGCAGATCGTGATTGTTCGTCGGGATTACGTCGGAGGGAATAATAACGATGAGATCACCGCCATTACCGAGATGAGGTAGATGACTCACCGAGTCCACACGTTTGTTAGAAAACTATTTATTGGGCTTAGTTTCTTTTTGGGCTGATCTTTTGAAGCCCATTTATTAGATTATCACTACTCTCTTGTATGTGTGTTTCCTTAGATATTTAATTTATTGGGTCCGAAATTTTAAACATAGAAACCTTATATATGTGCAGATATTTAAAATAATGTTTGTTATATTGTTCTTATTTAAAATTGTTAAGCATCATATAATAAACAAAGTATGTTGATTTAAAATTAACTATAAGTCATCGTGTATAAGACAAGTCCATAATATAAGTATTTTGTCATAAAATTGAGTTGAGAGTTTTGAAACTCATAGATAAAAACTCTGCTATTCTCTGTTTGTTTAGGTATATACTTGTAGGAAATGAATTAAAATGTGATTGATTTTAGATGTTTTAAGAAGTTGAAAAGGACTTGTTGAAATAAATAATGGGGAAAAGGACAAGTGACCAACTACTAACAATCATACAGGCCATTCCAAATTTGGGCTCCACCACTTTGACGACAAAAGCCCATTTATAGGGCGGCTCTTCTTCGGCCTTTAATCAACCACACATACACTCCTAAGTCCTAATGATTATTCAATATTTTTATATTTTTGAACAAATAATAGGCACTGTGATGTTGTCAACTTTCAGTTAGATAGACCCGCCGAAACTTTTTCTTATAATATTTATATTTCATTCTGTTTATGATAATTATACTCCCCTACTTAAACAGATGCTTCTTTATCTTCTTACGCCTTTCTTATTTAGCTGATGTGGTCATGTGGTCGACATTTTCTTCTCCACAGGAGAAGTATTGTTTCTGAAAGTAATGTACCCAACACAGAACAATATTTGTCATATATTATTGACCAAAAAACAATGTAGAGATATACTCCAATAATGTTTTGGGTTGTTTAAATTATTAATATTAATTAAGTCAAAAAAAGCCGGCGCCAATGTGGGGAAAAAGCTTCATACACTTTGATGTTTTTTTTTTGTCATCTGTTGGTATAATTATATTGAAGATGTAACCATCGAATTACAAACTCAAAAGCTGCAACTTGACAACCCAGCGAACCAAAAAACTACACTAAGCACCCAGCTTCATACACTTTGATGTAATCTGTCCTTTTGTTTATAGCTTTATGTATATTGCCCTCACTTTTGCCTGTTCATGGCTCGTATGATGCTGGTTCGTGAAACGTGTGATTCCATGCACTTAATAGTATATGATAATATATTATCAAATGATCAAGTTATTAATATCCCAATCCTACATTTGAAAACTATTCACATTTGAGTTAAAAAGTTGATAATAAATTTCAGACTTGAAGGAAAAGTGAGCAACTCTTGATACAAAAAAATAAGTTTTTGCAACATATCATATGATTTCGGAATTCTACATAAAAGTAGAACAAATCGATAAGTTTATATATCAAATGAAATAGTAATTTGGTAGGTACTAAATTAAAACGTTTTGATTTTCCGCGCATAGAATAAAATAAAAAGAGTAACTCTTTATTTGTCGTCCAACAAAGAATCGCTTTTGAATCAAGCTATAGTAAAGGTGTTTGGTGTGTGGCTTAAGCACGAAGGTCATGGAACGCCGTCGTTTCAACGACGACCATGACATTAATGCAGATGTGTGCGTGTGGATATATACATGCACACGTGTGGGAGGTGAAGGTACAAAATATGCATACGGCTTAAGGATAAGCGAGAACGGAAGGACATTTTGTAGCAGCATCTTTCTATTCTATGCAACTAAGTAAACGAACCACATGCACCTGTTTTCTTTATTTTATTGCTTTCATGAATCTTTTGTTGACAGCATTATTGTTTTAATGATAAAGTTACTCTAAATTAACAAAATAATATTGATTGAATCTGGATGATAATTTTTTGTATATAGCATCGTTTTACCAAGAAATTTATCATTCTTCCATTTATACACATTCAGTATCAGAATTGGCAGAAAAACATGAAAACTGTTGTGGAATGAACACCATTTAGATTTTAATCTGCATAGTACAACAAGAATCACATACTAATTACTATAAATCATTAGCTAAATTAGACAAACTAAAATTTTCACTTTATGTTATAGTATAAGTAAAACCCTTTAACAAAAAAAAAAATTTCACTTTATTTTCATAATAACTACTCTTATAACTTTTGTGCTTGTAATATCTGTCACTTTTAATAAATTTGGTGACAGTTCGACTTAACATCCGTATAAAACCGTTAACAATTATTAGGAGACCAATAATAAATCGTTTAATATCTAATGACTAATGGCGAATAAAAAGAAAATAATGCAAGTGGAAGAATATCTAAACACGTTAGTAGACCAATAGCAATTACAGTTGCAAGTTTACACGACAGGAGGAACAAGACAAGAGTAGTTTTGCCTTTGTTAAGAATAATGAGCATGACACGTCACTTAAACTTACACGTGGAAGGACGAGACGTATACACGTGGACATACTGGGAAACAGCTGTTAAATATTTGTCCGGTTATCGTAAGTTTTTGAATTTAAAAACTGTATTTAGCCGAATTAGGTCATGTTCCACGTGCCTTTTTTTCTGCACCACTCTCTTTTCCACAAGAGGAGCAATGATTTTTTGGTCCAAAAATATACAGTTGTAATCTTGGACGGTGTGTCTTAAATAAAATAATATATGGACGGTGTTTTCTTTAATGTTTTCATTGTTCATATGAATTTCTCGGTGGTCATTTCAATCACAAAATGTATTATACCCGAATTTTTTTTCTTCAATTCAATAATTGACGATGTACGTTGTGTATTTAAGTCTCGTAAATTTGTGTATGTTGTATAATTTTTTTCTTCAAACGTATTCTTTTTACTATATGTTGTCATGTTTATTCAGTTACAAATAGTATATTTTCGTTTATAAAACTTAATGTAGTGATTTAGTAGATACGAAGAATGATCAAAGTTAATTTGTTTTTTAAATAGACTAAGATTAAATCTTTTTGGTATTTTCTATCTTGAGTGAGTAAGACATCGTCAATCAACCATCAACATCATCATCAATCAAAACCATCACTTATTGATCTATTTCTGGTTTAAGAAAACTTGTAATTGTAAAACAACTTCAATAAAATATTTGTAAAACTAGCAGACCAAAACCGACAGTCGGACCATCGATCATAGAAACAACGAGCAAGGATATAGTAATATACCGTTAAGTCTCACAAAAGAACACGTAAACCCAATATAATAATTACGCAAGGTACATCTAGAGCCTATTGTTCCCATCACAAATTATCTCTTAACATTGTTAATTATTCACAAATTCACTCAACGTATTTATCTCGTGATTGATAATATTTTTCAACAAATCGGCAAAAATGATATATAACTCAAAAAGTATAAATTCAAATGTTTTTTGGCTTTTTGTCTTGTTAATTTATTTTTTAGACATCTTATAAATGATTAAGAACTAACAGTACTATTATAATTTTAAATAAAAAGAGAATTATGAACCCCGTTGGAGGGGAGGTTAGGGAGGCGTGCATGAACATTACCTGACGTTTACCGACCTGACTCGTACCGTACGTACCAGATCCAAAGAGCCTTTAAAAACCCCGCGTTTTATGACCGACACGTGGCAGTGTCTAAATGGATGACAGTTAGAGTTTTATTAATTGTTTTTTGTTTGATCAACAAGTTTATACAGCCTGGCTTTTTAATTCATTTTTTCGAATAATAAATAATTATTTCAGGAAATAAAGGCAGTGATGATTTTGCGTTCCAATTCGGCAACCTATATTGTCGTTTTCCGCCACGTCACAACCTCCTATCTTTTGTTAGCCGCACATTTTACATCACGTTTCTTAAACCGAACACTAATATCTAACCATTTTTATACATTCACCTAAATTGCACACACGCTTCTGTTTCAAATCATAAAAATCCCATGTTAATCAAGTTTCGCTTCAAATTATTGAGGTTTAAGATCTCTTTCGATCATAGAGCAACTATATTTGATTTAATCATGTCATGCACAGTTATACGTATGAATTAGGTGATTGTGTTTTGTCTAGTAACTATACCCTATTTAAAATGACAATTTGATCTTTTAATACAATTTGTGGTCAATAATTTTGATTAGTTTTCAACCCGGAAAATCGGTTATATGTAAAGTAGATATTATCATAAAGTTTTTATGTGAAGTGCTATACAGCCTGGCTTTGCTATTCTAAAGTCAGACTAACATTAAAAAAAAAAAAAACTGTCCTTACCCAAACCTAACCGTTATCATCTTTTTTTTTTTTTTCTTTCAGATATTTCTTTTTAATTTTCAATTCATCTCAAAAAATTTAAATTCACCTCAAATTGTGCGAATATTATCATGGCTTTGATAGTTGGGTTTCGTGATTTTGTCTCTTTAACTTCCCACTTTCCCTACGCGCTCTATAAGCTCGTGTTCTCGCAACCTTAGGCAGTGACGCTCGATTGATATCCACGCTCAACTGTACGAATTTGCTGATCTGAATAAAATAATTACGAAAACGACAAAAAAGACACATCGACGTAGTCAGGTTTCGACGCGTGTCCACTAACAGCTGTATCGCAAACTTTGAAAAACCGCTTGCGTGGAAGAAGCGTTGCCCATGACTTCTCCACCGTCCTAACCGGTTTCCGGTTATACACCTCTCTTAAATCCCTGTATAAATAATTTTGTCCTCTCTTTAGTTTCTCGAACTTGTTTCTGGTTCATCTCTCAAAACCAAAATCACTAGAGAACCAAATTTGTTGATAAAACCTCAAAAATCAATGGCTGATAGGATTAAAGGTCCATGGAGTCCTGAAGAAGACGAGCAGCTTCGTAGGCTTGTTGTTAAATACGGTCCGAGAAACTGGACGGTGATTAGCAAATCTATTCCCGGTAGATCGGGAAAATCGTGTCGTTTACGTTGGTGCAACCAGCTTTCGCCGCAAGTTGAGCACCGGCCGTTTTCGGCGGAGGAAGACGAGACGATCGCGCGTGCTCACGCTCAGTTCGGTAATAAATGGGCGACGATTGCTCGTCTTCTCAACGGTCGTACGGACAACGCCGTGAAGAATCACTGGAACTCGACGCTCAAGAGGAAATGCGGTGGTTACGACCATCGGGGTTTCGATGGTTCGGAGGATCATCGGCCGGTTAAGAGATCGGTGAGTGCTGGATCTCCTCCTGTTGTTACTGGGCTTTATATGAGCCCAGGAAGCCCAACCGGATCTGACGTCAGTGATTCAAGTACAATTCCGATATTACCCTCTGTTGAGCTTTTCAAGCCGGTGCCTAGACCTGGTGCTGTTGTGTTACCGCTTCCCATTGAAACGTCGTCGTCTTCTGCTGATCCACCGACTTCGTTAAGTTTGTCACTTCCTGGTGCTGACGTAAGCGAGGAGTCAAACCGTAGCCATGAGTCAACGAATATCAACAACACCACTTCGAGCCGCCACAACCATAACAACACGGTGTCGTTTTTGCCTTTTAGTGGTGGGTTTAGAGGTGCGATTGAGGATATGGGGAAGTCTTTTCCCGGTAACGGCGGCGAGTTTATGGCGGTGGTGCAAGAGATGATTAAGGCGGAAGTGAGGAGTTACATGACGGAGATGCAGAGAAACAATGGTGGTGGATTCGTCGGAGGATTCAAGGATAATGGCATGATTCCGATGAGTCAAATTGGAGTTGGGAGAATCGAGTAGAGAGAGTGAGATTTTTAGGAAACTGTTTAAATCGCGTCATGGATGGACATGGAGAAGAAGAAGAAAAATGCTCTGTTTTTTTCTCCTTTGGATTAGGCATAAGAATTTTGGGTTTTAAGGGAATGTATAGAGGAAATCGAGTGAACAACAAAGCTCGAAATATGGGGACCTAGAGACGAAGACGAAGATCGAAATTTCTCTTAAGCTATTCAGGAAAATTAAATAATATTTTATTTATAACTATGCTTAATAATAATCAATCTAACTTAATACACAAAGTATTTAAGTGGAGATAATGATGATTCAGTTAAAGAACAACTTTGTCCAGGATTGGTAAAGACTTGCATTTGGCAACTAAAGGCACTGCTTTGGGCATGGTAATACCCCTTCCTTCCGACATGTCAACTGCCACATCATTGTCTCTCTCCCAATCAAAACACTGGATCAACGAGCCTAAAGCTAAGCTCAGTACAAGTTGGGCTAGGCCCATACCTGGACATGCTCTTCTGCCGATTCCAAAAGGCAGATACTTACCACGATGGGTCTCTGATTCAAACCTCTCTGGTTTGAAAGCTTCCGGGTCATCCCATACCCTCGGGTCTCTTTGAATAGCCCACGCATTGACAAATAGCCAGGTGCCACGTGAAATGTCAAATCCAGCGACTTCACTGTCAGCGGATGAAGCGTGTGGGACAAGTAACGGCGCCGCCGGATACAAACGGAGTGTCTCAGAGATCACATTTGTCAGATACGGACACTTGCCAGTATCTGATTCCTCCAACAGACGCCCTTCTACGGAAACGTTGTTTAGTTCCGTTTTCAGTTTCATTAAAACCTCTGGATGATTTAGAAGGTTAGCCATAGCCCACTCCAACGTCACCGCCGTTGTGTCCGTTCCGGCAAGCAATATCACCTGAATAAATCCTTTGACGATATCAATATTGATACTTCCTATTAACGATTCAAAACCATAGGAATTAAAAATTCATTTACGTACCTGTACAAGCCCTTTGATGATATCGTCTGTGTAATGCTCAGGTTCCGATTCTTGAAGAGACAGCAAATGAGTGATCATCGTTTTCTCAAGCTCTGTTTTCCCTCTGTTTCTCCGATGCTCGTCAACTAATTTCTGCATAAACTTGTCCAATTTCGAAGATAGTTTCTTCGCTCCCTTTAAGTATCCATCGTGATCAAAGAGCTTCAGAATCGGAAGAAAATCTCCAACATAACTAACACCAGAGAACTCGAACGCTTCCCTAATCAGCTCCCGAACTTCCTTAGTTTCATCGTCTTCCTCTCGTTTGCCGTCGACTATGCTCATAAGGATGTTAAACGTAAGTCCATAAAGCAACGGCTGGAGTTTCAATCTGACAAAGTCATTTCCTCCTGATGTTACCAGTTCCACGTGGATCCTCCGAAGCAGAGCTCTCACTTCGTCTCTCCGTATATCCGAAGAGTCTCTGAGACAAGCGGCAGAGAAGATCTTTATGGAGCAGAAACGGCGGAGTCTCCGCCAATGTTCGCCGTACGGAGCTGCGCTAACGATCGTGCAGTTGTAACCCATGAATTCAGTTAAACTAGCCAGAGGCCTGTTGGCGAAAATGACATCGTTTTCCTGAGATAAGAACTCCTCTGCAGCTGAAGCTGACGTCACAACAACCGCTCGACGTGAACCTAGCCGTAGAAAAAACACGTCGCTGCCGAGGTTTCGAGAGAGGTCACGAAGGGAACGGTGAACAGGTTCTTTGAGAAGGTGTAGGTGTCCTATTACCGGAAAACCTAAGGGACTTGGCGGTAAATTCTTCTTCTTCTGTTTTGATCGCAAAAGATAAGCCACCGTAATAAATCCGGCGATGAGAGCGAGTATAAACAAATCAATCATCTCACCGATTTGTGTACACATAATTCTGGAGACTGGTCAAAAAATATACGAGTGCATGGTCTCTCTCACTGTTAATATAGGAGTGTGCGAAAAAAGAAAAGAAAAGTTTACACATAATTCTGGAGACTAGTCAAAAATAAACGAATGGTCCACAGTTAATATATTTATTGATATCAGATAATGGATAATGAATGGGCTGGGCCGCAAAATATGAAGTTATTGTTCAATAAAAGACCCATTAAGATCATCTTGTGATTTGTTTACCCAGTAAAAGGTTTACTTTTTGTCAGACATAGCAAATATCATGTGAGAAGAGCTTATAATCTCGAGAAATCTTGTTAAGCTCTTTTTGGGCGACGTTGTTTGCTCGGAGCTCTTTCTCCGATTTGTCTCCATTTTCGGTGATTTGAAGGTAGGAATTGGCTGTGTGGAGATGTCTTCACTCACCTCCGTCGAATTGAATTTTCTGGTTTTCCGATATCTTCAGGAATCAGGTACGATAGATAATAGCCTTTCTTCTATGTTCTCGCGGATTTTTGTTTTGAATTTGTATTTGTTCCGGTAGCTACAGGCTGATGTTTTGGATTTGGTTTCGAATTGTGAATGTTGTTATCTTGTTCTACGAATTTAGAGCAGTTTTAGTTGTTTTCCTGGATTCGGTTTAGGGTTTGGAAAATTGTAGTTCTTAGGATCTTCGTAATGTCTCAACGGCTCAGGATCCTTTAGATCTTCTAGTTCGTACTGCTAACTCGCGAATCTAGGTTTTGATTTTTCCATGTAGAGGTCTGGGAGCTTGAGTTTTCTGTATCTGCAGACTTTTTCACTAGAAGTTATGTTAGATGATTGTAGTAGTTTATGCTCTGTTTATATTAATTCTATCTTGGTTTTGCAGGGTTTACACACTCTGCATTCACTCTAGGTTATGAGGCAGGGATTAATAAATCCAACATTGATGGGAATATGGTTCCACCTGGTGCTCTTATCAAATTTGTTCAGAAAGGACTCCAGTACATGGAGATGGAAGCTAATTTGAGCAATGTTAGCATATTTTTCGACTTTTTTTTGTATAATTAATTTATTGTGTTTTTTCTACATGGTGTTTGGGTGTGGTTAGACTGAGTTATGTTCTTTTTATTCGCAGAGTGAAGTGGACATTGATGAGGATTTCTCATTCTTTCAACCCTTGGATCTGATTTCAAAGGATGTAAAGGAATTGCAGGATATGCTGAGGGAAAAGAAGAGGAAAGAGAGGGATAGGGAGAAGGAAAGAGACAGATCTAAAGAAAACGATAAAGAGGTTGAACGAGAACATGAAGGAGATCGCAACCGAGCAAAGGAAAAGGATAGGCACGAGAAGCAGAAGGAACGAGAGAGGGAAAGGGAAAAAATGGAACGTGAAAAGGAGAGGGAAAGAGAGAAGATAGAACGAGAAAAGGAACGCGAAAGGGAGAAGATGGAACGGGAAATATTCGAGAGGGAGAAGGAAAGATTGAAATTAGAGAAAGAAAGAGAAATGGAACGGGAGAGGGAAAGAGAGAAGATAGAGAGGGAAAAGGGCCATGAAAAACAGCTTGGAGATGCTGATAGGGAAATGGTTATTGACCAAACTGACAAAGAAAATGCTGGGGATCTTGAGCATGGGCGTTCTACAGGTCACTCTTCATACTTTTCTTTGCTACCTTTCAAACTTAGCTGATATTTCGTGATATGCAACATCTATTTTCCAATATGAATCTGTGTTTTATTTGAACAGGCGCAGAACCTATGGATATCGTGATGACTCCTACATCTCAGACAAGTCACATTCCTAGTTCTGATGTGAGGATTTTGGAAGGGCATACTTCCGAGGTACTTTATTAGGTGACTTTATCCTTTAATTGAACATGTTCTATAGTTGTTTTCCATCTTCACTGGTATTTATTTTGTTACAATTTTGTCTACATTACTGATTTAGGTTTGTGCTTGCGCATGGAGTCCCTCGGCTTCGCTTCTTGCATCAGGGTAAGTAGTTTGTTGAGAAAGATGAATGCATTTGTGGATAGTTTATTTTCTTATTCCTTTTTTACATCTTTTGCAAAATAATCAGGTCTGGTGATGCAACAGCGCGTATCTGGAGTATTCCGGAGGGATCATTCAAATCTGTGCATACTGGTCGTAATATCAACGCTTTAATCCTGAAGCATGCAAAAGGCAAGTCAAACGAGAAGAGCAAGGATGTGACCACTCTTGACTGGAATGTGAGGGCTGCTGAATTTCACATATTAAAAATAGATATTCCTGGATACTGCTAATTACTAGAATATATGAAGCATTTCTGGATTCGTTATGTGCCTTAGATACTGCTTATAAGTTATTCTGATTTCTGAATTTCAGGGTGAAGGGACTTTACTTGCAACTGGATCATGTGATGGCCAAGCAAGAATCTGGAATTTAAATGGTATGTCCACGTTGATTTTTTGGTTTCACTTCTTGTATGAGTCATCCCCTTGTATCACTAGGATCTCTATTCTCTTGAAATTAATCTAATTCTTACTATGAATCAATGAATATGCTCAGTCATTTATGTCTAAATTAATATCTCTATGTTTCCTTCTAGCGTGAGCTACAAATTGTGATGTTGGAGTGTTGTGTGGGCTTTTGATAGCAACACATAATAAAAGCTATCAGCTAGTAAAAAACTTTATAATTCTGCATTGGGTACCATATCCTTGGCCAAAAACATTTACTCCCCTTTCTGTTTTGTTTTGAAGAGTCAGCTTCTAAATTTCAAATTACTTCTTTCTTTTTCTTTTTCACATTTCCAGGTGACCTGATAAGTACTCTGAGCAAACACAAGGGACCTATTTTTTCCCTTAAGTGGAACAAGAAGGGTGACTATCTTTTAACTGGCAGTGTTGATAGAACTGCTGTTGTTTGGGACGTAAAGGCAGAGGAGTGGAAGCAGCAATTTGAATTTCATTCAGGTAATTTCTTTTATTTTTTGATGAAACATCAATTTGAATCAGTTTTTATATGCATATGACATTGGGTAAAATTGAAAAAATAGGCCCAACACTTGATGTTGATTGGCGCAACAACGTATCTTTTGCAACGAGTTCCACGGACAGCATGATCTACTTATGTAAGATTGGAGAAACTAGGCCGGCCAAAATCTTTGCTGGGCATCAGGTTGTCTCTCATCCACAAGTTTCTCCCATATCTTATAACATTATGTTTAGTTTTCTCTGTCTATGTCACAAAGGTCTCATACTAACAATACTCGAGGCTTTCATAACTGCAGGGTGAGGTTAATTGCGTGAAATGGGATCCTACTGGCTCATTATTGGCCTCATGCTCAGATGACAGTACTGCAAAGGTTTCCGGAAATTAACCTAAGCTTAAATTTACATTTGTTTTAGTTTTTCCCTGTCTCTTTTATTATATGTATCTTTTTTTTTCAGATATGGAATATAAAGCAAAACAACTTTGTTCATGACCTCCGAGAGCATACTAAGGTAAATTCCATACATTCTCAAAAGTCTAAAGAAAATTTAAATAATGTTTTTGGTTTTTGAATAGTTTCTAAAGATGGATATTCTTCTTCTCTTCAGGAAATTTATACAATCAGATGGAGCCCGACAGGACCAGGAACTAACAATCCTAACAAACAGCTAACTCTTGCTAGGTTATAAAACGCTTTTAAGTACTTAAAAAAACAAAGTTGCATTGTAATATATCATTCATCATCATCTGTGTGGTTGTTTGGATGGAACAGTGCATCATTTGACTCATCAGTAAAGCTATGGGATGCGGAACTCGGAAAGATGCTATGTAGTTTCAACGGACACAGGTAAACTTAAACCTCGATGTGATTTTTTGCGGTTTAACCATTAACCGTTGGTTTTAAGTTTACTGGTTTTGATTTGAAGGGAACCGGTATACTCACTGGCGTTTAGTCCAAACGGGGAGTACATAGCGAGTGGGTCTTTGGACAGATCGATACACATATGGTCGATAAAAGAAGGTAAAATCGTAAAGACATACACAGGAAATGGAGGGATATTCGAAGTGTGTTGGAACAAAGAAGGTAACAAAATCGCAGCTTGCTTTGCAGATAACTCGGTCTGCGTTCTTGATTTCAGAATGTAGTTTTCTTAACTGTAGTTCTTAATAACTCTCTCAGTCCAAGGTTTTTCTTTTTGTTGTTGCACATATTTTATAACCACTAAATTGGAAAAAAGAAGGCAACGCTGTACTCTATTTTGTTGTTTTTGAAGATGATGATTAAAAAAATACTGTATCACCTTGTGAGAGTATCCCGAAACTAGGAAGAAAAATTTAGATGGTCTTACAAATATGTTAGCTAGTAAAGCTTATGCTAAAGAAGCATCACGTAAATTTGATTTTATTGTGTCTATTGTGCTCTTTGGAATAAAGAAGGTAACAAAATCGCAGGTTGCTTCGGTGATAACACAATCTGCGTTCTTGATTTCAGAGTGTAGCTTAATCGTGGTTCATAATAACACTCTCTCTGTCCAAGTCCCTTTTTGGTTATTGTACATGTTATAACAACAAAATTCGAAAAATGAAGATTATTTTCGTTATTTTATCTATCATTACAACTTTTGGGTTGACTGACGAGTAACAATGAAATGAAAGAAAACAAACTGCATAAGATAAGGTTTATTACATCCATATCTTTGAAGATAGACCACAAAGCTGGATTTGAATTGAAAGTGACGAAAGAAAAAAGAAAATCTGTCTTTACTTAGGGCATCCGCAGTGGTGTATCCTTGCGGGTGTAAACATTATTTTAAAATACAGAAATAATATAAAAGTTGTCTCTTTCTTTACACCCGGGCAGGCCCGGCCCGTCCATAAAGCAAGCAAAGCACTTGCTTTAGGCCACAAAATATATAACAAAGTTAAGGGCCACATTTTTGAAAGTGTTATGTTGGTTTAGTGGTTATGTAGGCTTGAAGTTTGTTTGAGGTTCTGAGTTCGAGTCCTTTCATAGGCATATAATTTTTTTTTTTTTAGTATTTATAAAAGAAGGCCACATTTTTTAAATATGCTTTAGGCCACCTACAGGCTAGGACCGGCCCTGCACCCGGGTGTAAGTTTACACTCGGGTGTAAGCCACTCTATCTCTCTCTCTCTCTTTCTTCTTCTCTCTCTTTTCTCTCTCACTTTAAATTATAATAATAAAAAAAATCTTACACCCCTCCCTCACACTTACACCACTGCGGATGGTCTTAGTAAACCGTTGGGTGAAACAGTGAAAGTGGGATGGCGCGTGGCGAGAGCTGACGGATTCGTGCAACCCCCAAGCCAAACACGTTTCTACTTCTACTTAACCCATTCCCTTTATTTTATTTTGTTTCTGTTCACCACGTCGCATTTTTTTATCTGTAATCATCACTGACTTTAATTGATAAACTTATCTCTCTCTTTTTTTCTTCTAATAATACAGATTAGTTTCTGTTCAACGAGTCGGAAAGACCAAACTAGTAATTTATTTAGCACCAAAATTAATTCTCTGAGGATAGTGTTGTACTCCCAAGAAGATTCGATAATCCCCAAGTTTCACACATTCACGCGAGTTGTTGACAAAACATCCCTGCGCTTGTTTATACCATTCACAAATACTGAAGTTGACGTGGCGCAACCTTATTGGAAGAAACTATATAATCTACCAAATTCAGAAATACTCAGCTACACAAATAACAAGATAGTCACTTTAGTAGCAGCACCGATTTCGAATTTTAGCATTTCTGAATTCCGACGGGCGGTTACCGGAAAACATGTCGGAGACCGATAGAGAGCGTCCGTTATTAGAATCGGAGGATAGAGCTTATGAAGAAACCGAGAAAGTTCTCATAGTCGGAATCGACGAAGAAGAAGACGCTGATTACGACGACGACCCCGGAAACTCACCAAAATTCTCATGGAAGAAGCTTTGGCTATTCACCGGACCTGGGTTTCTGATGAGCATCGCTTTCCTCGATCCAGGTAATCTCGAGAGCGATCTTCAAGCTGGAGCCATCGCTGGTTACTCTTTGATTTGGCTCTTGATGTGGGCTACTGCGATTGGGCTTCTGATTCAACTTCTCTCTGCTCGTCTCGGTGTCGCGACTGGTCGACATCTGGCGGAGTTGTGTAGGGAAGAGTATCCGACTTGGGCAAGGATGGTGCTTTGGATTATGGCGGAGATTGCTTTGATCGGAGCTGATATTCAAGAAGTTATTGGTAGTGCTATAGCTATCAAGATCTTGTCTAATGGATTGGTTCCTCTTTGGGCTGGTGTTGTTGTCACTGCTCTTGATTGGTAAGTTTTTTCTCAATTTGGTAATTTATTAAGGATAAGCCCTAATTTTTGGAATTTAGGGTTCTTCATTTTGTTTGTTTGTTAACTTTAGTTTTGGAGATATTAGACTGGATTCTTGTTTGCTTTAACATTATATGTGTGATGGGTTAATTGCAGTTTCATCTTCCTATTTTTGGAGAATTATGGAATAAGGAAACTAGAAGCTGTGTTTGCTATTTTGATTGCAACAATGGCTCTTGCATTTGCTTGGATGTTTGGTCAGACTAAACCCAGTGGAACCGAACTCCTTGTTGGTTAGACTCTAAACATTTTTTTTATTCTTTTCTTTTGTTTGGAGTGGAGAGGGGAGAACAAAAATGGTAACTGTTCATGTTTTATTTAAACAGGAGCATTGGTCCCTAAGCTCAGTTCCAGGACTATCAAACAAGCTGTTGGTATTGTGGGCTGTATTATCATGCCTCACAATGTGTTCTTGCATTCAGCACTTGTGCAATCGAGAGAAGTTGATCCTAAAAAGAGATTCCGGGTCAAAGAAGCTCTTAAGTACTACTCCATTGAATCCACTGGTGCTCTTGCAGTTTCCTTCATTATCAACGTCTTTGTGACCACGGTGTTTGCCAAGTCGTTTTACGGGACAGACATAGCGGATACCATCGGTCTTGCAAATGCAGGACAGTACTTACAGGACAAATATGGTGGCGGGTTTTTCCCGATACTGTATATATGGGCGATTGGAGTCTTAGCTGCTGGTCAGAGTAGTACCATCACAGGTACTTACGCTGGACAGTTTATAATGGGAGGGTTCTTGAATCTCAAGATGAAGAAATGGGTTAGAGCCTTAATCACGAGAAGCTGCGCAATCATCCCAACAATGATTGTTGCGCTTGTCTTTGATTCATCGGATTCTATGCTCGATGAGCTCAACGAATGGCTAAACGTTCTTCAATCTGTTCAGATCCCTTTCGCCGTCATCCCTCTGCTCTGTTTGGTCTCCAATGAGCAAATCATGGGCAGTTTCAAAATCCAACCATTAGTTCAAACAATCTCGTGGATCGTAGCTGCCCTTGTGATAGCCATTAATGGGTATCTAATGGTGGATTTCTTCTCAGGAGCAGCGACGAACGTGGTATTGCTCGTGCCAGTGATCATATTCGCAATTGCGTATGTTTTGTTTGTGCTTTACCTTATATCACGAGGCCTCACGTACACTCCTTGGCAACTAGTGGCTTCACATAAAGAACCACAGAGGGATGATGAGTAAGTAAAGGAAAAGCAAAGAGAGCTTTTCATTGAAGAATAAGAATAAGAGAGAGATGGCTCTTTTTTACTGAAACAAACAATAGAAAGTTGGGTTTCAGTATGGTAACAATGTCATGATGTATTTTGTATAATAGTGTTTTATTGTTTTAGAATATAGTTTTGGAAGAATCTGAACTGTTTCGTTTGTGTAAAACTTCTGGCGTTTCTTTGAATTTTGGCATAACGTGAACTCTGGTTTTGAATTTCTTAGAGAAAAAAAAGAAAAGAAATAGTCAAAAATGGGGAAGAAATGGTCAAGAAGAATGGAAACGCGGTCGCATTAAATTTGATGTTTAAAGGTCAAACAATGTTTAGTCGTTTATGGGAAATTCATGCACAAATTTCTTTGATGCCACGATTAGTTTTGATTACAAAGCCATTATTTCTTCCTTTTTAAGGTAAAAAACTTCTGGAAGCTAGTGAACTATCATATGATAATGAAATTTTCCTGGTAAACGAGAGTCGAGGTATTTAAATACATCACGTAAGTTTCGTTAATTTCCCCCAAATGTAATAAATACTGGAGCAGCTAGCTTCTCCTAATCCAAAATCCAAAAGAAAAACATGGAAAGTCAGAAATAAAATATTTAAATACAAAACCTACCTAACAAGGTTTGACGTAAAACCCGCCACGAGTCTATCGCATTTATTAAGACCAAAAATATTGTTATTAATTGACTAAGTAGACCAATAAACTGTGATTAAAGAGATTATGATTTATGGAGCTGATAATCAATAGCAAAAAATCTTTGACAATGAAGTATTTCGTCTTACCGCGCTTCCACGGTTCTAATCTTCGTCGTCCTCTCCCATAAAGAGACAGAGAGAGAGAGAGAGCTGAAACCACCATTTTCGCGAGGTAATTCATCATCTGATTATTCTTCTTCTACGCGTCTTTCTTCTGCAGTCTTGAGCTTCGTTCACTTTCGATATACATATCTCTGTTTTTGGGCTGATTAGTCTCTTTTCTTATTTTCTTCTCTTCTTTTAGAAAGTTTTTCTGCAGATTCGTGATGGTGTATAGTTCGTTTAATTTCCTCGGTAACTTAAAAGTGTTTGAATTTGAATCAGTAATGAATTTTATTTTCTCGATTCAGAGTTTTGTTGGGGATTATATTATGTTGACTCAGACGGTTGACTAAGCATAAAAATTCTGAGCTTCTAGGAGGATTAATGCAGAATCCTTCCTCAGCTTTATGATTTTGGTTCCAATTATGTTAATTGAATTTTCAGCTTAGCTTAAATGTCCTAAACTTGGTCTTACTTGGTGTTCTTGCAGTTCTTGTTTCAGGAGTTTTGTATATTCTGAGACCATAAAAGGCTCAATTTCTGAAATCATTTTTTCCTAATTAAAGAGTTTATTTCATTACACGATGGTAAGTTGCTGAATATCTAAGATATAAACTAGCTCTGATTTTGTTTTTTCTTACTAATTTATAAACTCATGTTGTTGCTTTTTGGTAAGTGAAGGTACAAATGGAGGTGTCTTGGTTACGAGTTCTTCTAGATAACATCTCCTCCTATCTAACTTTATCATCTATGGACGACTTTTCTTCAAACCCTGCTCATAAGTACTACACCAGAGGTGAAGAGATATCAAAGCTTCTCAAGCCTGTTCTTGAGAACCTCATTGACTCTGACGCATCTCCTAGCGAATTGCTCAACAACGGTTTCGAAGAATTAGCTCAATACTGTGATGAACTAAGAGAACAGTTTGAGAGTTGGCAACCTCTTTCAACTAGAATCTTTTATGTAAGTATAAAAGCTAACAGATTCCATTTATAAACTGTTTCCGAGCTAACTCTTTTACTCTTATTTGTGTGTTATCTATCAGGTTCTTCGAATTGAATCATTAGCATCAAAGTTACGAGAATCCAGTTTGGAAGTCTTTCAGCTCCTCAAACACTGCGAACAACATTTACCTGCTGACACTATTTCACCATCTTTTGAGGTAAACTCATGATGTGAGCTCAAGAATCTGTATGTAGTTTTCCTTAGGATCTAATCAGGCTCCTCTATGTTGTGACATTGTTTCATATTGCAGGAGTGCATAGAATTGGTGAAGTTAGTGGCAAGAGACGATATTTCGTATACTATTGATCAAGCTCTAAAAGATCAAAAGAATGGTGTTGGCCCTACTTCAGAGGTTCTGGTGAAAATTGCTGAGAGTACTGGTTTAAGATCCAACCAGGATATTCTTATTGAAGGTGTGGTACTTACAAATATGAAGGAGGATGCTGAGCTTACCGATAATGACACCGAAGCTGAGTATCTAGACGGTTTGATCTCTCTAACAACCCGAATGCATGAGTACCTTAGCGACATAAAGCAGGCTCAGTTACGTTGTCCAGTACGCGTACCTTCTGACTTCCGCTGCTCTCTATCTCTTGAGCTTATGACTGATCCAGTCATTGTGGCATCCGGTCAAACATACGAACGGGTTTTTATCCAGAAATGGATCGATATGGGACTCATGGTTTGTCCAAAGACAAGGCAGTCTTTATCTCATACCACTTTGACTCCTAATTTCATTGTCAGGGCTTTTCTTGCCAGTTGGTGTGAAACTAACAATGTCTATCCTCCTGATCCATTGGAGTTGATTCACTCAAGTCAGCCATTCCCTCTTCTTCTTGAATCAGTGAGAGCTTCATCATCAGAGAATTCATCGCCAATAAAGAATGGCCAGGCAGATGCAGAGGAACTGCCTCAGGTCTTTAGTAGGTCTGCTTCTGCACCAGGCATTGTCTCTGAAGTGGTTTGCAAAACCAAAAGAAGCACTAATGGTGCTTCTGCTGCAGATAGATCAGTGTCACAGGCACGGAGTAATACTCCTTGGAAATTTCCAGAAGAGAGGCATTGGCGTCACCCCGGGATCATCCCAGCGACCATAAGAGAAACAGGAAGCAGTTCAAGTATCGAAACCGAGGTGAAGAAACTCATTGAGGATCTCAAGAGTTCTTCATTGGATACACAGAGAGAGGCTACGGCTCGAATCAGGATACTATCAAGAAACAGTACAGACAATCGCATTGTGATTGCGAGGTGCGGAGCAATCCCTTCGTTAGTCAATCTGCTTTACTCCACGGATGAGAGAATCCAAGCAGACGCAGTGACTTGCTTACTAAACTTATCCATCAACGACAACAACAAGTCCCTCATCGCGGAAAGTGGAGCTATCGAACCGCTCATTCACGTTCTCAAAACAGGATACTTAGAAGAAGCTAAAGCAAATTCAGCAGCAACTCTATTCAGCTTATCGGTGATCGAAGAGTACAAGACAGAGATAGGAGAAGCAGGAGCTATAGAGCCACTTGTTGATCTCTTGGGAAATGGAAGTCTCAGTGGCAAGAAAGATGCAGCCACGGCTTTATTCAACCTCTCAATACACCATGAGAACAAAACAAAGGTAATCGAAGCTGGAGCAGTGAGATACTTAGTTGAATTGATGGATCCTGCTTTTGGAATGGTGGAGAAAGCTGTGGTAGTGCTGGCGAATCTTGCAACGGTTAGAGAAGGAAAGATAGCGATTGGTGAAGAAGGAGGAATACCGGTATTGGTGGAAGTTGTGGAGTTAGGATCAGCAAGAGGCAAAGAAAATGCAACTGCAGCACTATTGCAGCTTTGTACGCATAGCCCAAAATTCTGCAACAGTGTCATAAGAGAAGGAGTGATTCCACCTCTTGTGGCACTTACTAAATCAGGAACAGCTAGAGGCAAAGAGAAGGTTACTTGTAAATCTTTTTGTTTCCTCTTCTTGTTTGGTAATGTCTCATGATTCTTCTCGTAATAACTGTTATATATGCTTTGTTTCAGGCACAGAATCTTCTTAAGTACTTTAAAGTACACAGACAAAACAATCAGAGGAGAGGCTGATCTTGCTTTACCTTAAAGGTTGTTCTAAAGTTCTAACTTATATACATACATGATACACATGCATATATGATCCTTATAATTTATAAATATGAAACTGTGAATCTCTTTGTCCATGTTAGTTCTTTTTTTTTGGTAAGAGAGGGGGAGACAATTGTCTCCCACATTTTATTACGAACTAAATAAAAAAGAATTACAACCGAACATGACGTGGACTTTCTGTCCCAACCGAATCTGCTAGCATAATAGGATGAACTACACTAGGACAAGAATCAAATGAATGAAATCCTAACTGCAACGAGAACGCATAGTTCGCTAATCCGTCTGCAAGACGATTAGCCTCCCTATACACATGAGTAACCCGGACTATCCAGTCCCTTGAGAAAGAGCCATGGCACAAACGTACCAGGAATGCCAGCGGATGAGCATCACTTATCCCTGACTTTAGAAATCCCACCACCAACTCAGAATCCACCTCCAACTCCACTCGCCTAAAACCCCGCTCCCAAGCGATCAACAGGCCATAGTAGACTCCCCACAACTCCGCCAACGGAGCCGAACATATGCCAATGTGGAGCGCAAATCCACCTAACCAGCGCCCTGCCTCGTCTCTAATAACTCCTCCAGCCGATGCCGGTCCCGGATTACCCCGACTAGCACCATCCGTAGACACTTTAACCCAACCTTCCCCCGGCTTCTTCCATGAGATCATTCTCTCCACTCTCCCTGTGGCTTGTGAAGAGACCGTCACCAACTTATGCGCTTCCAAGACCTCCGTAGCTAAGTCCTTGAGAAAACGCACCCGATCACGACACTTACCAACCTCTCCAAACACATACCCGCACCTCCACTTCCATCCCCACCAAACCGCAATACTAAACAGAGTCGACCAATCCCCCGGGCTAGAGCCCGGTCTATCCCCCAAATTATCAAACAACCATTCTAGTAAAGATTTTTCAAAGAAGGCTTGTCTCTCCCGCGGCGGTACTAACCGTGACCAAATGCCTGCCATCGCCGGACAGTCTCTCAAAATATGGATGATAGACTCAAAGTCACCTTTACATACTTGACACACCGCACTATCTCCAATATGGCGTCTCACTCTCTCCACATTTGTCATTATCACCTGGTGACTTACCAGCCAAAGAAAGACCCGTATCCTCTCTGGTATCACCACTGCCCATATCCTCTTAAAAAACTGCTCCATACATGGTGTAGGTTCTGTCTCCCGCCTCAACAACTCATAAGCAGAACTGACAGTAAACTCCCCATTCGGGTTTCCTTGCCACGAAATCTTATCTTCCAAACCCAGCACTCCCTTGATAACAACTGCATTCAAACGGTGAAGCACATTAACCGGTAATACCTGCCCCAACCGCGCCATGTCCCAGCCCGAGCCCTCCGACCAATACTCCTCTACTCGTGCCTCCATATCCAATGCATCAATCGGGCCTGTAACATGTGACAACAACGGTTCCCCTAACAGCCACTTATCCGACCAAAAATGGATCTCTTTGCCATCACCCGGGACCCATCCTAACCCTTTGGAGACCACTTCACGCAGCCCCACTCCAATGCTGCGCCATGTCGAGGACCAAGTGCCTTTCGGTACAACCCAAGAGTTATCATGAACACCGCGAACCTTATACTTGCTCCTTAGGACTCTTGCCCATAAGCTTTCATTATTATTCAATAATCTCCAGCCCACTTTGGCCAGCAAGGCTCTATTCATATCTTTCGAAGCCCGCAGCCCTAAACCGCCCTCCGCTTTCGGTCTACAAACTTTTTTCCAAGGCAACAGGTGCTGCTTTCTCTTCTCCAACGTACTACCCCATACAAACGATCGAGATAACTTATCTAGTTTCTCGAGAGTCGATGCAGGCAATAACACCGAGCTCATGGTATGAACTGGAATCGACGACAAAACCGCTTTCGTTAAAGTAATTCTCCCCGCCAGGCTTAACGCTCTACCCTTCCAACCCATCAGCCTAGCCGAAACTCTTTCCAACACTTCCCCAAACGTTTCTTTATTAATCCGCTTTTGTAGCACCGGCATTCCAAGATATTTACCCAACTCTCTTGTAGAACCAATGCCACTCTCCGCAGTGATCAATTGTTCTAAATCCCGACTTACATTCTTCGAGAAAAAAATTTTAGACTTCTCCAGGCTTACTTTTTGCCCTGAGGCTAGGCAAAACGTCTCTAATACCTTCCTTATCACTCTCACCTGCGCCACTGATGCCTCTGCAAACAAAATAAGATCATCAGCAAAACAAACATGCGACAGTTTCGGTCCCCCCTGCGAAATAGAGATTGGTTTCCAATCTTTCCTTCCCACTGCAATCTCTATTTGATGGCATAATCTCTCCATACAAAGGACAAAAAGATACGGTGAAATCGGGTCTCCTTGCCTTAGCCCCCTCGCAGGCTTAAATGATTCTGTCTTCTCTCCATTCCACAACAAGCTCATTTCAGGCCCTGCAACACATTCCATTATCCGTCTTATCCACCCTTCAGATAACCCCGCAGCCTCCAAAGTCTCCTCCAAAAAATCCCAACGGATACGGTCATATGCCTTCTCTAAGTCTAACTTAAGCAGCATCCATCCTTTGCGCCCCTTCTTCCGCCTCATAGAATGAACTACCTCCTGCACCACCACTATATTATCCACACTCAATCTCCCAGGAATAAAACTTGCCTGCGCTGGACCAATAAGCTTAGAGATAACATTTTTAAGCCTAATCACCATCATCTTCGTGATTATCTTAAACAAAACGTTACATAAGCTCACTGGCCGAAACTGTGTTATCCTCTCGGGTTTAGCTACTTTTGCCAACAGCACTAACAACACATCATTAGTAGACCTCGGTAAAACGCCTGTCTCAAAAAAATTCAGCACAAAACTTGTTACCGACTCTCCTACTATCTCCCAGCACTGTTGGTAGAAAACCGGTTGATATCCATCCGGTCCTGGCGCCTTAAACTTCCCCATGCTCCGAATTGCCACAACAACCTCATCAGATGTGAAACCCTTGTCTAAATCCCTCTTCTCCTCCCTAGACAGCCTCGGGAACCCCTCTTTCGATAACTCCCCCCTCACTTCGCTAACATCATCCAGCGAATAAAGCTTCCTGTAATAATTCAGAGCTAACGTCTCCAGCTCCCCTTTATCAGCAACCCATCTATCTTCCGCATCCTTCAACAACTCTATCCGATTTCTCCTTCTTCGAATAATAGTAGAAGTATGAAAATAGGTCGTATTTCTGTCTCCCAGAGCAATAAACTTTTCTCGTGATTTCTGAAACCACAAAGTCTCCTCCTGTTCAAGCAGAATATCTAAATTCTTCACCAGTAGTTCCTCCTTAGCAAGCAGATCATCAGACGGAGCCACATCTAACAAATCCTGTACTGCTTTTATTTCCTCAACCAACTTTTCCTTACGCGTGTGGATGTCACCAAACACCTGCTTATTCCATTTCTTGAGTTTCCACTTTAAACCTGCTAGTGCCTCAGGAGTTGACAGCCTCGCATCCCATGAAGTTGCCAACAAATCTTTAAATCCTTCATGACTAAGCCAGGCTGCTTCAAACCGAAACGGTCTTCGACTCGCATCCACACTCTGTGGCGGACATAATTGCAGATACAAAGGCGCGTGGTCCGAAGAAAGGAAAGGAAGATGTGACACTATTGCCTCTTGCCACCGCAGTCTAGCATGAGCACAACAAAACACCCTGTCCAATCTCTTGGCCACACATGTACTTTCCTGTCTACCTCTCCTCCATGTGAACTTGTTCCCTTTAAAACCCAAATCAATGAGAGAAAGAGCATTAATCCACTCACCAAATGACAAAGAATCTGCAGATAACCGTCCATTCCCTCCTGACCTCTCATCTAACCTCAAAATCGTGTTAAAATCCCCACCAATGACTAAAGGACCATCAATCCCACTTACTGCGTCCTTTAACTCATTCCATAACCCACTTCTTCTACTCACTGTTGGTGCTGCATATACTACCACCAAATGAATAGACTCTTCTCCATTCACTATTTTCGCATGAATGAATTGGTGCGTGGATGCCACTACCTCTACTTCCCCAACGCTTGACCTCCACAACAGCCACAAGCCTCCACTCTGACCCACGGCATCAACTCGAAACTGGTTTTCAAACCCCAATCTCCGACAAATCCTGCCTGCTCTCTCTCCTCCAGCATGCGTCTCAAACAAAGCAAGAATATCAGTATCATACTTTTTCAACATATAACGGATTGACCTTCGAAAATTGGGTTTATTCGCCCCCCGGCAATTCCATAACAAACAATTCATGATAAAATTCTGAAAATCACAAAGAACTGCCAGGGATAAATATTATTTAGCCCCATTAACGCCCTCAGTGGTCATTACCCTCTCTTGGAGAACAATTTCCATTGAAGAATTACCCCCTGCTGGGTTTGTACCACCCACAATCCCCACAGATTCCACGATTTGCCGCGAGGTAGACTTCTCTATGTTCTCAGCACCATTCGTGTATACTCCACCTGCTCTCCCCGCACTCACAGTCTCCACTCTAAGGCGTTTACCCGGAGATATCCCATCAGATTCACCTCTTATTGGGCCAAACACCAAACCTCTCCCAGGAGCAGAAGATCTCATGTTTTTACCTCTCACTACCTGGTGCTTCCCTGATTTACTAGCTCCTGATTTCTTCTCCTGATCCCCTGCACGAAAACCACCATTCCCAACAACTCCCTTTCCCACATTAGACTTGCTCTGAATCTGAGCCACCCCTTGATTCTGGTTCACCAGCATCTGTGAGCCTTCGTTCTCCTTATTATCCTCTCTCATAGTGTTATTCTGTTGCTCCTCACTTACAACAGTTTCCTCCATTAACCCACCAAAACTGTTTGAAACTGCCAGCGTTTCTGAACCTCCTAGCAGCATCCTCTCTCCACTTTCCACTTCCGGGGCTTTTTTAGAACCTCCAGCCTCAAAAACCACTTGTGTTACTTGCCCTCGGCTCCGTGACCGTCTCACCTCTGTAAACCCGTCTGCATCTTGGTTATTCGCACTCTGGCCTTTCTCCTGCACCTGTGAGATCATCTGGGGAACCTGAGACAAAGTTCCTTTTGGACAAGCACTAACCACATGACCATAGATACCACATCGAGGACATATGTTCTGTAGCCCCTCATAGGCGACATAATACCGCTCCCCGTTGATCCGCAGCGTCCCCTTCAACGGCCTCTTCAAATTCACTTCGACACATATCCGGGCAAATCTTGCTCTCTCCACCCGAAGCGTTGTTGTATCCACCTTAAGAGGCTTCCCAAGACCTTCTGCAATTCCCATCAAAATTGCTTTGTGATAAAAATTGATTGGGAGATTCGACACTCTCACCCACACCGGCGTAGTCTCAATCTCGTCTCTCAATGGGTCAAAATCCGGTGACCAGGCCTGAACCATCAAGATACTCCCAAGAACCCTCCACGGACCGCCTGTCACTGCCTTCATATAGTCTTCTTCTACCTCAAATCTGACCAGAAAAAACTGTCTTGGCAGATCCAACACCGCCATCCCTCCCGTTGGTCTCCACAGATCCCGTAATTTCCGATTCAAAGCCTCAATCGTGATGTGTCTACCAAGGACCTTCACAATCATACACTTTCGGTACAATCCGTTCATGGCGTCCAATACCTCTTTCCCAATCGTGATCACAGGCTCACCTTCATCTCCATCTGGAAACTCCAAACTCATCCGAGACATCACAAAGTCATCATCCAAAACTTTCTCCGGTACCGGTACTCCTCCTCCATTACTCCCCTGAACCTTCTCTACCCACAGTCTGCTCCCCATCTGATTCATCTCCGGCGGCCGGCCATCCTCATCCATACTCTCATCTTGATTTTCCGATCCCACAACCCCATGGCGGCTAGGGCTTCCCGTCATACTCTCTGTTTGTAATTTATTGACTAATTGATGATGGTTTTTTTGTCCATGTTAGTTCTTGTATTAAAAGAGACAACGAGTTTTAAATATTCTTTTGTTAAAAGATTTGTGTATTTTTCTAGTATTCAATATATAGTTGGTTGCTATTTTCTTCTTCTTTTCTCATTGATCTATTTTACCTTTTGAAAGAAAAAAGGAAACACAAAAAAAAAGGAAATAAAGGCCAATGGAAAGAAAAGGAAATTGAAATAAGGAAACATAAATCCTCCAACGGCTCTATTGTATGTAATCTCTTGTTTATATACAATAATAACATTGATCAATAAGACCTAATTAACACTTTGCTTCTTCTATTTCTTCCTTGAGAGAGAGAAATATCAAAACTCTCTCTCTTTCTCGCTTCTTCTTCGAATGTTTTTATACATAAACTCTTTGAATTCCGATGATCCAATTATCTCTGATGATGATGATCACTATCTCTGCCTTAAACGCTTCACTATTTCTCTGTTAATGGCGTCCTTTAGTTGTAGTCGTCGGATCTGCTATTGCTCATTAGGCTTTTCTCGGGATCTCAAGAGGAGTTGTTTTTGAAAGAGGTTAATCGAGTGGAGGAGTTTCTCAAGGATCCTTGTCTTTCTTCTAAGGTTAGGGTTCCTGAGGTTGATCCTGCTCCTCAGACGGCTTCGATTTGGGGGGTTGGAGATGGTGCTATTGGTTCTGGAGTTGATGAATTGGCGGAAGAAGCAGAAGAAACGTGTTGCTCTTACGGTCGAAGGATTATGCTCGTAGGTTTAAATCTGGGGTCAATGATGTGAGTTTTTTTTCCCTAATTGCTTTTGCTCTTAGGAAGATGATACTGTTAAAAAATTCGTTGACATTTGTTGCCTCAAAAATGTCATCTTTTACCTCCAAAGCTTTTTCTGTATTGACTTAGCTTTATATTTGTTTGTTTGTTGTACAGCTTACCTCAAACGATCATGCTGGTGAAGAAGTAGTTCACTCCGGCATGAATATAATGTGCTTTCTAGGAGAAGGTGAAGGAAGTGAGAGAGCAAGGAGGATGCTTTCCTGTAAAACCACCTGTGGAAAGAAGTACCACAAGAATTGTTTATAATCTTGGGCTCAACATAGAGGTACCTTACATTCTATTTGTTGCTGTCCTTTTCTTGGCTTGAATCTGGGGTCAATGACGTCAGTTCTTAGGAAGGTGATACTAAAATTTGGAGGAATTGTTAAAATTTTCAGTGACATTTGTTTGTTGCCACCAAGACGCTTTCACATGAGACTACGAGGAATAAAAGAGGATAGCGAAGAAGAGGTTCATAACAACCAGTTTCAGAACAACCACGACTCCTCATGATTACACAACTTCCAGGTATTTTTTCTTTCTTATCTTTTTTTTTTTTTAATCATAAATCATAATAATTTTAATTTTTTAAAAATAAGATTTTCTAATTTTCACTTCTGATTAATACTAAATATCAATTATTAAATACTAATAATTTTCACTAAAATTTAAAACAAATATAACACTTAAATTTTAAGAAAATAATTAATAAATTTTAACTAAAACTATGTTAATTTTTTTAAAATTAGTTTAAGTGTTAAATCTTAAAAACGTCGAAAACTAACCGCGCCTAGGCATCCTGTCCTTAGTTGGTCCGTAAGCTTTGGTGTTCGAAGTTCGGCAATGTTTTCACGTAATATAGATTTAACACTTAAACTCATTTTTTAAAAATTAATAATAATTTTCACTAAAATTTAAGACAAATTTAACACTTAAATTTTAAGAAAATAATTAATAATTTTTACCTAAAACTTTTAGTTGGTCCGTAAGCTTTGGTGTTCGAAGTTCGGCAATGTTTTCACGTAATATATATTTAAGACTTAAACTCATTTTTAAAAAATAATAATGATTTTCACTAAAATTTAAAACAAACTTAACACTTAAACTTTTTAAAAATAATTAATAACAAATTTAACACTTAAACTTTAAGAAAATAAATTAATAATTTTTAACCAAAACTTTTAGTTGGTCCGTAAGCTTTGGTGTTCGAAGTTCGGCAATGTTTTCACGTAATATATATTTAACACTTAAACTCATTTTTAAAAAATAATAATGATTTTCACTAAAATTTAAAACAAACTTAACAAGTAAACTTTAAGTAACACTTAAACTTTAGGAAAATAATTAATAATTTTTAACTAAAACATTTAGTTGGTCCGTAAGCTTTTGATGTTCGAAGTTCGACAATGTTTTCACGTAATATATATTTAACACTTAAACTCATTTTTAAAAAATAATAATGATTTTCACTAAAATTTAAAACAAATTTAACACTTAAACTTTAAGAAAATAATTAATAACAAATTTAACGATTAAACTTTAAGGAAATTATTAATAATTTTTAACCAAAACTTTTAGTTGGTCCGTAAGCTTTGGTGTTCGAAGTTCGGCAATGTTTTCACGTAATATATATTTAACACTTAAACTCATTTTTAAAAAATAATAATGATTTTAACTAAAACTTAAAACAAATTTAACACTTAAACTTTTAAAAAATAATTAATAACAAATTTAACACTTAAACTTTAAGAAAATAATTAAAAAATTTTAACCAAAACTTTTAGTTGGTCCATAAGCTTTGGTGTTCGAAGTTCCGCAATGTTTTCACGTAATATATATTTAACACTTAAACTCATTTTTAAAAAATAATAATGATTTTCACTAAAATTTAAAACAAATTTAACACTTAAACTTTAAGAAAATAATTAATAACAAGTTTAACACTTAAACTTTAAGAAAATAATTAATAACAAGTTTAACACTTAAACTTTAAGAAAATAATTAATAACAAATTTAACACTTAAACTTTAAGAAAATAATTAATAATTTTTAACCAAAACTTTTAGTTGGTCCGTAAGCTTTAGTATTCGAAGTTCGGCAATGTATTCACGTAATATATATTTAACACTTAAACTCATTTTTAAAAAATAATAATGATTTAAAACAAACTTAACAAGTAAACTTTAAGAAAATAATTAATAACAAATTTAACACTTAAACTTTAAGAAAATAATTAATAATTTTTAACTAAAACTTTTAGTTGGTCTGTAAGCTTTGATGTTCGAAGTTCGACAATGTTTTCACGTAATATATATTTAACACTTAAACTCATTTTTAAAAAATAATAATGATTTTCACTAAAATTTAAAACAAATTTAACACTTAAACTTTAAGAAAATAATTAATAATTTTTAACCAAAACTTTTAGTTGGTCCGTAAGCTTTGGTGTTCGAAGTTCGGCAATGTTTTCACGTAATATATATTTAACACTTAAACTCATTTTTAAAAAATAATAATGATGTTCACTAAAATTTAAAACAAATTTAACAATTAAACTTTAAGAAAATAATTAATAAAAAATTTAACGATTAAACTTTAAGAAAATAATTAATAATTTTTAACCAAAATTTTTAGTTGGTCCGTAAGCTTTGGTGTTCGAAGTTCGGCAATGTTTTCACGTAATATATATTTAACACTTAAACTCATTTTTAAAAAATAATAATGATTTTCACTAAAACTTAAAACAAATTTAACACTTCAACTTTAAAAAAATAATTAATAATTTTTAACCAAAACTTTTAGTTGGTCCGTAAGCTTTGGTGTTCGAAGTTCGGCAATGTTTTCACGTAATATATATTTAACACTTAAACTCATTTTTAAAAATAATAATGATGTTCACTAAAATTTAAAACAAATTTAACACTTAAACTTTAAGAAAATAATTAATAACAAATTTAACACTTAAACTTTAAGAAAATAATTAATAATTTTTAACCAAAACTTTTAGTTGGTCCGTAAGCTTTGGTGTTCGAAGTTCGGCAATGTTTTCACGTAATATATATTTAACACTTAAACTCATTTTTAAAAAATAATAATGATTTTCACTAAAACTTAAAACAAATTTAACACTTAAACTTTAAAAAAATAATTAATAACAAATTTAACACTTAAACATTAAGAAAATAATTAATAATTTTTAACCAAAACTTTTAGTTGGTCCGTAAGCTTTGGTGTTCGAAGTTCGGCAATGTTTTCACGTAATATATATTTAACACTTAAACTCATTTTTAAAAAATAATAATGATGTTCACTAAACTTTAAAACAAATTTAACACATAAACTTTAAGAAAATAATTAATAACAAATTTAATGATTAAACTTTAAGAAAATAATTAATAATTTTTAACTAAAACAATGATAATTTTAAAAGATGACAAAAAAAAATTTTAATTTTAAAAATTAGTTTAAGTGTTAAATTTTAAAAACGTCGAAAACTAACCGCGCCTAAGCATCCTGTCCTTAGTTGGTCCGTAAGCTTTGGTGTTTGAAGTTCGGGAATGTTTTTACGTAATATATATTTAACACTTAAACTCATTTAAAAAAAAATAATGATTTTCACTAAAATTTAAACTAGACTTAACAATTAAACTTTAAGAAAATAATTAATAACAAATTTAACACTTAAACTTTTAGAAAATAATTAATAATTTTTAACTTAAGCAATGAAATTTTAAAAATAAGTTTAAGTGTTAAATTTTAAAACGTCGAAAACTAACCGCGCCTAGGCATCTTGTCCTTAGTTTGTCTGTAAGTTTTGGTGTTCGAAGTTCTGCATGTTTTCACGTAATATAAATTTAACACTTAAACTCAATTTTAAAAATAATAATGATTTTCACTAAAATTTAAAACAAATGTAACACTTAAACTTTAAGAAAATAATTAATAATTTTTAACTAAAACCACGTAAATTTTACTATTAGTTTTTAAAAATTAGTTTAAGTGTTAAATTTTAAAAACGTGAAAAACTAACCGCGCCTAGGCATCATGTCCTTAGTTAGTCCGTAAGCTTTGGTGTTCGAAGTTCGGCATATTTTCACGTACTATAGGTTTAACACTTAAACTCATTTAAAAAAAAAATAATGATTTTCACTTAAATTTAAAACAAATGTAACACTTAAACTTTAGGGAGACTCACAAAAATGCCCCTTTTTCAATACCCCTTTTCAAAAATGCCCCCTTTGGCTGTCCATTTTTAAAAATACCCCTTTTTATGTACAAAATGACTAAATTACCCTTCTTTTAATAAAAGATATCACAAATATATAAGGAAATATAACAAAATTAGGTCCACAAAATACAAAATATTTTTTGGCGGGAAAAGTGATCCCACAATTTTTCCTGCCAAAACACTTGTAAAAACTTGTAAAACCTTTAAAATACCTTGTAAAATTTTCCCGTAAAAATTTTTGCGGGAAAAGTGATTCCGCAATTTTTCTGGCGTTAAATTTTTGGCGGGAAATTTTTACAAGGTATATTAAAAGTTTTTTACAGGGTATTTATAAGGTTTTACAATGTATTTTAAAAGGTTTTACAACGTATTTATAAGGTATTTATAAGATATTATAAGATTTTACAAGCTATTTTATAAGGTTTTACAAGTTTTTTATAAGGTTTTACAAGTTATAAATACCTTAAAAAACCTTATACGTACCTTGTAAAACCTTTTAAAATACATTGTAAAACCTTACAAAACATTTGTAAATACTCTGTAAAACCTTTAAAATACCTTGTAAATTTTTCCCGCCAAAAAATTGCGGAATCACTTTTCCCGCAAAAAAAAATTTTTGGCGGGGAAAATTTTACAAGGTATTTTAAAGGTTTTTACAAGTGTTTTGGCGGGAAAATTGCGGGATCACTTTTCCCGCCAAAAAATATTTTGTATTTTTACTATTACTTTTATGTTTTGTTTCAAATATTGTTTGGACCTAATTTTGTTTCAAATAAGGGTAAAATGGTCATTAAAAATTAAAAGATGGCAAACTTAAAAATGGACTCTCAAAAGGGACATTTTTGAAAAGGGGTATTGAAAAAGGGGCATTTTTAACAATTTCTCTAAACTTTTTAAGAAAATAATTAATAAAAACTAAAACCACATAAATTTCACTATTACTTTTTAAAAATTAGTTTAAGTGTTAAATTTTAATAATGTCGAAAATTAACCGCGCCTAGGCATCATGTCCTTAGTTGGTCCGTAAGGTTTGGTCTTCGAAGTTCGGCATGTTTTCACGTAATATAGATTTAACGCCTAAACTCATTTTAAAAAAATAATAATGATTTTCACTAAAAATTTAAAACATATTTAACACTTAAACTTTAAAAAATTAATTAATAATTTTCAAATAAAATCATGTTAATTTTACTCTTACTTTTTAAAAATTAGTTTATGTGTTTAATTTTAAAAATGTCGAAAACTAAACATGCGTACGCATCATATCTTTAGTTGGTCCGTAATCTTTAAATTTATGTAAAACGTTCAATAAAGTATGAATTGTCTATGTGATGTGTTAATAACATAGGAAAAACGGTCTATTTCCCCACGAAAACCATCACATCATAATAGATAGAGCTCAAACTATAACCTCGTGCTAAATATCTCCGAAAATATATTTCGCATCCTAAATCTCTCCGAATTCAAAGTTCGAAACTTATATCTCCCCGAAATCATAGTTCGAGACCTCATCACCCACTAACTTTGGTTTATTGTTTACCAAACAATTATTAACCACCTAAATACTGTAGTAAACCGGATGTAAACCAATTACAACAACAAAATCTCTAAACCAAACCAATTTCTTTTTGGTTCACCATATTTTCTTCGAAGCTTGGCCGGAGCGACAACGCCTCTTTTTACCGTGGGATTTTGGCCGGCCACTCTCATTTGATTTCCTCCTCTGATTCTGATTCACTTTTTGATTGTTGAGATTTTGGTGACGATGAGATTCATATCTCGATGATTCACTTCTCTGCAATTGTATTTTCAAGAGCAAAATCTAATCTTTGGATTAGACAAATTTAGAATCAAGCAATTTTTTTATTCTTTTTTTGTTTGGATTCGCACTTCTTCTACAATCTGTGACATCACCCAAAACAAAATCGATTCAATTTACATGAGAGCTGATACTCAAAATCAAGAACAATTAACGACAATAATGAGAAACCCATCTACAATTTGGCCTTCACGATGGAAACTCAAACTCTGATTTGGCCATTGCGGTTGATGTTGCTTTGACTTGAAGACGGCGGTAGCTTGGCTCCGGTGACGAAGGCCACCATGAGCAAATCATCTCTCCTTAACAGAGAGAGAATTCAGATTTATTCAAGACGTCGTCGGCTGTTATTTGAACCTCTCGTGATGGAGATTTAGGGATCCGATTTTTTGGGATTAGGGATGATGCGAGGACGATTTTGATGGCGTGACAGTGGTTTCTCTTCGTCTTCTCCGGTCATAATTCCGTTGTTGGTGACGTAACAAGGTTACAAATTTGGGTTTACTTGGTTTGAGGTGGTTTGATATCGGTTTAAGTCATAAACCAGTCAAACCAATATATATGGGTTTTGAGATTTCGAACTTTGAATTCGGAGAGATTTAGGATGCGAAGTATTTTTTCGTAGATATCTAGCACGAGGTTATAGTTTGGGCTCTATCTATTATGATGTGATAGTTTTCGTGGGGAAATAGACCGATGTATAACATATTGTTTTAACATAAGATTACGTAAACATTTTTTTGGGTGATTGCTTAGCCCGCCTAAGTTCGCTCATAAGTGATTAAATGGACTTTGGGTTGCGGATTTAATATTCAACCTATGATATATAAAGTGAGAAGAACAAAACATTATATTATACGAAATGATGGTGAGAAATTCACGTCCTAGAAAGAAAAAAAGGAAAAAAAAAAACATCATTGCTTTAATCATGCCAAGCACCACTCCCTTCATAAGAAGAATCTATCGTGGATAACAAAACAACGATGAAAAAAAAAAAGTGAGTATAACTATATGATATTTCACTTTCACATCATTCTCGTTTTTTATTATGATGATGTTTCGCTTTCATACCATTATACGTGTATGCCTCGCTCATCTCTAGATGAATATGTACCGTTACAAATCGTACTAAAATCTAATCATCTTAAGATTAATTTTCGTTGATTATTTAAAACAGAAAAGAAGAAAAAAACGAACAACCCAAAAATTCGAAATCCAAAATTACATTCTAAAATCAAACTCAAGTCAAAGATTAGCAAATTATACCAAAACCAAACTCAAGCTCGAAATGGTTAATCATAGTCTTATAGAATGTAATGAAAACCAAAACATAAATCATTTGGAAAAAACTAGTATATAATAGACAATTACCACTAACATACAAAAAGAAAATTACGTACGAAATGATTAATTAAACACACCAAAAAAAATACATTTTAAAATATGTCTTGAAAAAAATAAAAATCAGACCAAGCTTCGTCTTCCATGATCGACAACAAAACCTACCTGTGACAACTCTTTTAACCACTCAAACGTTCTCTTCCTCGCCATCGCTGATTTCTCCTCTTTCTTCGCCGTCTTCTTCTCCATCATCCTCTGTTTCTCCTCCGTCTCAACTTTGATCTTCACTGGTACCATCATCGTCTCCGTCGACACCGAACACTTACAATCCGAAAACAAAAAACTTCTCCTCCGATTCCTCGATCTCGATTCTCCAGATCCTGTTTTCTTCGAATTCGAACTCGTGCTTGTACTACTACAACTACTATTCCGACTCACTGACAATCTCGCGTTTCCGGCGGTGGTTCGGAGTTCGATCTCCGGCGTACGGACGAGTCCTAACCTGAGAAAATCCCAAATCGAAGATGATTTAGGGTTTCTGATTGAATTAACACGAGCCGTCATGCTCGATGATCTTCGAATCTGTGGTTGTGGACTTGGTTGACTATAATCGATGAAATTGTTTTTGATTTTCCGGTCCGATCTAATTCCGGTTCTTCTGTATTCAACCGATTCGGATCTTGTAATTAACCGGGTCGGCTCGTTAAGTCCGGCGTCTAAACTGACGGAATGACGTAACGGCAGAATTCGCCCTTTGAAGAATAACTCGTCCGCCGTACTCATCTCCGGAGCTGGTTCACATGAATCCGACCCGGCTCGAAACGATGACCCGATTCCAAATTCGAATTCTTCATCTTCTTCTTTGACAATCGATCGTAATTCGCCGTTCTCGTTCGGTAAATTCACCGGTAAATCACAAAGAGACAAAGCTTCGTCTTCTTCTTCTACGTCATCGTCTTCTTCGTCTTCTTGATTGCGATGAGAGATCAAAAGGGCTTTTTCATCATCTTCCGTACAAGTCCTCGCCATTTCCGAAGCTTCCGAGTTTCCAACGAAGAGACAGAGAGGTACAAAATTTTAATTTAAACACATAACGAAAGAGAGGACGACGAATTTGAATATTTAAAGAAGACAAGAAGAGAAGTTTCTTTTGAAAAAGTCAAAAACGATTTTATTATTTTTTTCACTTAACCTATAGTCCTTGATACATAAATACACCTTTTATATACTTGGAGCAAGACATAAGCCATCGAAAACAAAAGTAAATTACACAACACACCGAAAGTTATTTTCCTTTTTTATTTATGTTGTAGAAATCTTAACCAAAAATAGAAAATCATGAGAAGTATGAGTCCTAGTTTACTAGACACGGTTTTTTTTTTCTTTTTACTTTTTCGATCAGTATCGTGACCATTGTGTACAGTAAGTGACAGCATGGTCAAAATAGTTATTTATTTGAATACAAATTTAATGCTTGTTTTGTTTTCTTGCCTAATTTTCAATCCTGAAAATAATACTAATGTTTAAACTGATTTTTTTTTTTAAAATGGTCAACTTGCATATGACACAAGAGTCTGTCTCAATACCGTCCATATGTGATTTAAATTTTAAAACCTTAACTAATTTTGTTCACAAAGCGTATTAAATATTTACTAGTTTCTTAGCCTGTTTAATGTTTATATTGCTATGGTTTTTTTAAGGAAGAAAAATAACACACATGATAAAGCTGAAAGGCTGTAAGATATGGCAGCCTTTTCTTTTATTTATTTCTACCTTACTTTTTCCGATAAGTGAAAAATATATAAACAAGAAACCAAGAAATAATAATAATAAGAATAGCTTAGAAGGTTGGGTCTGTGGAGGAGTGGGCCTAGGCCACTATTTCTGGCACGCGATAGTTACACTTTACCCAGCACCATCACCATCATCTTCAACATGCATACATTTTATCATGATTCTTATCGAAATTTTATCATTGCTTTTGGTGGTTTGTTGTTAATTACGAGCGTTAAAATTTGTTTTTATATATGTGTGGGAGCATAAATCAAGCATCATCTCCATATTTTAGTAAAAGAGAAGAGACAGAAAGTTATGCAGAAAAGATCCTTCTAATTGAATTGTAGCTAGAAATTAGGAGTTTGATTTTATTTTTGTCAAACGCGTATTAATGGTCTACAATTGTTTCCCTTAGTTGTAGAAACATTTAGACTTTGACTACTTATATAATTACAAACTATAAATAAAATGAAAATGACTCTTTGCATTTATATAAATGATAAGTTATATATATATATATATTGATGTATATATATATATATTGATGTATCAAATTCTAGAAGGATAAAAGTTTCATGAGAAAAGAACTTTACAACGAGTCAAGACAATATTTTCATCTACCAAATAAAAGGTAGAATGGATTTGAAATCATATGATACGTCTAGATCGAAATTGTATAATTATAGAAGTTGTTTTTGACTTAAAAGCACTAAAAAAAAGTGAGGGTGGTACCAAAAATAGTTGAAACTTGCGGTGCAAATCACAACAACAAATATGTTTTTGTCAACTTTTTATTTATTTAGATGATGGCCACTATTGTTCATTGCTTGTGACTCATGCGTCGCTTATGCCATTGTTTTGTTTTGTATGATTAAAGGGCCGCAAGAAACGACGTATCATATTGTCGTTTATACTTTTTCTTTATACCTATCTTCAAATCTCATAATCGCATTATTTATCACTTATTGGTGGTACTTAATAAGTGATATTTTTCTATCACTTTCTGTTAATATGAATTGGGACGTAAAGGATACAATATTTACCACACCTCTCACCTCTTTTCTGTTACATTTGGTTTGGCGTCTAATTCGATATTAAAAAAAGGGATTGAAAATATCGAACTTTACATATTACACATAATATGTTAACAAATGTCCACATGTATGTATAAATATGTACTGCTTATTAGTTTTTCGCATGTGGATATCGTTGATCCTGTACGCCTAATATTTGGCTTCCAAATCTTAAAGATGTTTAGAATCATGCAACGTGAACCAAACAAACATTGGCCATGAAAGGCATGATACAAAATAGACTTGTCGTTGTGGAGTGTGTGACAAGATGATTAATCGTTTGACTTTTGTTTTAACTTTTTTTAAAAAACATTTTCTCTTCATTAACTATCTCAAGTCACATGATAAAACACCTACAGACCCAGCTACTGTTGTGGCTGGAGAATATATTTCCTTTTAAAATTAGAAAGATAAAAACAGCAAGACATCCCATAACAAACTAGGCAAGCCTTAACAGACTGCATGCCGTTTTTGCTAAACAGAGGTTCTTCTTATCTGAAAACGGCATTACAATAAATCTGTGAACACCTTTTCTTTCCATAAAACCCCTTTCATTTTCTCATAATTTACGACTATGTCCAGCTAATCGCCACGGGACTTCCCACCACGTGTTTCCCATCTGACCATTCAATACTCCCAAAGCTGTTAGATCCAGACGCCTTTGACGAGTCTACAGTAAACGTCACCGTATACGATTTTTTCTCGTTAGCTTCCTTGAAATTCAAAACCGCCGGTTCAACCGAAATCTTGACTCCTGTTGTCTCCGAAGTTACTTTAACCGAATAAGTCCCAGCTCCTCCCACGCTCGTTACAGTGCGCGTGTACTTATACGCGCCGGCACCGTCAACGTTAACGGCGAACGACGGGTAATTCAAATCAGCGACGGAGTACGATTTACTCGGATCACACGTGTAATTACGTCTGGAGACCATTCTGATTTGCGACGACGTATAGTTCAATGCGCAGAGGAAGCCTAAGTAATCCTCCGTCGTTAGATCGTAGATGAGTCCTGGATTAGTGGCGGTTGTTGGTGACACGTGTCCTGCTCCGTGATCGAACGGTGTCGAAGGCTTCCCCGTCGCGATGTCGAGTAATGGTTTACCGTCTTTGTAGGTTTTGTAAGCGGTGGTCATAAGCGCCGATCTAATCGCCGCCGGACTCCATTCAGGATGCACCGACTTGAGAAGCGCCGCTAAACCGCTAACGTGAGGGCAAGACATCGACGTTCCGGAGATTATATTGAACTCCACGCGGCGAGAATCGGAAGCGAGTCCGGTTGGTCCTGCAGCAGTGGTCCAAGCGGCGAGGATGTTGACTCCAGGAGCGATCAAATCCGGTTTAAGAATATTCGGTGTAATCGAATTCGGTCCTCGTGAGCTAAACGCTGCAACAACCGGAGATGGTTTAACACCAACGACGGTTCCTAAGATCGAAATCGAAGCGGTGGGATTAGGATCAGTAGTTACGTAATGCCGGATTATATCACCGGCTTTTTCACCAACGGTGGTCGCCGGTAATAAATGAGCATCCGCTACAAGCTCTTCACCATTCGCCGCCGTGTTAGCAAGAATCATTCCAACTCCACCAGCTGCTTTAACCACCTCACCTTTCTGAACTCTAGCATTAACTCCTCTGTCACACATCACAATCTTCCCCTTTACTTTCTCCGGGATTAAAGTTCCAGTCATACAAAGATTACCATTAGTAGCATTACTAGCATTCCCGGCGTAAATAAACGGCAACAATTTATCCGGTAAAGCTTCTCCTTTAAACAAAGAAACTCCGGTGAAATTCTTCCCGTTACCGAGAATCGCTAGCGCCGGAAAATCACGATCTAAAGTACCAGCACCAACAGTTGTAATCCATGGAGCTACGTTTGATAAACTATAACTACTTGGACCAGCATTACCAGCTGAGCAAGAAACTAAAATCCCTCTTTCCATGGCGGCGAAAGCTCCGATGGCAACACCGTCTCTGTAATAATCCGACATTCCACCGCCGAGTGACATCGACAAAACGTTGACGTTATCGGCGATGGCTTTATCGATTGCAGCTAAAATATCTGAACTGAAACAACCACCGAGCCAACAAACTTTGTAAACAGCGACACGAGCGCGTGGAGCCATCCCACGAGCTGTTCCTGAAGCGTAACCTAATAAGCTAGCTCCTTCAACGACGGATCCAGCGGCGGTTGATGACGTGTGAGTTCCGTGACCGTCGTCGTCTCTAGGAGATCTTGATTCTTTAGATTCGTCTATTGGTCCCATCGTTGATTCGTAACCACGAGCGAAGAATCTTGCTCCGATTAGTTTACGGTTACAGAGAGAGGCGGTGAAATTAGTTCCGGCCTCGCATCCGCCTTTCCAGGTCGAAGGAATCGGACCGAATCCTTCGTCGGAGTAGCTTTTACTCTCGGGCCAAACTCCGGTATCGAGAACTCCGACGACGACGTCGCTGTATGAACCGGTTTCGGGGAATAGATCTGCGGTGTGTTCGTCAAGACCGAGGAAGAGAGGAGTCCGAGTCGTGTGGAGCTCGTAACGGTGCTCCGGTAAAACGGAGATAACACCAGGTTGAGTCATGAGCGAGTCGGCTTCTTCTTGAGTTAGCCGAGTGGAGAATCCATGAATCGCGTTCTCGTAAGTGTAGAGCAATTCAGCAGAGTCGGAGACAGATCTGAGAGATGAATCGTACCAGTTAGAGTGGAGGTCGAAAGTCGACGGCATCTGAGATTTAGCCATGTGAACGATGTAAGTTCCTTGTTCGGAGGAGGAGGAGGAGGACACGTGGCAGAATCCTAGACAAAGAAGGAGGAAGAAAGCAGTAGAGGAGAGAAACGAAGAAGACATGATTGAGATTGTGTGTTGTGTCTCTCTCTGAATCGAAAGAGAAGATGAGAGGGAGTTTAAATACAGTAGTAGAGAGAAGAAGAAGAAGATGAGGATGCGTACGAATGAATCATTATTAGAGACTCTGTTGTGTCCACTCTTCTTCTTTTGACAGTGATGACTATTCTTTTGTCGTTAATTTTGTAATTAGACATGTGTTCTGTTCACATGAGTGTACTTATGTTCGCATGAAATACTATACAGTTATTTTCGTATATTGTTGTCTCGAGATTCTGTTTGCTTTATCGTCTCGAGATACTGATCTTTTTCTCTAATTTTTACTGCTTATAAAGCTGATACAGTATAGAGGTTCGATAGATGCATCAAGCCATGTGGTTCACAGGTTCAGAAAACCATTATGATGTTGGTTTTATTAGGACATAATGTCCCACATCGGAAGTTGAAAGGGATCCTAAGTAATATATAAAGGGATATGGGCCACTCCACTCATTGCCAATTGGTTTTGAGTTGGAAGCCCATAGAACTTAACATGGTATCAGAGCCCGATCCACACATGTCCAACCCGATCCGACCCAAAGATGGTCCAATCATCGACAAGGCCCAAAATTGATGCCGTCGATCTAAGCCCGAATATTCCGAGATTAATGGCCAAAGAGCCATCATCTCGAGGGGGCGTATTAGGACATAATGTCCCACATCGGAAGTTGGAAGGGATCCTAAGTAATATATAAAGGGATATGGCCACTCCACTCATTGCCAATTGTTTTTGAGTTGGAAGTCCATAGAACTTAACAGGTCTGACGTTCCAAAACCATTATGAATAATTGAATATAGCCTTTTTTAATTTTATATTAGTCGAAGATTACTTTATTTTTCCTCTCTCCCGTCCAAGGTTTCTGAATCACGGATACGATCGACTACGAATATACAGTATTTGGTGGTGTGTATTTATGTGATTGTTTAATTCGTTTTTAAGTAATCATTATTTTTAAAAAAGTATTTAGTTTGAGTATATGTTACGTTGGTTTCCCATACACTTTGTTATACCATACGTTACGAAATAATCGACCATGTAACAAGGAGTTGGAAATGACTAATTAGTGGCCCATGACTCACCAAGGCATTAAGTACTTTGTAGGATTACTACTAACCCAATAAAACCGAAACAGATAAATATATTTATGAATTTCGATATGAATCGAGTGCCCACTCAAAAGTCAAAACAAAATAGTTTACTTTTGGTTTTAATGTTAAAGCTATATCAACAGAAGTGGTTACAACCTAATTTACCCAATCTAACTCTACTAAATAAATAGAGAACCCACAAAAACTGGAATTTCAAGACAGTGCGTTGTTCAAAACAAAATAGCTTTCAAACCCTCCTTTTGAATAGTTTATATACATATTAGTAGGGATGATTAGTTTAATGCATGGGTTTATTGGGGTCAAAATAAAATGTTATATTGAGTTAATACGTAATATGTTTCCGGTTTAGTTAAACAAAACAATAGCTTGATCTTGGGTCGGGATCAACCGTTCCGATTGAATATTATATCCATAGGAAAAACAATGGAAATATTCAACCACGCAAATATTAAGTTATTGAGTATTTTATTTGGCGTTAATGACTATAACCGATGATGATACAAGTGAGAACACGCATAAGACTAGATTTGGATCTAAGCACAGCTTTTGGGATTATGGCCCACGTGTCATAACGTGCTATTTCCCAGATCTCTTATATGGTTTTATTACTTTGATATCGAACCTGATCTCTTATCTCTCTGCAAAAGACAAACCTAAAGCAAACTCCAAACCATCCTCATCCGTCCAAATAGCATTATCATTAACCATTAGAAGCTTGATGTTACGTACAACTAATCATGAACTGAAATTAGAGAGAAAACAAAGAATCATGGAGAGAAATTTGTGTAACCTTTTTTTTCTAACCGACATTGATATTAAATACATGGGAACTACATTGCAAAAATATGACAACATCTACGTTTTCAGAGTAAATCCAACTCAATATGAAATTAGTAAGTTTCCTTTTATTTTTTCAATTAATGAACCTGAGATGTTATTATTCGTTGAATCAATTATGGCAGTTAGGACAGCTGAGTCGCAACAAGTACATATTAATTCGCGACATGTGACCTTTACTAGTATAAGCTAACACTATTAATCAAATCCTTGAAACATCATATTCTAATCCCTACAAGCAAAAAAAAAAATATTCTAATCCCTTTTTTTCCCAACGACACATCATACCAATTCCTGCCTAATACAGCTTACACTAAGGCCCTGTTTGTTTGATCATTTGGCATTTGCATCCAAATGATCCATCTAAATGTTCTATTTGGATGATCCATCTGAATGATGTTTGTTTGGTTATATTACATTGCCATTTACATTCCCATTTACATGCTTTTGATAAGAAAATGATAAAGTCCATGCTTTCATCTAATAATATATTTAACCTCAATCTTAAATACATTAATTTTAATTATTGATTTAAAATATATTTACAACTAAATAATTTTTAAATTATTAAAACATATATAAACTAATTTTATGGGTCTCGCGGGAAAACATGATTTTGCGGTTTTGCTGCAAGATATAATTTTGCGGTTTTGACGGAAAAATATGTTTTTGCGGTTTTGATGGACAAACATGATTTTTCTGTTTTGAAGGAAAAACATGATTTTGTGTTTTTGGTGGAAAAAATAATTTTACGGTTTTGGCGGGAAAACATGATTTTGCGGTTTTGGCTGGAAAAAATGATTTTACGGTTTTGGCTGGAAAACATGGTTTTGCGGTTTTGGCGGAAAAACATGATTTTACGGTTTTGGCGGGAAAAAATGATTTTACGGTTTTGGCGGGAAAACATGGTTTTGCGGTTTTGGCGGGAAAACATGATTTTACGGTTTTGGCGGGAAACATGATTTTGCGGTTTTGGCGGAAAAAAATGATTTTACCGTTTTGGTGGATAAACATGATTTTGCGGTTTTGGCGGGAAAATATGACGTTGCGTTTTTGGCGGGAAAATCAATTTTGTGGTTTTGGCGGTAAATTTATGTATTATGTGATTTCACGATTTTTAGAGTTTTTTTTTTATGCAAATATGTAATTTTAAAATATTAAATAAGAAATCTATAGAAAATTAACATTATTTAAGATATGACTATAAAAGAGGTTATATTTGTCATTTGTTTTTTTGACTAAACCATCTCCATCCAAATGGTCCAATCAAGTTCATCCAAATGAGTTTGACAAATTTGCCTAAATTTACAAACTCATTCAAATGACCCATCCAACTAATTCATCCAAATGATCTGCTAAATCATCAAAAACAAACATCATTTTTCATCTCCATCCAAATGGATCATCTAGATGGAGAAACGAACAGGGCCTAATACTTTAATCTGTTTCCTCACTTGTATTCTTCTTGTAGATAATATTCAACGATCTCTACACAAAATATATTATTAAACCGACAAATCGTTTAACGTCCGGTTCGGTTTAAATTTCTAGATCGACAAATCGCTGAGTGCCTGAGTCCGGTTTAAATTTCTAGATACCCCACAATTAGATGTATCCGTTAGAAGTTGAGTCAACAATTTTGTCTCACCTCGAACTACGTAGTGTTGATGCAAGAATCTAGGTACTCGTGACTCTCTTCTGTCTGTATACTACGCTTATCTGCATGTCCGCATTACACATCAAAATGTCTTAATGTACACACTTTATTTTTTGGCTTTTTATAACATCCATGTACACACTTTATTCAAAGTAGTAGTGGTCTTTATGTGATTACTTTGGCATCAAAATGTATGTCACGGTCTTCCATTAAATGCTTCATCTTTACTTACTCAGCAAGTTGTTTACATCAGATAATAATGGTACATTGATCTCGTGATTTTTGCAGGTTTTATCAGTTACAATTTCTTACAATTTTGTAATTTTATCATTTTTAATATCAAAATTAATTGAATCCTGCTTTGTTACTATTTTCTCATTTCAGGCCAAACATTTTTCTGGTTTTCTACGATTATATAAAGTTGAAATTATATATATCACAAATTACAGAGAAAAAATGATTATTAGAAAAACCTCAAACATTTATCTAGAAAAACAGAGAGAACACGTAAGAGAACGTACATAACGAACTACATTTCGTATAACTCTATGGGTCTCGTCGAATACATCAACTAACAAATGCTTTGACGGTTGGGTTGGGATCCATGTAATGTGTGTGTGTGGCAATTAGAGACTTTGGTTCGTATGGTACGACATGAATTAACGTCAGACCTAACTAAAGTCCCATCCATATAATTAAAAATTAAGGGAACCAAAAAAATTAAATTAAGGGAACCATTACAGTAATTCGTTTTCTTACATTAATTTATTTTTATAAATAGAAAAATAAAATTTTTAAAATACAGAAACAGCAGAAGCTGGCAGGTTGGTCCATTTTATTGGACTCTTACTGATAATGCCACGATGAATATTTGACTCTTGTTTTTTTCCTTCTTTCTTTGGATTAAAAATAGAAAGAATACTATATATCAGGATTTTAATTGGACCACCCTTTTTCTTGTTTTGGAAATTGAACTGTATGGTGCCTACCAAAAATTTATTTCAGAAACATTTTTCTCTTTTTCTATTTAACAACTCGTGTGCTTTTTTGCCTTTAACTGTTAAAGTTAGTGGGCTGTCAATGGAATACCTAATAATACCCTTAAGATGGGCCTTTAGTTGTTAGCATTCACTGGCCCATGTGTTCCACTCGAAATAACGAAACGACGATTCAATGATATGTGTGGATAACTCAATTTCTAGTGACGATGAGGCTTATTAAAGCCGTTTTAATCAAAAATTACATATTGTAGAGTGTGGTCTTGGTATTCTATTATAGTGACAACTATTTGACAAGATCTTCCCATTTGCAATATTGTCCACCGGCTAATGCACGGTAGTACCGGTCTCTGCAATAGACAGGTCTTCCATCAGCAGCCTCAGCTGCGGCTGCTGCCAGGTCATCGTCGGTCACAACATCTACAGGTAACCGAAGCAGTTGTTCTTTTCTGCAATTTTGTATATAGTGAAAAGAGGTGAGTTTTGATTTCAAAAAGGCCAAAAATTCCAAAAATTCTTATCCATTTCCTTACCTTATATTGAACTTGTTGCTGGTTCTTGAAATGGAAACTTCTGGTTGGTTTTCTTTAGATCTTAGAGTGGTTTTAAAGAAATCCTCGACTGGTGTTGCGAAAACAAATAGCACAAATGCTGAAACTAGTAAAGCTCCTGTTCCGATTAATGTTTGTTTGAGCATCTTGATCACTGGCTTCACCTGAAAAAAGTTTCCTGATTTTTGTTTGTTTGTTTGCTTTTTGCAACATTGAATAAGAAACCTTGTTTGTGTATTGTTGTTACCTTGTAAGAACCTAACAACCTGTCGCGAGCCAACACCTGAAAACACAAATGCAAGGACACAATAATTATCCATTTCAAGCTACCACAAATGACTAGAACTATGAAAAAAGTGATAACTTGGTAGTGATAATATTGAGTTTCTACATATTTGTCATGTATGCTGGCTAAACAAAAGAAGTTGAAGTTAACTAACCTCTGGTGGTTTCACCCACATTTGTCCATCATACCATCCACTCTCTTCGTATGGTATAACAGCAGAAAGTAGTCTATCTCCAACATAGCTCCATCCCTAAAGATATACCAAAAGTCAAGAACAAATCATTCAAGCTCACAACAAGTGAGACATCTTTGGAGAGAAGAAAGCTGGTCAATTTTAATACCAGGTAAATCCTCAAGACAATCAATGAAACCAGGAATAATGTTCCTGTTCCTGCAGCTAGAGCAAATCTCAAAGGTTCCTGCAACATTTTTCAATAGAAAAATATATTATAATCTCTACTAAAACACATCTTGTTGCACAGAGGCTCTGTTTCAAAAAAGCTCACTCTCGAAGGATTAAAGCTAGCAGCTGCAATTGGAACACCAAGAACAGTGAAAGTAACCAACCAAAGACCACCGAGACGAATAAAAAAATCGCTTGGACCCAATTCTCCCCACGAATACAACATTCCTTCCTTCAAAGACGAATACTCATTCACCTACAAACCAAAACGTGTAATTTTTTTACACACTCAAAAAATCTCATCATAAGTTCAGAAGAAGAAGAAAACAAAAGTGATTTACTTACGGGTCTTTGGTCTGAAGGAACTTCAATCTCTGAACTAGGATCCCAGCTTTGACCAGGGAAACTCATGCTTCCACCTCCATTATTACCTTTGTCTTCCACTGCTTTCACCGAAACACTAAGAAGAAGCTCCTGCTTCTTACCAACATCATCGCCGATTCCGCCATATTTGATGATCGACGAAGAATCATAGTAACTCCCGAGCTTACTACTGCTACTACAAACTCGGTGGGATTTCTTGGGAATCAGAGGGTAATTAACGATTAACCTGAGCATTGCTTGATCTGATTCTTGTTCTTGAGAGTACCGTTGATTGAAGATTAAAGGTAAGTGGAGCAGAGCACCTGATACACGGCAAACAATACAGAACCAGAAAAAATAATAATCAGTTTAGTTTTGGTTTCTTCGGTGACTTGTGGCGTATCTCTCTCGCCACGTGGCACATGCTCCCTTGCACGCATTCTCTCGTGTTTCCACGAGCCTCTCTACGTGAATTGTAATTGGGCCACTCAGGCCCACTTTAAATTAATCGGCTTTTAATCAAAAGGCCCGTTGCAGTCGTTTTCATAACAAAACGAGGAGCTCAAAACCACATTTTGCAAATGAATAGTATTTATTTTTCCATTACCCATACGTTTGAATGTTTTTGACTAGCGAGCGCTTCTCGGAGACGATCTTCTTCATCACTTAGTGACTTGGCTAACTTCCTTCAACAGTATCTCCGCCACGCTGCTTGTAACATACGCCCCATGTTCTCCATTGCACTGAATCAAGTCCCGATTGAGCCGATTCAATCCGAGAACAGAGCCAAAGAAGCTGATAGGAGAGACCAAACCTGAAAGTATATTGGAGCTAGAACTGGACATTGAACCAAGCAAGTGAAGCACTATAACAACAAAGGTTCTATTAGTCCAATAGCGTAAAATATTATTTGTGAGAAACCTTAAAACTTAGCCAAGTGTTAATGTTAAATTTAATATATGTGAAAACGTATTGAACATATGACACCACAAAACTTACGGACCAAAAGGACGGAATGCTAAGTCCGGTTTGTTTAACACTTAAATTTCAATAGTAACATTTTGTAATTAGGTTTGAAACATTTTGTAAAATTAAATTTCAATAGTTAAAAACCAAAACAATTTACTTAAAACATTATTTGTGAAAAACCTTAAAACTTAACCAAATGTTAAATTTATAATCCGTGAAAACATGTTGAACATATGATACCAGAAGACTTACGGACCAAAAGAACGGGATGTTACGTGTTAAATTTATTTAAAATTTTAGTAAAATTCATTTTTATTTTTTTAAAAGTAGTTTAATAGTTAAATCTATATTACGTGAAAACATTGCCAAACTTCGAACACCAAAGCTTACGGACCAATTAAGAATAGGATGCCTATGCACGGTTAGTTTTCGACGTTTTTAAAATTTAACATTTAAACTCATTTTTAAAAAAATTTAAGGAAATTTATGGTTTTATTCTTAAAGTTTAAGTTTTAAATTTGTTTTAAATTTTAGGGAAAATCATTATTATTTTTTAAAAATGAGTTTAAGTGTTAAATCTATATTACGTGAAAACATGCCGAACTTCGAACACCAAAGCTTACGGACCAACGAAGGACATGATGCCTAGACGCGGTTAGTTTTCGACGTGTTAAAAATTAAACACTTACACTAATTTTTTTTAAAAAATTAATGAAATTTCATGGTTTTATTCTTAAAGTTTATATGTTAAATTGTTTTAGAATTTAGTAAAAATCATTATTATTTTTTAAAAATGAGTTTAAGTGTTAAATCTATATTACGTGAAAACATTGCCGAACTTCGAACACCAAAGCTTACGGACCAACTAAGAACAAGATGCCTAGGCGCGGTTAGTTTTCGACGTTTTTAAAATTTAACACTTAAACTAATTTTTTAAAAAGTAATAGTGAAATTAACATAGTTTTAGTTTAAAAAAGATTATGTTCTTAAAGTTTAAGTATTAAATTAGTTTTAGATTTTAGTGAAAGTCATTATTATTTTTGAAATAAAAATTTTTATTTAGTTAAATGTTTTAGTGAAGGTTTTTTTAACTAATTAGTTTAAGTAAAACTTAAACTAATTTTTAAAGAAAAAAAATAAGAATGGAAAAGTAATACCTTGTTGGATTTTATAGCAAAGAAGGCCCAGACAAAAAAAACCCTATATGGGCTTTTTGTTGGGCTGAAGATGATAATCATCATGATATTGCAATCCAAGACCTTCTTCTCCACCACCGTGTGACCTTCTTCTCTACCACTGTGTCCGTTACCGAGAACGCAAAAACTTCCAATGATCTTCCTCAACAAGTGTATTGAAGATCTGACGTCCTTGAAGTCAAACAAAACCTCCGAGAAGATATCGAGAGACGAAGGGAGAAGAAGAATCAGAGCATCATCTTCTTCATTCGCGCCGAAGATTTTTCCAGAGAAAATCATGAAATTCGAAGAAATCAAAGATGAAACTGAAGCAGGAATCGATGAAGATAATGGTAAAAAACCAGAGCAATTGGCGCACATAATTTCATATCTCTCACTCTATAACTCTCTCTCTCAATCTCGGTGTGTTTCTCTGTTTTTTTTGATAAAACTAAAAAAAACGATACACATAAAGAGAAGAGAAGGCTCGAGACTCTCTATTTATAGACTAATCTTATGTGTTTGGGATCAAAGTTTCCTTTTTTCACTCTTTTGTGTTGTTTCCTTTTTTTTTTAACACAACGGTCAAGAAAGCAAAGTATCTAATCGTATCTTCTAATATACAACGGTCGTATATACTCTTTTCATGTTGTGTTTCCTTTTTTAAAACAAATCTTCTCTTTTGTTTCCTATTTCACTTGGGTTTTAGAGCAAAAATAGATACACGTCTTACCATAGCCAAGATTCTAGAGCGATGAAGAAAAAGATACTTGTGTTCGGGATTTCAATACTGAGATGGAATCAACTAAGGCAGAGGCAGAGGCTCATGATTTGCTAAAGAAGCAATTGGAAGAGGTAGCTACGGATTGTAACCAAATGAAAGAGAGCGCTTGTGGTTGCAGAAACAGAGCTTGAGCCTACAACGGAAGGAGAAACTCGAGGAAAGAAGATGAGAATAATTCACTTCTTGATGATGATGATAAGTTTTTGGGTTTGATAATTAAGTGATAAAACTTGAACATTACTTCTCTATCTCTCTCCGTTATAAAGAGTTTAGCAGATAGACATAATTTGTTTTTCTTATCTACAGAACAATATCTTCCTTTTTTTGATATATGTATGGGAAACATCCATTTCATTTAACCAGAAAACATGGCGGGAAAGCTCGAACATTTCGTGAACCAATACATACTTGAATAATAACATTAAAATATTTAAAATATAAGAGGTTTCAGACATTTGAAGTCAGGACAAATTTGTTGGACAGAAGAAACATCATCTTGATATAAGAATACTTGAAGAAAAGATGAACAATACCATCATCATCACCAGAAAGTTCAAGACAGATCTCTGTGTTTCATTGACTTCTCATTCTGCTGGTTTCTGCTGCCCTAACTTGGGCGAAGTAAGGGTGTGCCTGTCATCAAATCAACAAAGTATATTGATTTACCTAATATCTGATTATAAACAAAAACAAAGGCTTCTTATTCGTACCATGGCTTCTTTTGCAGTTAATCTATCTTGATGATCATACCGAAGTAGCTTGTCGAGGAAATCAATCGCCTACACGGTTTATGACAAAACCCGTTAGAACCCAACTAAATCATTTTCTATATAAGGACTCAAGAAAAGATGTAAACCTCTGGTGAAACCAAATGCTGATTGTCTGCGTTGATGAATTTGGACCAAGGTTTCCTGCTATGCCTGTAGGTTGAGTTCCATTAAAACCATAGAATGATACAAAACTATCCTTAGCTTCAGCTCATTACATGGAAATTAGAAGCTCAGAGATTACAACATAATGTTGAATATTCACGTACCGCCCAACAAGTGCTTCGAGTTGTGGATCAAGTTCTAACTGGTACTTGTTCAGATAAGCATTCAATTCGTCAGTCCCAATCACCTGGGAATAAGAAGGAGAGTTCATTACGACAATGGAAACGGAGATCTGCAAAAATTCTAGATACGGAATTACAAGTAATATACCTTGGCAATTTTCACTAGCTGATCCTGATTGTCATGCCCGTAGAAGAAAGGTTCCTTACGGAATATCTAATATGGTGAATGAGGAAAAATTAGCTAATAATTAGATCACCACAATTTCATTTCTCAGGAAAAAGGAAAGTCTTCCAAATGTTATATCAAGAACTCACCATCCCGGCAAACATACAACCAAGACTCCACATATCCAATGAATAGTCATAGTCTTGCAAGTCCACGAGAAGTTCAGGTCCCTTAAAGTATCTGATACACATTAGGAGAGATAAACATCAGAGTGAAGCTTGGCAACAGCGAAAAAAATGAAATAAAGGGTATGAAGTAAAACCATACCTTGAAGCAACACGGACATTATACTCTTTTCCAGGGTGATAAAACTCAGCAAGACCCCAATCTATAAGGCGAAGCTTACGCAGCTCATGGTCAATCATAACATTGTGAGGCTTGACGTCTCTGTGCATTATTCCTTGTGAATGGCAGAAGTCCAGTGCCTGAAACAGATAAGTCCAATGAAATGTGAGTATGAAGTCAAATGGAATACTTTTAATCCAATCAATATCAGATGTTTACCTTCAAAAGCTCATAGATATAGTAACGAATGTCGTAATCAGTCAACGTAGGATACAAAACTTTAAAGTCTGTGCTGTTCACATATTCAAAAATCAAGCTTGGAGTTTTTGAATGTTGATCTCTAACAACATCAAGCAGCTTGACAATATTTGGCCCACCGCATAAGTTCTGAAGTATTTTAATCTCTCTTCTTATCTACGAAACAAGGATCATAAAATTCAGGAAACATCCTCAATTATCCAAACTAATCAAACCCAAAACATTGTAAAACAATTCACCTTCTTTTTCTTAACAGGTTTGAGGATTTTGATTATACACTTCTCCTTGCTGTTCACATTTATACCCTCGAAAACTTCACTATATTTTCCACGCCCTACCTTCCTTACTACTTCATAATCATCTTGTTCCCTGAGAGAGCAAAGAACAACATCAAAAATTTAACTAAAACATCACTGCTTTACACCATAACAGAGGAACTATAAGCAAAACAAAAAATCAAAACTCATCAATAGAGATAAAAGTAAAGTTTCTTCTACATTAGATTAGCTTTATCAAGAAGCAAATCCAGAGCAAGCTGAATTCAAATTCACTACAAACCCTAGAAAAATCGATTATATTACTGTACCAATTACCAATTCAGCTAATTCTAGGGTTTAACAATCTTACCCCCATTGAACAATGAGTGACTCGTAATCCCAATAATCCTTGGGTCGAATCACGTTAACGTCGGTGTAAACACGAGCTTTCGACATCGCTCGCGTCTGGTTAGAATCAGAGATCTCGACGAGAGAATCTGGTCCGATCGTGGTAGTACCGGAAACGTCCGAGACAGCTTTCGCTGTGGGAGTGACAATAGATGAGCGTAGGATAGGAGAGTGCGCCAACGGCGCACGTAAGGTTAAGATGGCGCACACTAACAAGAGACGTCGAAGAGGAGATTCGAAGAAGAGGAAGAAGAAGAACAGCGTATCTATCATTCACTACGCTCTTCCGCACCAGATTATGATTTCTTTTTGTTTTCCTTTTTTGCGGTTTGCGTTGTTTTTGCGCCAACTAAATTTACCAAAAAGGCCTGACAAAGAATTATGGGCTTTATGGCCCAATATAAATGGACTCGAACATTCCACCCGCTTATACATATTAGGGTTCTTATTTTGGGAAATTTTTGAAATTTCTGATTTCTTTTTGCAAGGTTCGATTTTCTCAAAAAGTTTCTGAATTTTGATTTCGGATTGTATTTCGATCGGTGGGTCTTTAAATTATGGTGCTAATTCTCAAGAAAATATGCAATAATGGGCAAGAAAAAGTTCGTAGACAAGAAAAAGATGGAAACTTTCTATTTTTGTGTCCCCACGATTCAACTGCGACAAAGCCATTTAAAGATTGATCAGTCTCCTATCATTATCAATGGGTTTTCCGACAAATGTAACAGCTAATTGGTCATAGTCGTTCATACGCCCGAAGATTACGCTATGGATGTGTTAGGAGTTGAGGCATTTGATGGATGAAGAAGGCTCAATGAGAGGTCAATGTATAGTGTGGAGTGTACAACTTTTAACATCAGATTGCAAAAAGCTATTGATCATGAAGTGGTTGAATTGGTTAACAAATAGTGATTCTTGATTCCAATGTTGTGGACTCGAAGGAAGGTTTTGTCGTCTTTACTCATTTAGCTGACCAAGCCATGAAAACAACTAGAGGTAAATAACTCAGATTCATGTATCATTTTCTGTTTTTATTGTTCCCAGCTATTTCAAAATTTTGAATTTTTCCTTGAGGACGTCTTATATTATTCAAGAGACACAATTTATTGCAAGATTGAGTTGAGTCTCAATCAAAATGTTGAGGCATATAGTGACTTCAATTATCAGAAGAAAAAAAAGGAAGAATTTAAAGATGATAAGACTCTTTGTAGGGACAAAGATCATATCATTCATGTTCTGTCACAAACCAAGATTCTGCAGCTTACTTATACTTCTTCACTCTCTTCTCCTTTACCGTTAAACCAATTTATAGCTAACAATATATTATATTTGTAAGAGATATATGTATTTGTGGAGAGGAATCAATACTCTTTTTTTTTTTTTTGGAATTATTAGTTTTGGTCCAAAGATGTGTGTCTGATCCACTTGGACTCTTCTGAATTTTTAAACCAATCCATTACCACACACACTCCCTCCTTAGACTGACTCTCTATCTTGTACTATCCATGAGAATTACATAACTACCCTGTTCTGTTCTGTTCATTGCTCTTGGTGGTAAGGGTAGTTTGTGGTTTTCTTTGTTTGGAGAATTTGAGTTCTCTTTTTCTGTTTGGTCACAATTATTAGAGGAAGAAGCTCATTTGGTTGATCTTATTCTCTCTTTTAGTACGTTACGGCACGTCTTCTTCATGAGAAGGACTTGAAATAGTGTTCCATGGTGAATTTCTTGAGTGAAAAGAAACTGCGAGCTAAGTGTTCGTAATATGTCAGCAAAGAAGAAAGATCTTTTGTCTTCAGCCATGAAGAGAACCAGTGAATGGTTTTTTATTCTCTTCATAAGATTTTTTTGTTTCTCAATCCTTTTTTCTTTCCAGTTCTGAAGTAGAAATCGTTTCTCTTTTGCTGTGATTAAACATAAAAATCCATTCTTTATTACATCGTTTCAGGATCTCTTCTCAAGAAGTTTCTAGTGATGTCACCGTTCATGTAGGAGAAGCTTCTTTTTCACTGCACAAGGTAGATTCTAGATCTATATTTAGCGATCACTCTCTATGATGATTAACCAATGTGATGATCACATTCTTGCCGATTCGGTTATCTTTCTCTCTGAATCTTGCAGTTTCCACTCTTGTCAAAATGTGGGTTTATCAAGAAACTTGTGTCGGAATCAAACAAAGATTCAGATTCCACCGTTATCAACATAACAGATATCCCAGGAGGCTCTGAAGCATTCGAGCTAGCGGCTAAGTTCTGCTACGGAATTAACTTTGATATGAGTACAGAGAACATTGCCATGCTGCGATGTGCAGCAGAGCATCTAGAGATGACAGAGGAACACTCTGTGGAAAATCTCGTTGTAAGAGCCGAGTCTTACTTGGATGAAGTAGCTCTCAAGAGCTTATCGAGTTCGATCACTGTCTTGCACAAATCAGAGGAATTGTTGCCCATTGCTGAAAGAGTAAAACTTGTGAGCCGTTGCATCGATGCAATTGCTTATATGACTTGTCAGGAGAGCCAATTTTGCAGTCCTTCCTCTAGTAATAGTGGTAACAATGAGGTTGTGGTTCAGCAGCAGAGCAAGCAGCCTGTGGTTGATTGGTGGGCTGAAGACTTAACGGTCCTTAGGATTGATTTGTTTCAACGTGTCCTGATCGCGATGATGGCTAGAGGGTTTAAGCAGTATGGACTTGGTCCAGTGCTTATGCTCTATGCTCAGAAATCTCTTCGAGGGTTGGTGAGTTTCCTGCAAAACACACATACCATTTTGGTTCGGTTGACTCTCTTCTTTTGTTGAAGTTCCACAAACTAGGGACAAAGAATGATCCATAAAAAGTTGTTTTCTTTTTTTTCTTTGCAAAATGCAGGAAATTTTCGGGAAAGGTATGAAGAAGATTGAACCAAAACAAGAACACGAGAAAAGAGTGATTCTTGAAACAATTGTAAGCCTTCTTCCTCGAGAGAAGAATGCAATGTCGGTTAGCTTTCTCTCTATGCTTCTACGTGCAGCAATATTCCTTGAAACAACGGTTGCTTGTAGACTTGACTTGGAAAAGAGAATGGGATTACAATTAGGACAAGCCGTGCTCGACGATCTCTTGATTCCTTCTTATTCATTCACTGGAGATCACTCTTTGTTTGATACTGACACTGTTCAACGCATTCTCATGAATTATCTTGAGTTTGAAGTTGAAGGAGTCCGCTTAAGCAATAACGGTGTTGATCTTGCTGGTGATATGGAACGTGTTGGTAAACTGTTGGAGAATTATATGGCTGAAATTGCTTCTGATAGAAATGTGAGCTTGCAGAAATTCATCGGTTTAGCTGAACTTATTCCTGAACAGTCCAGGGTTACTGAAGATGGTATGTATCGAGCCGTCGACATCTACCTTAAGGTAATATTAAGTTAGTAAACATTTCATTTGCACTATATTGATCAAGTTCCCATTATCTTAAGAGATTTTGAAAATTTAAGAGATACCGAGTGAACAACTATGTTTTTTTCTTGCAGGCGCATCCAAATATGAGTGATGTTGAGAGGAAGAAAGTGTGCAGCTTAATGGATTGCCAAAAACTATCACGAGAAGCTTGTGCTCATGCAGCTCAGAATGATCGTCTTCCTGTTCAGACCATTGTTCAAGTCCTTTACTACGAGCAACAACGTCTACGAGGAGAAGTCACTAACGATTCAGATTCTCCAGCCCCACCACCACCTCCACCAGCAGCTGTTCTTCCTCCCAAACTCAGCTCCTACACTGACGAACTCTCCAAGCTGAAACGCGAAAACCAGGACTTGAAGCTCGAACTTCTCAAAATGAAAATGAAGCTTAAAGAGTTTGAGAAAGAGAGTGAGAAGAAATCTTCATCATCAACCATCAGCACCAATCCAAGTTCACCAATCTCAACTGCTTCCATGGGTAAGCCTCCATTGCCAAGAAAGTCATTCATAAACTCTGTTTCAAAGAAACTCGGAAAGCTAAACCCTTTTGGCATCACACCATACAACGGTAGAGGCAGAACGAAACCACCAAAAGATCGGAGACACTCTATTTCTTGAAAACCATATTTTGCACACATATAAGTATATGTTTAATTTTTGCTGGAACTTATAAGTTCTGATTCAAGGATTTTTTTTTTCTACTTATCAACATTTGATATTTTTGTGTCTTAATGATGTTTGTTTGTACATAAAGCTGGTAATATTTTTTTAAGAAATATTCTAAATAGCTTGAAAGTAAGTTTTAGCTCCAAGAGTATCACAATCTTGAAAGAAAAAAAAAATCCATACATATTATTATGTGAAGCTTTATGAAAGAAAGTGGAACATAAAATATGGTATTTTTGCTAATAAATGTATAAAACTTTATCTGTGGAAGTTATCACTTATATTACTCATAAGTTATGAGTATATCATAGATTCAGAGAATTTGGGATTCTAAGGCCTTGAATGTTTGGTGGATTTTAAAAGAGTTTTTGGTTTTTGATTTTCAAAATCTCATTATCTTACCAATCAAGATTTTAAAATTTTGGTTTCTGTAGAATTTAAAAAATCGATTTTGCTATTATCTCCCATTCAAGATTTTAGATTTTTAGTTGTCCTACAATTTAGGGAATCTGGTTTTTGATTCTTCTACGTTATTTTACTCAAAAGCCAAAAACCATATTTTCTAGATTTTGGAAACAAAAATCTAAATACAAAATCTAAAACTAAAATCCAAAAACTAAAAAGTAAAAACTAAAACCAAAATCTGAATTAAAAACAACATCCATTCATGGCCTAAAGCTGATAATGATCAAACAAGATCGTGGGGTCATGTATGAAAAACTAATAGTAGTAACTTTTCATTTTCAATATTTTTGGAAATTAGAAAAAAGTATATATAAATCAGAATTAAAACAGGGGAAGTAGGTGATGCTTGAAGCCTAAAGGGAACATGCCAGCAGATAGTGCATGTTCTTGTCCCATAACTAATTCATCATTGGCCCCTTTTATAACTTCTCCTCTATTATTATTTCTTATTCATAATAATAATTCAATTTTGCTCACCAAAAATGATAATAATTCAATTTCATTATCTTCTCCTTTTTATGTGTATTTTATAGCTAAAAATCGAACCTTATATAGATACTTAGTTGAACAAAAATATATACTTCATACTGTTTGATATATTTTGAGCTCTAGGATAATTAATATGTATCTTCAGAAACAATAAAACATTAATATTGATTTTATTTACAAGAACCCTAAAAAGAACTACTAAAGAAGAAAATTACTGATAAGCATTAAATAAAAAGGAAAAAAAATCACCTGATAAGAAGCATGATAAAACAATCTCATCAGAAAATAAAAATTAAACTACTAAATTGAAAAAAGAGATGCAAATCTATTTCAGAATACAGTTAAAATTAATATTATTTATTATCAAATAACATTCAAGGTCAATGCTTGAAGCCATGGCTGCTTCTGATGCTTCATCATTCTTTCTTGCCTCACTTGTTCTTCAAGATTGTTGTTATTGTTATTACTTGATCCTGTCGAAGACGAAGAGAAACTCCGGCGACCGGAATTTAAATTTCCGTCCATCATCTCCGGCAAAGAGTTCTTTTTCTTCTTCTTGTTCATCCTCATCAATTCATCACCACCGTAACACGACGGACCAAGTGTTAACTCGATCTCACTCTCATCCATAATCTCTATATTATTACCACCGGAGAAATTCGCCGGCCGGTCAATCTCATGGTCAACTCTTCTGATGAATGGTCCTAGACCTGAGTTTACATGATTGTTCTTGGTAGTAAATTTGTTAATCTCCATGTTCTTCATCAATATCTTCTGAACTTGATATAATCTATGAAGTTCATATACCTGAAAATGCATTAATTAAAAACCATATATTAATTTTAACATGTAACATATATATGACGTGAGATGTAATATATGGATCAGAATCTTCTAATTATTACCTGTTGCTTGAAAGTTTCTTCATGTTTAAGCATAGCCATTTTCATGCACTGCTTATCGTACGGATTAAGAAGCTTCTCCATGTTTGACGTTCCAAGAGATTAGGATTTTATTTCATCAAGATCTCAAGGAGATTTGATATGACGAACTTCGAACTTTGTTTTGTAATAACCTGTGAAATTTGAAAGTTGTTAGGGACAGGAAAAAAAAAAAAATTGTCTGCTAGTATACTCGATTTAGATTCTGCAATTTTTAGCCACTAATGCTAACAAATCTGAGCACACATGCACAAAAATATCTTCATATATCTATACATACAAAATTTCATAACATATATATATATATATATATATATATATATCGTACTTTGAAAACCAATTTGGTGGTTCATGTTCTTTCCCTTAGACGCATGTCAATCTTGTCTTTTCATTAATAAAGATTCTTTTACATTCTTATGGACTTTTGTGGTTTTCACAGTAAGAATTGATGTCAAGTTTGGTGGGAATAATAATAGAGCTGTTCAATCTAAAATGAACAAAACCAATCTGAAAATCGAATTGAATTACATTTTGGTTCAAAAAATTTAATATCCGAAAAAAGCAAAAACTAATATATATAATACAAGCTGATGAAGAAATAAAATCAAATTAAGAAGAGATAATAAATAGTGGTGTTATCATCATTACTGACCTGGAACCGATTAGGTTTAGAAGCTGATTATACGATGGAAGAAGATGATGAAGGAAATTAAAAGAGGTTTTATTTTTGTTTTAAGAAGAGAATAATGATGAGCTAGCTTGAGGAGCAGATGATTATGATGAGCTTAGAGAAGAGATATGGATTGGTGCGTCACATTCTTCGTAGTTATATATACTGCAGAAAAATTATTTAAAAAGAAGTTATCTAATTTAATGATTATAAAAACAAGGTTTAAGTAATCATTTGTTTAAACATACTATTAATTAATCTCTCTCTCACACATATCACAAGAACCAAAGTGATTGTTGCAAACTCATGCCCAAACAAAACAAGAGTGTCTTTAGCCAATAGCCTTCTTCTAAGAAATATGCCATATGCCTCCTCTTCAGACAGCTCCAGCAAAGCTTTACTTACATTAATCCATATAATAATATCTAAATAAATTCACATGTAAGTATATATGTCTACATAATCGTGTACATGGATACATGCTTGACAGATGAGACAATACTAGATTCAATTTCAGATCCATCACATATTCACATAATTAAATTCATCCATAGAATAATAATATTCATGGCTTGAGGGGGTTATGATTCCTGGTTTTTATATTGGTGGTTGAAATTTTATATTTTATATCATCATCATGAATACCGAAATTGTTTTGGAGTTTTTCGTTGAGCACTTGAGCTTTATTTTTTTGTTGGTAAAATCTCCGGAATGTGTGTATATATTGTCAAATAAATGTGAATTTAGTGGTTGTTGGAGACTTTAATATATATCTTATAAACTTTATAATAATAAATAAAAGTATGATTGGGCTCGATAATAATTATGATTAAGATATAATAAAGAGCAACGGGGAACATCTTATATCTTGCTGAGCTTGAATCACATGCAACCCAGACTAACAAATCAACAAACCCAGTTGTCTTAATAAATGTATTAGACAAAGAAGAAGTATGATTAGTAAAATTTGTAGATATTCTAAAATAATTAGGAGAGACTTTTTAGAGAATAATTTGGTATTTAGGGAGAGAGAGCGAATCAGAATCTGAGAATAGGTGGCATGTCGTGGGTCCTGCAAGTATGGGGGAGAAAGAGATCTTAGCCGTTGGATTTTGTTAAGGATGTCCTTTCGAACTGTTCAAAAGTCTTAAAAACTGACCCAACAGGATCTGATCTCCACCGTATCTACAAAAACACACTTAAAAGTGACCAAATAATTCTTCTATAAGTAATTATCACAATTATTTTTAGTATTGTTTATATGAAAAGGTTTTTCTGATTAAATGTTCCTGGACCGACTTTTTTTTTTCTACATTAGAATTTTATTATCTCGTTGAGTTTGCATGTTATGTCAAATTTAAATTAATACAAGACATGGCTTTAGAGTTGGCCGTTTTGTGTTGATTTTATCTTCTATATAAAGTCAATTTCTTATGTAATGTGTAACGGGAACAATGTCAAATCCTTTACAACTCACTAATCATAATTATAAGGAATGATTTAGGAAATAAAACTATATATAAAGTAGCAAAAATGTCAGAAATCCAGTATTTTTATAGATTTATATTCATTAGTCATTAATTATGTTTATTTATACAAAGTTTAAACTTGAGCTACAAGTATATTTTTTTCCAAATAAAATAAATAAAAATTACCTATGTAGTTATAAAAATATTCAAAGAGTGTTAACATTTTTTACCACAATGAAACAAGTTCTAATCGTGATCTCTTAGATTTTTAACAAAAAATATGTGGGCATTAATTAGCTATCATGTTGAGTTGAAATTAGATTTAAACCTAGCCACTAACTCTCTATCTCTCATTTCATTTTGTCAACCTAACTACTAACACCATGTATCAATTTTATCTTTATTTACTTATGTAACCATCTGTTATGTTAACTAGAAAACATGTGACAACTAGCTACTAATTTTATTTCTATAAATAATCTAATAAATTAAAGAAACAAACGTGCTAAGAAATGTGGATGTGAGAGAGAGAGGCACGCGTTGCCGGAGAGAGGAGCGGCAATGGCATGGAGCCGTGGGTCCGATCGACGCCCGCGTTTGTGGAGTGCTCATTCCTTCCTCGGAAATTGTTGTGACAACAATTATTTATATTTTTGGAATGGCCACATAATATAATATCAACGATGGTTTCGAGTTTTGATAAAATGTGGATCAGACCCAACAAAATGAAAGATCGAGAGTTGTGAAGAGTGTCTTCGTAGGTTCTTGAAGTAAACGAGACACTGACTTCTGCAGTAATGTCTTGTCCCTCCTCCTACGCTATGATCACGCGCTTTATACCCTTCCTTTTGTTGTTTTTTAACTTACTCTCTTTCAATATAAAGGTAATTAACAAATTAACGATACCATATTTTTGAGAGTTTAAGACTCCATATATATGATGATGTTGCATGTAGTCTATACGCATGGATATGTGTGTGTTCACACATGCGTGTCTTTGTGTGCTTTTTAAACTTTTTATTTGTTGAAATAATATAAACACAGAAATGCATGCGAAAATGTATACATTCTAATCTATATGCATATGTATACATTCGTAACATTTATAAGCATATATATGGGAATTTTGCAAATCAGATCAAAGGAGTACTTTAGTAAAGAAATGGAAATTTCGTTTTGAGACATGTTTGAGAAAATCAATAATCACGGCCTTCTGAAATTCTGAACCTCGGGTTTCCCATTTCATAATCACGAGCTTGATTATTAGTATTGGGAAGTAAAATAAGATGATTAAACAAGTGATTTTCTCAATTACGTGTCACTAACACTAAGGGTAATTATGATGACCAATGGGGTGACATCTCGATTTTCTAAAACGTCCCTTATTTTTTACTGATTAAAAGTTTCGACTTCGAGTTTTATAAACCAGTAAAAAGCAAAGGCACCCTCTTTCACTCTTTATTTATAAAATCAATTAAGTTTTTCAATTGTTAAGGAAATTGATCGTCAATCAGGCATTCTTCATCACACCCTTATTATAAGCCCATCTGAGGCAAGAAAACAAAATAAAATAACTCAAAAACTTGACATCAAAATCAGTAAATGGACACTGAATGTATTTTCTTTTATCGATATAAAATTACAATACTGTTTGGTCACCGAGTCCTATATATTCAAAAAAAGTGTTGTTGCTATTTTTGCTCTGCACGAAGGTCACGTTTGAGAGTATCTTATCCCTTCTTAAATTCCCCAAGTGTCAAATGTCATGCTTCTTGTTGCTTCTAAGGACCCTTTTAGATTCCCTGATATGGACCCACCAAATATTGTATTTCTTATTACGTTGAAAGTCTCCATGGGCCTAAGTCCTTTTGAGAGTACTTTTCATATCCATGGGCCTGAATACATGGAACATGAAAAAGCCCATAAAAGTCAAATTTTCAAAGTTAATGGAAGAAGTAAAATATACGTGGAGAAGCAACTCGTCGGCCATCACCAAGAACGTGGCTCCAAGTTATAAATATGATTCGGCCGAGTTTTGAATACTTCTTCAAAACATGTAGAATTTTTCTAAATCACATTATTGATAAAGTCCATTTCACCACTCTTATAAATACCATTCAATAGTTTTCTTCATTCTCACACAACTAAGACACTTTCTCACCATTCCTGTAAACACAAAAACTTATCATTCCCGACGAAATGGCGCGGTTCAGTCTGGTTTTAGTCGTGGCTCTTAGCCTTGCCATCTCTATGTTCCCGGACACAACCACTGCTCAACTCAAAACCAATTTCTACGGAAAATCATGTCCGAATGTTGAAAAAATCGTGAAAAAAGTCGTCCAAGAAAAAGTCAAACAGACCTTCGTCACCATCCCAGCTACTCTCCGTCTCTTCTTCCACGATTGCTTCGTCAATGTAATGCTCAAAAATTTTTTGATTTTTGTATTAGAAACCTTTCATTAGATGATTTCTTAAATTTTTGGTTGGTGTGTATAAATAGGGATGTGATGCGTCGGTCATGATTCAATCAACCCCAACCAACAAAGCCGAGAAGGATCATCCAGACAATCTTTCTTTGGCCGGAGATGGATTTGACGTTGTGATCAAAGCCAAGAAAGCTATTGACGCTATCCCAAGTTGCAAAAACAAAGTCTCTTGTGCTGATATTCTTACTTTAGCCACCCGAGATGTTGTTGTCGCGGTAAGTTATAGATTTAATTTTTTTTCCAATCATATGAAATGTTTTTGGGAAATTCTAGGTCAAAAGCACACAACTTTATAGTTACATAAAGATATATGCTATCAATACAACAATGTTAAATTTAGTTTTGTTTTTTTTTTTGGATGTGTTTAGGCCGGAGGACCGTCTTACACGGTGGAGCTCGGAAGGTTTGATGGTTTGGTGTCGACTGCGGCTAGCGTTAACGGAAACTTGCCAGGACCAAATTTCAAAGTTACAGAACTTAACAAGCTTTTTGCGAAAAACAAACTTACCCAAGAGGACATGATCGCTCTTTCAGGTAATGATTAAACAAGCTTTTTGCGAAAAAAAAAAATCGATTTGTGTATAAATAAAACCAGTTATATATATATATGTCACCAAAATGGATAAAATCTAAGCTATTAAAATTTTCCAAACAATGCAGCGGCTCACACACTTGGATTCGCTCATTGTGGCAAAGTGTTCAACAGAATCTACAACTTCAACCGCACACACTCCGTTGACCCAACTCTAAACAAAGCGTACGCTAAAGAACTACAGTTGGCTTGTCCCAAGAAAGTTGACCCAAGAATCGCCATCAACATGGACCCAACCACTCCAAGAAAGTTCGACAACATTTACTTCAAGAATCTGCAACAAGGCAAAGGACTCTTCACTTCCGACCAAGTTCTCTTCACCGATGCTCGCTCAAGGCCCACCGTTGACGATTGGGCCAAGAACTCTGTTGCTTTCAACAACGCGTTTATAACCGCTATGACCAAACTCGGCCGCGTTGGTGTTAAGACTAGACGCAACGGTAACATCCGTCGTGACTGTGGCGCCTTTAACTGATTTTCCTTTTTGGGTCTTGTTTTCGAGATTTGTTTCTTGACGTGTTATGAGTTTTTGTTGTTGTTTTCTGTTTGTTTCTGCTTCTTGTATTTTTGAAAAACATTAACATATTTAAACCGTTGTTTTATTTCTTTTGGCTGTAATATTAATTATCTTGTTTTTATTAAACAAAACTTGTTTAATAAATCCAACCTAAGCATACAAAATCAACACAAACCAAGACATATATACACAAAACCTAAAGATGTTCAAAACAAACTCTGTAAAGGAAGAATCTGATCTATCTAGTTAAAGAGTTAGTAGCTTGTCTGAATCTGCAGGCGATCTTCTCAAGCTTTGCAGACCAATCTTCCCCGAGTATCGACGGATTTAACTCCATAGCTACTTGAAAATCTACCAGAGAAGATGCTGGTGAAGCGTTACTCGAAGAACATACTTCTCTTTGGCGGCTACTAGACCTTGAAGCTGCTAATTCAAGAAATGGTTTGATCAATCTCTTCAAGAAAACATCCAACCCTGCGTTTAACGTGTTAGCAAACCCAACCGAAACCTCTAATCCTTGCTCCATAAACCCCGAGTCATCTTCGAGTTTCTTCTTTAAAGAAACCGAATCAGGAAGCTCACCAGAGGAGTAACAAAATGTGCCTATACGATGTTGTTTCTTTATAACATCTCTAAGATTAACACCAAAGGGAGCTTCAATAGGTTGACTTCTCCAACATCGAATCAATTGGTCAACTTCTTCACTATCTTCCATTGACCATTGTTGTCTACCACTAGAAGAAACAACCTCAGTGATTAGACTTTTACCTTTGCTAACATTACTATCTTTAAACCTCCGTTGAGTCCTTCCTTTACGAGGCGATTTAGGAAGGTCTTTGCACAAAGATTTGAAACCAAGACCTGTCTCAAAAGCCCCATTAAGTTGCTTCTTCTTCTTCTCTGACTCAACACCATTCTTTATCAATGGAGGTGTCTTTGAGAGACATACATTCTTAAGAATCCCTCTTAGCAAAGCGTTGTGTAGACTTATATTCTCCCTCTTCACCGTCGCAATGATTAGCTTATCGAAATCAGATTTGCTGATTTTCAAACTCAAGAATTTCGATAAGAGATTAAGGTAGCTCTCAGTTTTGGCCCGACCAATCCTCTTCTCAATCTGAGATTTTAACACTGCAATGTCTGTTCTAACGACATGATGCTGACTCGTTGGCATTTGGGTCCCTCGAATTTCCCTATTAAAAAAAACACAGAATTTCACACAAAAATACTGAATCTGGATTACAAGTCAAATTACGTGAGAATAAGGTCAACGCAAGCTGCGATACACCCAAAAAAATTCGAATTGGGATCAGAATTATAAAACCCAGATTGTAATTCGTCGGAATAAGTAACTTTTTCAACTTCATTCGATAATCAACAATTCATGTAATCCCCCGAACGAGAACTCACACATGAACACTGTGAACAGTAAACCTACCAAAATAAAATAAAATCCCAGCAGTTTCGATTCCCGAGAGAATCAGCAACAACAAAAATTTAGAATTCTCAGTCATGATTAGTGAAACTTGAATGCTTTCCACAGATTATCAGATTCAGAAAATTCACAGAGAACTCGAAAAGTTAACTAACCTTGTGAAGAAGACCAAAGAATCGAATCAAGCTTGAATTGGAACAGTAATGAACTCGATTTTAATCGCGACTTGGAGTGGAAAAAAAGAAGAAGGATTTTTGAGGAAATTTAGACGAATGTAGATCGCATTTTCTATTTTCATTTTGTATTTTTTAAAAAGCTTCTGCTTTGAGAGAGTCAACGTTTAGTCAACGCGGCACGTGCAAAATGTTACACAGCTGGAGAGTTAGCTAACGGACCAATCATGTTACTTGGTTTGCTATACATAAAAGAGTTTGAAAGTCAGCACATTCAGACACAACGGGTCGGGTCAGGTTAAAATTCCCTACATTACTAATCCTTAATTAAGATAAGGTAAGCATATCATTATCCAATTAAAGCTCTCTATATAAGATCAGCAACCCCATTCATTGGTGACCAAGCCGAGGCAAACACAACACTATGTCCCTTCCACGTCAGCACAAAACGTTCCACGTCATCATCGTCGTCAACATCTTTCTTCATTCCCCAACCTGTGGCGTGTTCCTCTAGCATCGTTTTAATCTCTGTCCTCGCATTCTCGCCGAACCCAACTCCGGCAAATTTAGCTTCCCTCATCCGCTCAAACCACCGGCTCTTCGGCTCCAATCTCTCCACCCTCTCCGCACCTTCCTTGGCTACTACGTTATCTATCTTCCAACTTATATCTGCCTCGTACCATTGCCTTTGCTCGCTGCCACGTGTCAAAAACATGTCGGCGGTGTCGTAAGGAATCCACATGTAGTTGTAAAGAGACCGTAACCTGAACATTTTAACACACATTTTACTCACATGTATCACTTTAGGGTTACAAATTTTAAATAGAACCAAAAAATAAAGACAAACCTGGAGATAAAGTTAGTGGAGGTGAAATCCGAGTCTTCGTCGATTAGGGTTAGGATCGTTGGGTTTAGATCTCGAAGTTCTTTCAAGAAAACTGATCGGAGAGGATTCGAAGTTAAGGTTTCGTCGGGGATGTAATGAAGCATCATGTGGCAGTTAACGACGAGAGCTTCATTGAAGACGAATGGGTCGATTCGTAGTTGTTCGATAAGGGAGGAGAGGCCGTCAGAGTAAGAAGAAGAGATGATTCTAAACTCCATTGCTATGTTACGTGTTGTCGCGAAGTTTACTAGCTTTGAACCGAGCTCTTCGTAGGAGATTCCGAGCAACGGCGGCGGATGAGATTCGGCGTCGGAAGCAATGACAGTGAGTTTGAGAAGCGGAGGTGGTTGTTTGTTTGCCATGGAGTCTATAAGAGTAGGGATTTGCATGCAGTGAGTCAAACTTAAGTCAACGATGTGAACAGAGGAATAACCTTCGACGGCGTCGAGGATTGCGGCGTTCGCGGCGATGAATCCAAAACGGTGCCACGGCGTTAAGTCGACGAACTCAGCGAGCTCTATGACGGAGAACCGGTGTAGCATTTTCTGGGAGACGGAAGCGGTAGCAGCCAGTGATAGAAACGCGAACGCAGGGCTTTTGGAGGCGGCGCGTGAGATTAACGCGCGGAGGAAGGAGGAAGCGAGTCTCTGAGTTGAGTCTCCGTCGGGTGAAGCGAGGTTGTTGAGCACCCAAATGATCTGTTGAGCCAACGTGGCGTCGTTTGATTCGATGGCCTTTGCGCAATGGAGGAGAAGCTGCTCCATGCAGTTGGCATCGCCGCATAGAGATTTGGAAGAAGAGAAACCAGGCCAAATGGGTCGGGTCGGGTTTAGAATTTGGGTTGTGTTCATAATTGGACGTTGGAGATGGGAACAGAAAGAACACAAGAGGAAGAAGATCGATGAAGGCAAAGAAGCAATACGAATAATAATAAATGCAAATGAGAGTTTTTGAAGAAAACAAAGAAAGAGGATGAGAGAGTGTTGAAGGCAAGAAGGAAGAAAGAGACGAGACATATTGACTAGTACCTTATCAATATGAAACGCACCGTTCTGATCCTCAAAACGAGACAAAACCGTAGGTGTACAGGTACAGCTTTTTTGCTGGTCATGTGTGCTTTCGTTTTCGTTTCTCTGGGTCTTAATTTATGTAGGTGTTGATATGTCTGAAATAGCTAAAATTTAGGTTATAGTAGTCTTCTGCATTTATGCTGGTATATATCTCTATATGTACATATGGACAAAATATTTAAAGTTTAAACCATTCGTAAAAGTTTGTACGTACATTTTCTTACCTGGTCTTTTCCTCCAAGTTCTCGTACGTTCCATATATAGGTATTTGTTACTTCGTACCAGTTTAAATAATTAGTGGAGAAAAAAAAAACTTTTGCTTATAAACAGTCCAAACTATTTTTGAACATGTGGCAAACTCACTATGTAACACTATTTTGTCGTGTAAACTTGATGTCTCACTAATTTAAATATCTTGAAACCAAGGATTTTCTAATTTGATGTGGAAATAGTTACCACCTTCACCTTGTGGCTATATATAATATATTGCTTCTGTAAGACAAAATTATGAGGAAATATCCGACCAAAGATATATGATTAGGTGGGCACATCAAATCCAATTTTGGGGGAGGATTCCTTAGCCTTGAGATAACAGGGACTAGAGGACATATATACTAGGGTTTGGTGTCGTTTCATTAACTGATGTTGAATTAGAACCAGGACAAATACAACATTGTCGACCATAAGAGTTGATATGTCATCATATATGATCAGCTAAATTCGTTGGGTACTTTCGATTAGACAAGATATTTATTGTTAATCACTCTAATCCTTGTCGTATTCACGTGCTTGATTAGATATTGAGTGGGCCATTCACATTTATAATAAGAACTATAAATGCCAGGACGGGTGTGAAAAGACAATTCGTTTCGTGCACTGTGCGTTTTGGCAAGTACTATTCATATTATCGGCCCTTACCACAAGTAGATGAAGCAATGGTCTTGGGCTCCAATTTCAAGGAGTCAATTAGAAATAAATTCTATAGATACGTTCATATTAGAAAATTAATTATTAGAATGAGTTCAAAGTTCAAACAAACATTTCTTTTTGAAAGATATAATTTACAATATTTTTAAAATGCTATTTTTTCTTTTTGGTGGGCAGTGGGCACTTTGTAGATCAGTAAAGAAAGACATTAAAATTTTTAATACAAAAATTATTATTTCGCTCGCTTGTGTATTTTTTGGCTGCTGGGCTTGACAGAAATATTAATGGGCTCAAAAAATTCATTGGACAACCAAATTTTAATGATCCATTAATGGGCCATAAGAAATTGGGCTCCAATGGACAATGGACAGTCAGTACAAAAAGAATTAACGTAAAACATAGGGTATGAACAATGAACGAAGTTACCACCGAAATAGATTCTTGTGACATGGGCCCATTTTTATATCCTTTGTTACATTAATAAAACTGACAGTGTGAATTATTTTATAAAAATTATTCATTGTACTTGAAATTACTCAATATAAATACTTACGTGTATATGTAGCTAAATTATATGTACGTGGAAAGATTAGTCAAAGTTGTCAATTTCATTGTAGGTCCAAAGATGCCAAGTCTGGATATAAGTTCCGGCGATGCGGGAAACAGTCACGTGAAGATCACGTGTTCGAACACTGTCCGGTCCTTATCTCGATCGCTCTCAAATCTCCGTTGGTCCCAAGTCCCCAGATTCTTTACGCCTCCCATCTATTGATTTACCAAATTACCCCCGACATAACCGAACATTCTCGATTCTCTTGAGTAAAAATATGTGAACTAAGGGCATCCGCAGTGGAGCAAGCTGAAGGGTGTTAGAGGTAATAAAAAAAGAAGAAAATTGTCTCTCTCCTCACACCCGAGTGTAAAGTTACACTCGGGTGTAACACACACTCTCCCTCTCTCTCTCTTTCTTTTTCTCTCTCTTTTCTATCTCTCTTTAAATTATAATAATAATAAAAAGTTTACACCCACTTTCACACTTGTTCCACTGCCCATGGTCTAAGAGCGTTTTGGTCATGCAAGTGAATAACTATTTTTCGTCGTCATCACAAAAAAAAAAAGACGACGAAAAAAAAAGAAAGAAGATTTTGATTATTACGTAACCTAAATTTAATGTTTTTTTTTTCGTGTTTGTATTTGCCCAAATGAATACAATAATTGGTAATACCGACAAAAGATCATTGAACAACACACTCTGAAGTCAAATGGAATTATAAACCTTAAAAACGTATATTAATTACTTTAAATCAGATCCGACATGTCTGGAAGGAATCAATAAACAAGGGAGTAGATTAATTTATTTTCTCCAAATTAAAAAAAATAGCTGTAGTGGATGACGTATTAATGTAACCAAATACAAAGTGCGTGGATTAGGAGAAGAAAAGAAGTTTAGGGGATACGACCAATAAAATCGTTGAAGGGGCATATGTCTCTTGGACTCTCCCACGACGAAGGATCGTTTATTTGTAAAAACCTTTATTAATTTTTGCCTGTTCATTAGTGGCAAAACAACACTAGTGACATGGCTTTTGTCTTTAGAAACCATCTTACGTCATATGTTATCAAATCTCTCAACGACTAAATTCCTTAAAATTTATATAAACACGTAAAAACGATAAACCAAATCATGTATATCGCTCTTAGTTTTAAGTAAAGAATTAATTTTCCATTCCGATAAATTGTAAAATCGATTTGAGATCGTTCTCTCATAACAATTTTCTTTAAAAAAATATTATTCAGTCATTATGAATTATGATAAAGTTGATACTAACATTTTGATAGAAACATTTTAGAATATAATAGATCATTCATTGACGCAAATGGATAAAGCTAAATAATATTAAGTCAGCAAGTGGGCTCAGAGACGTAAGGTGAAGGACAAAAGACTTAATGGGCCCTACGAGGGTCCAATTACAACTACGGCTTTTTACATCCAGCACGAGTCATCATCCTATATTCCTATCCGTTTCTCTAAACATTATTGACTTCAATTTGTATCAAAGTTTTTTATATACCTAAAATTTATTAATCTTGCGACAAGTCGTTGATGATATCATCTTTGGATATAAGTCAGGTAAAACTAGAAAGAAGAATAACTTTCAGTTTTTTTTTGTTAATGTAAGTTTTTGATAAATGTTTGCATCATCCACATGTATCACCCAGATTCAAATCCACAGAATGCATATTGTTTATAATAAATAAATTTTATCTAAAAACATTAAACTGTTACTATGTTTTAAAAACAACCGTGTCTGCTTTTGACAAAATCCTTTTTACAAGGGATATTGTCTTCTTTTAAAAATTAGGTGGAACTAATTTTTAGTTAATTAGTATGAGTGGAACGGACGGAGCAGATTGAAAGATGGAAGATGACGTGGGACCATCGATCACGTTCCCAAGATCGGTGGAGATAAAATCCTCATATCAGGGAAGATAGAGAAGATAATTTATCAACCATATCATAAAATGCCAAAGTATAATAGACCAATTACAAAAAAGAAAAGAGGAAATTAATGAAACAGGATGAACAAAGCTCTTCGATTCCTTAAAAGAGCTTGCTGAAATAAATAAAAATGTTGTGTTCATATTAATTGACCTCTAATTTTTATATATGAATTCTGGTAATTTTAAAATGATTAACTGTGAGTAGTGGAAGCTAGATAGAAACTATGATCGAAAAAAAAAACAAGTAAAATAAGAAATTAGAAAAGAAGTCATACAAGTCAGAGAAAAGGAAGATAGCTGACGTGGACCACTGCCTTTTGCTTGCCATTGAATGGTTGGCAGAAGAATAATTGTAGGTCCCTTGTAATAATATCTTTATGATGTATTAAAAACATTATCATAAAACGCCAAATTATCTCATAAGAGCCGAGCTATTACTTATATAACTTGCGTTTTTTTCCGCCAACTTACATTTGTTATTTGCATAATGAATTAGATTTTTTATAAACAAAAATTATATATAAAAACACGCCAAAAACCTAGCGGATGCAAATCTTGAAACTTAAAAGAGTCATTGGGGTTTAAATCCTAATTTTGCCGTTGTGTGATACAAACAAATTGGGAAACAAAAAGAACAAGTATAAAAGATGCAACTTACGTATTTACCGAACAAAGAGTAAAAGAATCACAAACAAAAGAACCACAGAAATAATACTTAACAAACAACACGTAATGAAAATCAAGAAAAGCAACGATATGATCATACGAGAGTACGTGATTTGAAAAATGGATTATTTAGTGAATAGTGATTTGAAAAATTCGATTGATGTTTTCACATTGTGACTATTGATCAAATGGCCTCGTCCTATTAAATTGGAGAGTCGTCATCGATCCAAAACCATGGGATTGATTATTAAAACAAAATAGCCGTTTCCAAAGTTTGAATATTAATAAAAAGAAGATATATATGGAGAAAAAGGAGAGTGTGGTTTAGGGTATTCCATGGGTGAAAAATGGCTCTTTGCGTCGTCCAAAAGCCGCCTCTATAACAAAGGGCTCTCTTGTGTCATGTGTGCCTCCTCTCCTCTCCAACCATTTGGTCCAACCACATGCTTAGATATTCTATATCCACTTTATTGTTATTATTATTATGCACATATTTAAAATATATTATTATGTACGGTCCAACTATTTCAATAGTTTCGATCTTTTTCTAGTTTATTCAATGTGGTAGGAGTCCATTATACTATAATGGTTGGGAAGTTTTTGGAAAATTGTTATATAGGGATAACAAATATTCTTTTATTTTCTTATTGAAGTTTCTAAACAGTTGAGTATCCAACGAAATGAAACATGGGATTTGCATATCCATCAACACATGTCAGCCAGTAAATAATTTACTACCAAAAATTGAAATATATTGGACGTGAAGTGTTTCTTAGGTGCGTAACTATTTCGAGTTTTAGTCTACATAAATCCAAATAAAACGTTCTCCAAATTCAAATTACAACACAAAGTTACTAGACTATGAAGAAAAGAAAAACTAAACATAAAATAACACCATCGACATTATCAAATTTTTTCACTCAAAAAAGTTTTACATCAGTTAATATGGGGACTCTAAACCGAGAGAACAAAACGACGTAGTTGTTAATTCGCCGGTCCAATACTTTTTATCCACGGGAAAAAAAGAGAAGAAAATGTGTAAAATTACATTTTAAACCCTAGACTAAGTCTGAGAAAAAACCGACGCCGTTTTGCATTAAACAAAAAGGTTAAGCAACTTGGTCGTTTCTCCTCCTCCGTTCCCGTACACATCACCTTTGTCACAAAACGCCGTCGTCGTAGTCGTCGTCACGGAGTCCTCTGAGTTCATCGACGGAGTTAACGATCGCCGCCGTGTAGAAGGAGGCGTTGTTGTTTTAATGGGAAAATTAGGGATGAGAGATAGATCAAGCTCCGAAGATGGTTGTTGTTCTGATGCTAATCGCTTACGTTTCGTCGGAGAAGAAGAATCCATCGTAGATCTAGATCTAGAGCTTGAAAATCGAGAATGATGGTAGATGTTACGATCGGTTGAATCATTTTGCTGAAGATTCAACATTTCAGTGCAGATCTCAGATGCTTCTTCAGATGTAGGCGAAGGAAAACCAGCGAATCCGCCGCCAAGCTCCGGGATCGGTCTTAAAGAACCGCCGCGAAGCACCGTTTCAACAGCCGCTTGACAGATATTCCAATTTCCAGTCCATAACATTCCGATAGCTCCGTTTACTGGATTCACAGTTCTTCCACAAGCTTCGTAGAGCAAAGACTGAAACAAAGCTGCACCAAAAAAAAAAGATGAGAAAAACGAACGACGAAATTAAAAACCCGGTTAAGAGATCTGGTTTAGTAATTACCAGGACGTTGAGATTCTGGTACGGCGGAGATAAAAGACATGAGACCAGCACGGCCGAAGAATTTAGCGACGAAGACGGTGGCGTGACCTTGAGCATCGGCGGTTTCAATCCATTGAATACATGGCCGGAGGATACAATTCTCGCTGCAACCTTTCCGGAGAACACGGCAACCATTGCAGCTCATTTTTATTTCAGATTCAAATTTATGTTATGTCCTCTGGTGTTTTGTGTTATTTTAGTTTTAAGTTTTTTTTCTCCTGAATGTTGCTGATGTCTGGGAGAAGAAGAAGAAGAAGATTTGATTTTGCTTTGGGAGCAAGAAAGTGATCTTTGCACAGAAAAAAAGAGAGAGAGATTAAATGTTTTATGAAGAAGATAGAGAAGACCACATATATATACACATTATTACATTTGTATTAAAATCCAAATTGGAATATTTTATATTTTTAATAATAGGAATAATAAAATAATTAAGAGACAAAGAAAAGGAAGCGTATTGGTGCGTGAGGCTCGCCGCCGTATAAGAATCATACACAAATTTTAAGCAATACTAATAATTAATTACTGCAATTTTTATTCCACAAGAAAATAACTTAAATTTATACATTTTTTAAATAACAGTATCTTGTAATGTTTTTTTTTGTATTGTGAAGTGACCTTAGAGGGACAGAGAGTGGTAAAAGATTCCAAGATGATGGGTGCGAGCGGCTCCGTGTTTCCGCGAAAAGTTGTGTTTTCTCTCAACCGTTAATTTTATTTTTTTACTTGTAAAATTATAATCTCGAAAAGAAAAATATGCGTCGACATTATCCGCAGCTAGTAATTGATGATGAGTTGATGACAACTGTGAAGTGAAATTGGAGACTTTCTATTTGTCCAAAAGATACATATTTACGGGTCATTTTCTCAACGGATTCCTAATCCTTTAATCATTCAACTTTATTTAGAAGTATATCAGGGTAATTAAGGGTATAGTAATCGATTGATTTTGCAAAAGGACATCAATAATTGCTTCCATATTTGGTTAATGGTATGGTGAAAAAATTATCTAATAGGCTTTTTATCTTTTCCCATGGAATGCTAATCATAACACCCATCTTTAATATGAAATTCAAAAGGTGGTCACATGCAATGCAATACAAGAGAGATATAGAGTAAAATATGTGTTTTTGCCCTCCTAATTTCCACTAATTACCTAGCTTGATTTTATTTCATGGACTCTAGACAATCTTGTATGTATGAGAGTTTAAATAAGAACATTACAAGATCTAAAAAGGACAAAACTATGGGATAAAATTAAAATAAGTAAGGGGACTAACCTCTGTCTAAATCGACCCCTGAAAGGAAGAAAGAAGCCATTGACCCTATAACATCCTTAAGAGACCTACCTATAGTTTTAATAATTAATTTTGCAATATACTATAAGTCTTCTTCTTTTTGTCACTCTCCACACAGCTAAAGCGAGTCTTTGCATGCAACGATGTCATGGGTGACGCAATCAACGTTTTTTTTTTTTTTTTTTTTTTCTTCCCAATCAACGTTTTCTTTTTCCCACATACACTAATGAATCATAGTTGGGATAAAACCAATTCCATGAAAACGTCGTCGTTTTCGCTCGGGGGATATCATCTATCTCTAGCCACTATAGCCTTAGGCCCATTAACCTGTAATCAGAGTCCTCTTTGCTTAATAAAGACCACTTTAATGGGCCGATAGTTTTTCTTCATTCGTAGGGGGCCGAATTATATGATCTTCATTTAAATGGGCCGTTCATTGTCTAAAATCTAAATATCAATGAACGAATCGTATTTAGATTAAACTTTTTAATGGGCCGTTCATCATCATTATATCTCCTTACAAACAATTATATTATTATTCATGACGACCAAAACTAATTTCATCATGTAAAACACCATAAAAGAAAATCAAATCTAAAATAACTCTAAGTTGAGACACATATACATAATAGATCCATGCTAGATTTAATCTCAATTTGAATATAAAATCCTTTTAAGCAGAAAATTTTAAATCAATTTTTTTAAAATGAAAGTATAGCTAGGTAGAACATACATACATTTACCTCCTAAATTTTTCACTTGTCCGTTTTTCTAAGTTAGATAAACTAATGAACCGTACTCAGATACATGCATTTAAGTGGATTTTATTCTACAAAAAATGCTTATATTGATGTATGGTTGTATACGTGTTTTGGACCAAGTTATTTAATTTCGATATTATATAGTATGCTTGACCCCTAAAATAAGGAAGAAATAAGATAAAAATCAAAATATGTTTGAGAAGTAAGTGAGGTCATAAAGTCCAATACATCAGCATGTCTTTAGCAAATGACATTACATACGTAGCGTGATGTACAATTTTGCCATTTTAACTTTTTATATAACAATAAAAGGAAATACCCTAGAAGTTTAGAACTAATCATGCCCATTTGATTATGATTATCTCTAATTAGACATTTCTTAATCAATTTTTAATTCTTTTATGTGGACAACAAACAAGAATTTAACTAAACTCGTGAATATTCCAAAGTAATGTTCCAGGCAGTCGCACGACACACATATTTTTTTATATGACATTTTATTGTTTTCGGTAATATTTATTTTAAACTATATATAGAAAACAATATGCGTCCGTATTTTAATCAATTATGTAGCGTACCATAAAAAAATGTAAAGATATCCATTATTTGTTTCTATATTCGATCATCTATCTTGTTCGCTAGTATATTTTTTTATCGACGTCAGAAAAGAAGAAGAAGATAATCCCTTTATAATCCAGCATCTTCGTATAATTTTTTTCTTTCTTTAGTTCATTTTGAATATATCATAAATCCATTTTTTTATTTAACATTGGTTATGTACCACTAAAAGTAATATTACTGGAAACTATAGTTTTTAGTTTTTAATAATAAGAATTGATTGGTAGTAAGGAACTGAGAAGAGAGATTAGAGAAGAAACTAGAGAGATACGAATCCAATCCAAAGAATATGAAAAAGTGAAGAGAATATTGTGGAAAAAGCAAGCCGTCTGATCACGTTCCTTATATTATGATTACCGCAGAAAGATGATTATTCCACTGCTAAGCTAAAGATTGCGAAGCACCTTCGCATTTCTCTAAATTATGAATTTAAAAGCCAGAAAGGTTATCGTTTTTATTCTAAATGGGTCCACGTCGAGAGCAAATCAACGGCCTTAGTTTCAGGAGAAATTTGCAGGACCATTACTCTCCTTATGCCATGTTGCAGATTCTTCTTCCGCATTGTTCATCGGACCTATCTCTTTTTAGTTTTTATTAACAAAATCCTCAACGATTTAGTAACCATAGCTTTTATTTTGAAGAAATATGATTATAATATATCCATATGGTTCTTAAAATTCATTTCTTTTACCGTCATGGTAGTGTGTGATTTAGTATATGTAATCAGCTCAAAAATGATAACAGAACATACAAACGCATACATAAGCATGTGGACATATTATTTCTGTGTGTATGACTGTATGTATATATACACAATTATTAATACATCATAACTATAATGTGGTCAAATATATAAATGGTCATGTTTCCATATATGTTAATACTTAATTAGAAACTATAGTTGAAGTGTCATATTTTCCTTGACTCTCTCTATTCTTATATGTCGATGGGTATAAGCATCATCGATTACACGCAAGTTTTTCCGGAATATGAATTTGTCAAATACTCAAATTGATAACTTTTGTTGATTATTAAAGAATATAGAAATTACTTACCAAAAAAAAAAAAAAGTATAGAAATTTAGGAGGGGTTATTGGTTCATGGATTTATAAGGAATTAGAAATCCAAACAAAAATCATTTGTTATTCAATCATTGATTTTAAAATCCTAATTAAAATCATGTGTTATTGGTTCTATGATTTATAAATACTAGTTAAAATCCTATGTTATTCGTTTAGTCATTTGTTTTTGGATTTGAGAATCCAAATTATGTTTTAAATGGATTTGAATGGAATTGAAAGAGACAAATAGAAGGATTCAAATCCATGGGTAAACACATGTTATTTCAAAATCCACATATCTTGATTTCATAATTAATAGAAATTTTCAAATTCTATATGGATTTACAAATGAATAAACCAATAACACCCCCTTACTTTCTGGTTAACTCTAGTTTAGTAATTTCATATTCTAGTTTATTGGTTAGGGTTGTACTTATAAGGAACTTTATCTTTTACATTTACACTAAGTGCACAAAACTAGCTATACTCATATTTTTCTCTGATGCTGTTTCAAGTGAAGAATTTGAAATTGTTTTGGTCATGGTCATGAAACACATGAGTTGCGTAGAAGACCACAAATCATTGTGGTGTGATATGTGAAAATAGAGTATGATTGTGAATAAAGATAAGAAATAAGTACTTTGAAAGAGAAAGAGATCGATATCGTGGTGATGACAGTGATGATAATGTGCAATCATTATGACATCAATTACAAAGTATACCTGCAATATTTCTCATTGAGCTCTCTAAATTTATAATTCAGCAAATGATATAGGCATATAGCTGACTCTATATATATTATAGATAAACAAGATTTAAAGCAAATTAAAAGGGATCGTAGTTAATCCTAAACCCACCACGTTTCTCCGCCGCCATTTCAGCTTTTTCTGTGTGCTTCGATCGACTTTTTCTTACATATTTTTTTTATTTAGTGGTTCGTATTGTAAGAGGAGTACTTAAATTCCCAATCGCCTTTCTGTCTGTGTTCTTCATTTGTAAAAGATTTCGATCGGATTAATTAATAATCCGCGGCATAATTGGTTGAGGACAGTTGAAATAATGGATTAAAAATCGAACTAAAAATGTTATGTAAATTTCTTATCAAAAAAATATCATGTAAATTATTCACGATAAGGAATATACGATGCGAAGAAAAGTATAAATTGGTATATATATATATATATACATATATGTTTTTTATTTTGTGTAATGTGTGTATATAATATAATATACTTAGTTTTATTTAAAGTTTGGGATGTAACGCAGTCGCAGTGCCAAGAACTATAAAATACGATAGAAGTTAGAATCGTGGGTTATTAGTTTTTGTATCCGTTCATATTTTATATTTGAGCCGTGAATGATATTCCCGGAAAATATAGCTATACACGAATCCTAGCTAACCGGATCGTCGACATAAAATATAACCAGATATGCGAATTAAATAACACAAGGAAATTAAGAAGAATCGACAGAGCTCCAAAGAAAGAGCACTAACCACAACAATTTAAATTTTTTATAAATATATACAGAGAGAGATAGCTAGTGATGATTAAATAAAACTCTAATCATATAATTTAACTAGAGAGAACAAAGCAACATACTAACTATAAATAGACTAATGTCTAGACCCACTTTGTGAAAGAGAACGATTGCTATATTTACTATATTTTAGGTTTTGATTTCTTTGTTATCCGTAAGGTTTTATACTTATTCTTGAGTTTAGCTAGAACTAAAAGATATGGTGAAAGGATTTAACGTAGTTGTGGTGAGAGAGTATGATCCAAAGAGAGACTTAACGAGTGTGACAGAGCTTGAGGAAAGTTGTGAAGTCGGATCTTTATTAGTGGATCTCATGGGTGACCCGCTTGCCCGGATCCGACAATCTCCTTCTTTCCACATGCTGGTACGTATGTGCCTATTTATACGTTTATGTCTCAAATGATTTCTTAGCAAAAAAATGTCTCAAATGATTTTGATTCGCTAAGTTTTTTTGCAATGCATGTGACAGGTGGCAGAGATCGGTAACGAGATAGTTGGGATGATCAGAGGAACGATAAAGATGGCGACACGTGGTGGAAATGCATTACGTCAAGCCGACGGCGTTTCACCGGAGATAAGCACCACCAAACTTGCCTTCGTCTCCGGCCTTAGAGTCTCTCCGTTTTACAGGTTCGTGTTCTAGATAGTATTTTTCCAATATTAATCAACTATAACAAGTTAACAACAACAAAAATAAAGAATTAGTACAATATCACTTCTATTTTAAAAAATGTATGATGGTTACAACATATATTATACTATTTTGATGATACATAACGCCTAACGGAAAAAGGAAGTTTCTAACTAATCAAATTAAAAAATATTTTAGGAGGATGGGAATTGGACTGAAATTGGTGCAAAGACTCGAAGAGTGGTTTCTACGAAACGGCGCCGTTTACTCTTACGTGCAAACCGAAAACGACAACACAGCTTCGGTCAAACTCTTCACCGAGAAAAGCGGTTACTCCAAATTCCGTACACCAACTTTCCTGGTCAACCCGGTCTTCAACCACCGAGTCACCGTCTCTCGCCGAGTCAAAATCATCAAACTCGCTCCCTCCTACGCCGAGTCACTCTACCGCAGCCGATTCTCCTCCACCGAGTTTTTCCCTTCAGACATCAACTCAATCCTCACAAACAAACTCTCCCTCGGCACTTATTTGGCCATGCCACGTGGCGAAGACCATGTTTCCGGTTCCTTACCCGACCAGACCGGGTCATGGGCCGTTATAAGTATCTGGAACAGTAAAGATGTGTATAGACTACAAGTCAAAGGAGCGTCGCGTCTTAAACGCACATTAGCAAAGACAACGCGCGTTTTCGACGGAGCGTTTCCGTTTTTGAAAATCCCGTCGTTTCCTAATCTTTTCAAATCGTTCGCGATGCATTTCATGTACGGCATCGGCGGCGAAGGACCACGAGCGGCGGAGATGGTGGAGGCGCTTTGCTCACACGCGCATAACTTAGCTAGAAAAAGCGGTTGTGCCGTCGTGGCTGCTGAGGTGGCGAGCTGTGAGCCGCTTAGTGTTGGGATTCCTCATTGGAAAGTGCTCTCGCCGGAGGATTTGTGGTGTTTGAAACGTCTCCGAGACGACGGTGACGATGACGGCGTTGATTGGACTAAGTCACCACCTGGATTGTCTATTTTCGTTGACCCTAGAGAAATATAATAATTTGTATTAAAGTAATCTAACAACCAAACACAAAAACAAAAATAGAAAACCCTATACTAAACCTGAGTGTTATACTCAATTACACTTTTTTTTAACTATATATGTAGTTTCATACTGAATAAATTGTAAATAAATTGGATTACAAGCACAAGCTAGCAATACATATGTAACCAACGTTTGTATAGTGTGAACTTGAATTATATCGTTTGTATATATTTATGTATACCGGATTGTTGTTGTACGAGTAGATTGTTCTTAGATTTGTTATGTTTAGTATTAGTCACTTCACTGTTTTTTAGTCAACTTGTAATATCTCTGTGTTTTTCATTTAGAACCAGTAATACAAAGCTAAGTAGTTGGTGATAATTGAATAAATCTCCATTTGTGGAATACGAGAATGTAAATCTTCCAGCCCTTTAGCAAAAGAAGTCAAAACCAAAGTCTTGGTTTTTTATTTTTTGTTTATTCAGTTCATACTTTTTCTACTAGAGGATATGTTTTCTTTTTGGTCAACGAGGAAAAGGGTAATGAATCCAAAATAAATAGACAATCAAAGTAAAGAAATTATTAAAATGGTACAAACGTAACCTTTTGAAAGTATATAATAAATTGGATGACGTAGAACAAAGAAGCTCATGGAAAATTAATCGACTTTCTTTATAGTTTTGATGGTCAATTCTGCCGGCTTAAACCTTTTTATTTTTCAAAATATATTATTTTCTTGCAAATTGCTAGTATTATTATTATCACAAAGAAGAAGAACAGGTTCGATCTATAGATATGAATTTTGCAAGTAATCTTCAAAAGATTTTCTTGACATTCTTGTTTACCTTTTTTTATGAGTTAAAAAGAAAAGGGATAGAGATAAAATTAGTAGAATTCTAGTAGACAAAACAAAAGGCAACATTAGAATTTGGATTTCTCAAAATTGTAACGGTTACATAACCAATGACTTTGGGTTATAATAACCAAAACAAAAACCCAAATTTGATCTAAAGCAAAGTTAGCTTAAAGAAAAGCCCTAATTTAAAAAAGCCCAATTTGTCTAAAGTCAAGACGATGATCTTCTCCGGCGAGTCGACGGCGTCGATTTATCACCGACGGTAGTGACTGAGCCAGGACTTTCAGATGTATCTGAGCTACTAAGATCTCCGACACCATCTTTATCTTTACCTGTCCAAAGCTTCGAGAAAATCCGAGACATTACAACTCCTTTAGCTTTACTCTTCTCAGAACTACTCGTCTTGTCTCTCGTCGTCGTCTCCTCCGTGGCCGTGACTGAGTCACACTCTTCTTCCGTCGTTGTCCTCGAGCTCCCGTGAGAGCCGCTCGGTGGAAGAGAAGGTTTCGTGGTGGGACAAGTGGCACGAACTTGCTCGAAGAAGAGTATCTGCACAACGACTCGTAATGGTAACCTCTCGTTTTGCACGGCGTGAGCACAAGCCTCCGGTGATAATTTCCGGCAATCCATTAATCGGCTTATCGATTTCTTCTCGCTCTTTGTTATTCCTGGATGTTGCTGTATAATCAAAGATCAAAACTTGAGTTTCAAATGACATAAATCTGATGCATTTGAGAGCGGACATTACCTTCAAGAACATGTCAATGGCACGATAAACACCATCGTGTGATGATCTTGGGAAATTCGAAACTTTTTCTGCTACTGTGATGAACTTTAAAGGAGACAAATTGGGTTCGATTCTGGAGATTTCAGCTAAGTATCCATCGATTAACTTGGCGACATTTGCTTTTGAACTGTCTGAAACAAACCCATTTCCTTCGTTGATGTCGTCTGAACAGTCAAGCTCGTCTCTTTTCTGTGTCTGTGTAACGAACTCATCGATTAAGGTTTCAACAATGTCAATGTCATAGACTGTTTCACCTCCCTCTGGAGCTCTGATCAAGAGATCAGCTACATTTGCTTCCTCTAACTTCTCTCCGATTCTTCTACTTAACTCTTTCCTCTCTTCTTCTCCGCATTCCAAAGAAACAGAACATTTCAATAGCTTGATCAAGAATCCACAAGAAACACTCTGTTTCTCACTAGGCAACATCGAAACCAATGTCTCCAACAAAGATCTTTCTTCCATCACATCTTCATCATCATTATCATCGTTTTGAATCATGAAACAAGGAATTCTCTTCGCTGCATATACCTCAAGAGCTTCTCCGATAACCTCAGGAATAACCCCGCCTTTTCGTCTGATAGTCCAAATCACTCTTTTGAATAAATCAATACTAAGCTCGGCGAGATCCTCGATCCACCAGTCTCTTGGTACACCATTGTTGTTAATCTCAGGCGGAATAAGCTTTCTTCGGTTATACGTATAAGACCAATCCACTCTTGCTGGATCCATAGCAGCTTTCAAAGCGATTGACTCCAAACACCGTACATCGATTTTCACATCTTCGGACCATGGATAAAATGATCTAGTCGTCTGGAGAACTATGATGGAGTCTTTCCAGCTTCTTAAAACACTCGAGTTCAAGAAAACCTCGATCTTGTAAACAAGATTCCCGCTTTCAATCGATTCATACATCTCGAGATACTCAGCAGCGCAACGCACAGCTACAACATTGTATGCGTTGAGAGTTACAGTCATTCCGTAACAGAATTTCGCGCATATTTCAAACGCTGGAGGCCCTCCCGGGATATCGGGAATGCGGATTTCATCATCAGATTGTTCATCCGTCGTGGTTGTGGCGATCAACTTCTGAAGACGAGCACTCTTGGACAGAAGAGGGAACTGTTTAAAACACACAAAATAGTTAGTTACAATGAGTTCTTGATTTCTGAAAATTGACTTCTTGACTGTTACCTTATGAAGATAGAATTTCACGTCTCCAACATTTACAACTACATCAGTCGCTAACTCCGTTGCTACATATCTATAAACAGCCAGAAAAAGTAAGAAGATTCCGAAGCAAAAAACAATGATAATACTAAAATGTTGAAGACATTTTTACCTTATGCAATCTTCATCAGACTGAAACGAATCCGGTTTGGATCCAAGTTTCATAAACTTCATTTCTCAAAAATAAACAAACCAGAAATAGATTTTTGTTCTGCTCTCTTCTTCTCTCAACTTGGAATCTCTGAAATAGTTTTTGTCACGACAAGAGCATTAGTGATTCAAAATCTGAGATCCTTATTGGATGCAAAAGGGATCAAGAGTAAAGTATAAACAAGGAGAGTATTGTTGAAGCATAAGCTGTGAAACATTTTATATATGTAAGACTTTTAGACTTAAACCATAAGAGAAGAAACCTATTTTGCTTCTTCAGTAGCTAACCTTAAGAGAGATTAAAGGAAAACATGAAAGAGCAAAAACAAAAGAGAGATGCTCCACTTGCTCGACACGTTGCATTCTTTATTATCAAAAAATTCTCTGTTTCTTTAATGTTCTGTTTCTTTAACGAATCTTTTCAGGTTCAGAAAGCATCAAAGGAAGAAGAAACAAAAACCCAGAACCCTAGAAAAAAGTGCGAATATCCGATTAAGAATAAAGCTGTTCTTGGTTTGTGTTGAGCAACAAAAGCATTAAAGAGAAGAAACAATCAAGTATCAGTAGAGAGTTGCTAAAGGAGCTAAAAAAAGATTCTTTCATGTTAATTAATGAGATAAAACAATTATCCAAAACCATAGACTAATCTAATTAGAAAAATAATAATCAGATCGACCCATTTATAGAAAATCGAACAAAATTTTGGTCTTTAGACACCAAAACATGTGGTTAATACATAGTTTGAAATCTACAAAACTAAGAATTTTAAATGTGCAGAAATCACAACTTACTCACAAACTCTAAAAAGGTGATTTTGAGAGTTTTTATTTCGATTTTTGACCTAAAAGCAGCAAATTTCTGAGTAAATGAGTTGGAATTAACGAAAAATCATACCTTTGGTGGAAAAAAGAAACCTTCTTTAGGATCAATTCGATGAAATGAAACAAAGACAGAGGCAAAAAGTGTGGGCTATATTGCTGCTGCTGTGTTGTAGTAGTAGACAGAGAGAGGAACAGAGAACTCTATCTAATCCAAGAGTAATCCGACAAAACACAAAACAGCAATCCAACAAAAAAAAGAAAAAGAAAGAAAGAAAAAAACAGAGAGAATCAAAAGAAGATGAGCTGTTGTTTCTTCGTCTTCCTTCTCCCTTTAGTGCAAATCTGAAACACTTCAGAATGTTCTGTCCCCTTTATCTCTCTCCTCAAAATACCCCACTCTCTGAATCAGCACCACCGCCTCCACCACTCAACTTATATAACTTTATTAATTTATTCAGAGCAAAGATAATAAAAAAGAAAAGCTGAATTTTGATAATAACCCAGGATTTGTCTCTGTTTTCAATCGATTTCAGTGTGATGTGTTTGTTGCTTTTCTCTTGTGGTTGTGGACATAAATTGGAAGTAATGGTTTATAGCTTATTAAAAAGATAGTACATAGTAGCAAGTAGCAAAAGATTGTATGCGTATACATAAATTCAGTCACGCTAATATCTGACAAGTTAAACTGTGGTTTCCACATTCTGACTCTTTTCTTTTTCCTTTTTCTTTTGTAAAAATATTTGAATATTATCGCAAGAGAAAATAAATAGTTTTAGTGATTTGAGTCAATATTTTGAGTCAAGTCAGTCTTTTCGGTATGTTTGATGTTCCATCCACAAGGATTTGTGCCAATAGTTTGGTTTGATGGGTTGACCATAAAAACCCTTTTTTTCTTTCTTGGAAGCGTTTACGGAAACCAATTATAATCTGAATTAACAATGAAAATCTTTTTTAGCAAAAAAAACAAACAATGAGAAATTTGCTATATCTTATCAAGAAAATTTGCTATATCTTTTTTTTTTCTTCTTTGAAAAGTACTGTTATTTGCAATGAATTTTCTTGCTACAAATTTATCGCGATGGAAGAATACAGTAAATGTTTGTACCTACCAAACTAAAAAAAAAACTATTTAAGTTTTTTTTATTATGATTTATATATTTTGGATAAATGATAGACCGATCAAACACAAGTGAACCCGTCTTTTGCCCTAGTGGACGAAAGGGGACCGCACGCAACATTCTTTTTCTTTTTTTTTCGTTAATAAATATATATGTATTAAATTTAAATTGGAAAATTATAGGGATTTTTGCCAAATGTACCACTTTTTTCTAATTTCTTTCAAAATCTACCACATTCATATCCTTCTTTCAAATCATACCACATTTACATGCAAAGTTACCATTTTGCCCTCACTACTTGACAACATCCACTTTTTGGCTTCCCAATCTCTCATCCCTCGAGATCCGTGCACTTTAACCCCACATCATTATCCCCCTCAGAGAAAACAAAACTCTTTCGTCTCTCTCTCACTTTCCCTTTCTCTTTCTTCTTCAGATCTTGTCTCATAATAAACGCTTTCGTTTTGTCTCCAGATCTTGTCCCTGATTGAAAATTCTCTGTTGCGTCTAGATCTAGTCCCCGATTTCATCAGCTTGCTCTATTATCATGAATCCCAGATGATATGGTTTTACCAGCCTGCAGAGATCTGGATTTACTCGGGGACAACATCTCTTGATTATCCATCGCCAGATGATGTGGTTTTACCAGCCAGATATCTGGATTAACTCGGGGACAACTTGATCTTTATTTTATTCTGCCAGAGAGCCGAAGACGAAGATCTGGATTTACACGGGGACAACTTTGTTTTACCAGCCAGAGGGACGAAACGGTTACCAATGCGCCAAGAGAGAGAAAAAAGACGGCAGAAATTTCGGAAGGTGTCCCTTTCTCTGACACACACTTCTCTCTCCATCAAGGGCAATTTCGTCCGACTTTATGCATGTGGCACTGAAATGTGGTACATTTCAAAAGCTTTTCCCAAATGTGGTACTGGGCCTAAACTTTCTCTCAAAAGTGGTACCCAATCTAATTTTCTCAAAATTATATATCTACTTTGTAAAAAATAACAAGCAAATTTGTTTATATTTCTTCTGCCTTTTAATTCTTTCTACAGACCCCCAACACTGAAATCCAAAAGGATCCAATGTCAATTTAATAATATGTTTTACTATAAACTATTCATACTCATACTTTAACATGGCTTTGGGCCACGTCACCCTCGGGCTCATCCGCATGAATGTGCAATTCTTACATTTTATAATAAGACATAAAAATATGAAACAACTTAAAAATTCTTAATAAGGAATCTGACGGCCATCACCCTAAATTGTAAGGCTACGTTATTTGATTAAAGCTGTTTAATGTGATTAAAGAAAAAGGTGAAATATTTATATATATTTTTTTCGTGCATAGTGACTTGACAAAACAAAACTAACAAATTTTAAGAGAAGTTTTTTAATTGTAGAACTAATGAAATGAAGGAATTAAACTGAAAAAGGAAAACATAATAATTAGATTAAATCAAAAGAAGAGCATAAAAAAATCGAGGGTCACATGATTATGGAGAAAGATAAGGTATCCTTAAGAGTTTGGTCGGTTAGGAGAAAGCTGATACTATATGATTACTTTCAACGGTTTTGGTCAATGGACTTTAAACATTGAACATTACTACATTTCACATGTGCTTTGAGGATTTCTTCAACGTCCTATCGAATTTATATCAAGCTAAGAGTTTCTTCTCAATTTGTTAATATTTGTCATTGATATCTCTAATGACTTCGATCGTTTTTTCTGTTATATAGGTTTATTTGCTTTCTAAAAGATTTATGTGAACCGAGAAAATGATAGTATGAATGATCATAATATCCAAATTTTTTGCACGAACAACTATTACTAACCTAGTACAGCTAGCAAATAGGCATGAGTTGCTTAGTAGTATTTGATACTTTTGTGGTAAAAGATACTATCGTTTAGTTACTTATATATTATCGGTCCTGTATAATGACGTGAATTAAATTAGTAAAAACAAGATTAAATTGATATCGGAAGGGGCACATGGGAGAAGCAGATTCTCGTAGACAAACAAAATCGAATGCATGCATATATGCTGATTCACCTCAGTGTGTGGGTAACATGTTCGAATCATTACAGTCAAACTTCTTGTAGTTTTCAATTTTAATCCCTCTACAACAAGTTTACCTTATTTTATTCTCGTGATCATTAAAATATAAATTAACCATCGAAACAAGCATTTGTGCTTTGCACTATTGGGCCATTAAAGAAAAACAGATTAAATAACTAAATGGGCTTCTTAAGCTGACTGATTTCTCTCTCATATCATCAAATGGGCCTTTATTTGAATATTAAGAATTTAAGATGGTGGAGGACCCAATTCGGGAAAACTCAAAACTCCATGTCGGTCCACTGCGTTTTAGACCCCCATCAAACCACTAGAACAAGGGTCTTCGACTTTACTACAACGAGTCTACGACAACGATTTTAGATTTTGGATCAAAAACAAAATTTTAGATGAAAAGTCATTCATATAACAAAAATTGCACACTGGAAAATCATTATGAACAAGTCAGAGTGTTTTTAGTCGATCAAATGTATTATTAACTGAAAAATATGACAGACATGATATTGACTATTTATTTTTTGTAATAATTATATTATGTGAAGGAACAGATCACTAGGAGCTGTGTGGAGTAACAGAATTCAAGTGGCTTTCCTTTGCTTGCGGAAGTAAATGAAGTATAGATTACGAAATATAATTTCTTAAAAATAATAATAATTCACGATTACAGAATGGTCCACTATATAATAACGTGTACGATCCAATAATCCATCTCTGCATTATTATTTTCTTTATAAAAAAAATATTTTAATATCCCAATTGTTTCCTCTATCTATAAACAAATCCAACAACAAATTAACATTTCTTTTTTAAAAAATAATAATAATACAAGTCCACTCCAATCATTTTCATTACAGACTCAGTCAAGCTCAACCGAAGCAACTGGAAAGAAACGACCGTTAATCTTCACCGTCCACTAACCCTTCTTCTTAGCTCGACAGTTGACTTTTCTCCCAAACTGAGTCAACGTTAAGAAATCGTCACTGAGACTTGATCAGCCGGTAAATTTAGGTCAAATCCACGGTGGCCACCGATAGCACTTTCTTCCGACGATCTCTCATTATCCACATCGCTGACGTCACTACCAGCAACGACTTCTACGCTGTTGCTGCTACTTCCGTTACCGTTACCACCGTCATAGTGACACCGTTTGTGTCCACCTAAGGCTTGACCTGACGAAAACGACTTGAAACAGATCGAGCAAGTGTGAATCTTTCCACTTTGACTAACACCGTTAATACTAGTAACGGTAACGTTAATAACAACGGAACCGCTGTTACTGTGACTGTTATTAGACAGTTCTTGGTTACCGGAAGTGATACTGTTATTCGTCGGTTTCCGGTGACTCGTCTTGTGTCCACCTAAGGCTTGGTAAGACGAAAACGATTTTCCACAAACGGAACACTTGTAATCTCGGTGATCGGACGGTGACGGACGTGACGGTAGAGGAGGAAGAGGAGGAGATTGTACGGCGGAGCCACGAGCGAGCATGAGGAGACAAAGAGCGAGATACTCTTCTTCAGAAGGAAGGTGATTCTTATTCGTTTCTTGATTCTGATGACCGTGATCAAAACGTTGACGTTTTGTTCGTTTTCTTTTAGCCCATTGCTCGAGATTCTCAGGCTCCATTTCTTCACGATACCGGAGAAGAGGACGATCGGTGGTGGTGGCTGTTGGAGAATTGAGAGTCTCGAGTGCCATATGGTTTTTAATTTTGAGATGTGATTTTGAGGTATTTAAGAAGAAGAAGATGATGAAGAAAGAGTGAAGTGTGTGTGGTGTATTGTGAGCACGTCTTGTGTTTGTGTTGTGTTTGTGTTTTTGAGAGTTAGTTTTGATTTATATATATATTTTTGTAAGAAATCTTTAGAATTGGGATTGAGAGTGGGAACGTGGGCTATGAGTGATCAAGTGGTGCTGCTCTTGCTTTCTTCAATCCATTAAATTCCTTTATTTTATATTGACATTTAGATGTAATATGTTGTCATTAATTTTGGATTATTAGGGTAACTATTTACCAAGTCAATGCAGTGTTTTTAGTTAGAAACTGCCAGAACTTGTTCAGAATATCTTCCAATTTTACGTTGAACTGAAAAAGATTACAATACTATACGTCACTAATCACTATATGTAGTTTATATACATTTTCGAGTTTATCCACTAAGCTAATTATGTCATATATATAACTGAATATTTGTTATTGATCATTAGCTGCTAACTAACTATACTTTTTATTTTTTAGTTTGTTTAAAAAAAAAAACCTTTTGTTTATTTTGTGCTTGTTCAATGGCTTATTTTATCCACTTGTATTTTCTTAAATTTCCCGATCAACTATGAATTACCCATTAATTTCTAATACGTAGAAGACGAAGTTTCCACCAATTGATCGAGAACTCTTCAAAGGGTTTTTAGTTAAATAACATCGAAATTTTGTATGACTTCCAAGTTGAGTCCATATCACACTTTTCCCGGTAGTCACCCAAACTTTATTTAATAATTCAACAAATAACGTTAATTAGGAATGTAAAAACTGAAATTAGGCAGACAATTGTTCTTGAAATGGAGTGCCATATCTTTGGAGCTGTATTAAAATAATCAAAATAAAAGAAGAAGAAGCTTTTGCCACTCTGGAGTATAATCTTTTCCCCGATTTGTGATATGTGGTGGCATTGATATATTGCTTATCTGGCATTCTCTCATTGGCTAAAGAAGGCTGGATTCTTCTGGTGGACCACGTGGCGTAATAAGAATGGTGAAACTTTTCGGTGGATAGTTAAAGTCGGTACGAGACTAAAGGGCTCAGGCTAACATGACGGTGACACTTCGTTGCACCACCGTCAACACCGTCACAAACACTATCAATGTTAGTTTACCTTCGAATTCGATTGGTTTGTTTTTTATTATAGAAATAATAATAGCTCACTTGATTTTTTCTCAAAAGAATGTACATAGGTTTGTGTGTGTAAGACTTGCCCACTAGTCAGTAGTCCACCAACCAAAACACAAGAGTTAAAAAAAGAAAAACAGAAGAAACTAAATGAGATTAAAGTAATGTGTTAAATTAACAATTGGGGGTCGTTGACGGAGATAAAAAAAAAAACAAAGTGGAGTATAAGTCTTTAAGTCTTCGAGTTTGTTGTTGTATTATGAAGTGGGTCGTCGTCTTTGCTCATAACAGTTTTGTCTACTTAGTCAATTCAACTGCCAAAAAACGCTTCAACGATTATCTTAAAAGCTGTCGTTATGCAACTTATGATTGGGAACTTTTCTACGCGGTTTAATGTAGAGTCATTTTATAGAAACAGTCCTTTGAACATTTCGCAAACTTTTGAAATACGAGGAAAAAATACCAAAAGCCCATCAACATAACAAACAAGCCAAGGTTTGTCTAAGGGTTATAAAAAACTTTGATATAAAGATGTCAACAAAATCAGAGTGGCGCAGCGGAAGCGTGGTGGGCCCATAACCCACAGGTCCCAGGATCGAAACCTGGCTCTGATACATATTTTTGATTATTTTTTTCCGTTTCCCCTACAATAAGGCCCATTTTGGTTTCGGTAAAACAAAGCCCATTAACAGTACCAAGTGGGCCAAAGGACGGATTAAAAGTAAACAATAATTAAGTTGAACCCTAAATGATAAACCATGATTTAAAATTAACAAAACTAGAGATCACTACTAAATGGTTTCTTAGAGTCCAGATCTTCAATGGCTGACAAATCTCAACTGAGAACAAACCGGCAATGCTGATAACCTACAAAAACAAAATCAAAATCTCATAAATCTGTAATTATCTTTCTCTATTGAATCTCATAAAGGTAAATCTGAGTTTTTTTTAACTTACTTGGGTCAGTTGTGATAAGCATGGCGGTTCCACCGAAAGAGCAAGTACCTCCGTTTCGTTTAGTCTTTTGCCAATAACTGTTGAAAGCAAAAGAGGCATGAGCCATGACTGTGTCTGGATAGTAACATATCCCGTGAGGTTTAATCTCATCGCAATTGGCTCCTCCTTGTCCACAAGCAAAGTCCAGAGATTGTTGCAATGTCTCTGCCGCTACACTCGGTTTCGCCACGCACCATAGCCCTTCCACGTCCTTCTTCTTGACAGGAGACGGTGACGGCGCCGGATGATAAGGAAGGCACGGCGGAAGAGAGATCCCTTGATTTGATTCCGGTGGAAATTGGGGAGGAGAGGACATCGGAGATTGTGAAGGTTCTGAGAAATAGGGTATGGTAGGTGGAGATGGTCCGATTGAGGAGTGAATTGGTGAGTTTTCTGGTGATGGAGATGGTAATGTTGGGAAAGAGATTGTGAATTTGTTGCTGAGATTGATTAAAGATCTCAGATTTCTTCTTGTCATTGTCGTTGTAGATTCTTGTTCTGGTTCAGGGTTTAAGAAATTGACTTTGTTGAAGCTCAAAGATCCGAGCTTTTCAACGGAATGAAGCAAATCAAGATGATTATCAGGTGAAGAAAGGAAGTTTTGAGGTGGGTTTATGGTGAAAGTTGAGTTTATGGTTTTGAGGAAGATAAGAACAGGTTTGAACATTTCTGAGATTTTTGGGTTGTTTAAGCAATTGTAGGAGAAGCCAGAGGAGACTTTGATGTTGTTCTCAAGACCCCATCTTGTAAGAGAATGGTAAATGTTTTTCAAAGAAGAAAGAACCAGATCAGAGGTGGGTTTGTTTTGTGTGGTTTGGCAAGAATCAGGGAAAAAGATAACAATGGTGGTGATTTTGGTGGAAGGGTAACGAGAGAGGACATGGGTTTTAAGCCAAGTTTCTGCTTTTATGATACTTGAGGAAATCTCAGTAATGGTTTTGTTGTCACTCACAGAAACTGCGAGATCAAGATCAGTGGTTTGAGGAAGTTGAAAGAGTTTGTGATGGAGATTTAGAGCTTCAATGGGTGTTGATTCTTGACCAGCTCCTGCATAAAGAGACCATAGCTATGAGTTGCAAAAAAAAAAGAAAGTATATACATTTTTGTTTGTGGTTTTTGTTACCTGCTAAACCGAGAAAGGCAATGAAGAAGAAAATGTAAAGAAGATGTCTCATTTTGCCTTTGGCACAGGTTTTTTTTTTCTTTACTTGTGTTGTTCTTGGTTTCTTTCTCAGCACATGAGAGGTTTATAAAAGATAGGTTTTTTCTAGAGTACAGAGGAAGAATCAAAGTAATGTTATTTTTTACTTTTGAGGAAAAAAAGAAAAAGGGAAGATTAATGTTACACAGTGACTGTTGTGTTGTTCTTGCTGCTTACTATAAAGTGGTGTATGGAAAATAATGCCGTTGAAATGTTGAATTGTTCTGTTTTAAGAAACCGTACATTGCGACACGTGTCTTTAGTGGTAACAATGCACAACAAAGTTGGTTGCTTTGTTTGACTGTTGGGTCACTTGAGTGTTGTTCACATGATAAATTTCAAATAGAGGTGTTAATTTTAACAAATATTCGAATATGGTTCAGGCTTCATATCGAAATTGTTGTAGTTTGAATTTGGATTAGATTGGTTCGATTTATCAACAAATATGTTTTTGGAAATGAAGAACTATAAAAGATAACAAAAGATGAGGTCGCATAACATTCACGGTAGGCACAAACATCGTGGACCCTCGATAACGTTGGAAACATAGCTTCTGCAAAACATTTTTGATGGACTTTTATGCTAATCCTCCTTATACGAGCCATATTTAAGTAGCCTTGTGATTTATATAGTCCGACATGTAATGGGCTTTAGTTAGGGCCTTTTTGAAGCCATAGTATGGGCTTAGTTAGACCTCTACTTCTTTGCTTTTTTGTCCAAGTTCCGCCCTTTTTTTGTATTTTTCTGCTAATAAGGAAACATTTTATCGTAAAAAATAATAATTTATATTTTATATTCACAAGCAGATTTCCATTTCGATTTATTTTATTTAAAAGGCTGTGATTAGACTGATATTATTGAGTGAAGTGGTGTGGGATTCTAAAATTGCTTTGAACGTTTTGAATAATCCTGTCATAATGATTATGACAACACTAGCAAGGGATTTGTCTAGTAGCTTTATCATGATTACCATCTCAATTAATGTTTAATTAACCAGATAATAAACAAAAAAATTAACGAATAAGAAGATGGCAGTGTATTAAAATCCAAGCATTGACCCATCCGACCCATGATCTTCTCGGATTTGTCGGTATAATTACATGCTACTAAATAGTCTTATCTAACGTTAATTTTGTCTAACTACATCAAGAAATTTGTATTGACAATAATATATTAGAGAAAAAAACTCTATTCGACAGTTTAGTTCTTAGGGAAACTTTCACATAATATGGAACTTTTTACAAGAAATTAGTTTTGGAAAATGCAATATTAATTTTAGTTGTAAATATACGGTTCAAATTAAATCCGCGAGCCTCTATTTAAAAAATTAGTCCCCCAGCTTAAAAACTATAATCATACCATAATTCTGGCTTGTGATCTCAATAGAAATATAAAAGAGTGACAATAATGAGTAATGACAGAAAAATGAGTACAAAAGTGTTGAAGAATATTATTTATCTTGAGCTTTAAGTATATCTATAAGACTATAACACAAGCGTTGTGCAGATTTATGTTTACGTGGAACAGAAGAAAACTTTTTTCCCCTCAGGATTTTTTTTTTTTTTTGCGTATAGGAATATTTGTTTCTTCTAATTGACAATGCACATGCTATTCTTTACCAAAAGAAATACAGCTAGAAGTTAAAAATATACAAAATATACCAACTTGAAAAATAAGAATGAAAATTACTATTTTAGATTGAACCTCTTGATTTTGTATAGTCAGTAACGTTTCTGCATTATTTTCTTAGTAAAAGGATAAGAGATTTATGGCACAATTGTAAATACGAGGAAAAGAAATGGACATCCCCAGCCAATGAAAATGGAAGAAAAAAAGGTATAAAGATGAAAAAAAGACAATGAGAAAGTTTTTTGGTTTAAAACAAATTAAAAGAAAGAAAAAAAAGAGAAAAAGCAAAACGCTAGAGAGCGTGTGGTTGACCCTTCGTTCGTCACTTGTCGATTACCATTAGTTCATTACCATTAATAAACATAAACAACAGAATGAGAGTCGGTGGATGTATAAATCATTTATTTTTTCTTTACCTAAAATATAAAAAAAAAACCTGAAAAAATAGAAAGAATAAAAGACAAAAAAAGAAGAAGGAAAAGATAAAAGATAGAGATGTAACGTTAAGCCCGTTGTGTCACTTTATTCCAAAATTACATGAATGGGTCTTCTTTTTTCTTCCTTTTCTATTCACTATTAAATCTTTTTTTAATAGATTCGCTATAAACTTGATTTATACGTATTACCTATTTCATGTAAAATATTTCCCTTGTCTGCGAAAAATTGTTGTTAGAATAGTTAACTAAATCTTTTAAATTTTTAGAATCAAGCAGTACAATGGAGACTTTCTTATATTAATAGTATACTTTACTTACTTGTGACATTTACTAAAAACAACCGACACTTTTGCAATTTGTTTTCAACTCGATAAATTGTTTGTTAGTGTTAAAAAACAAACTTAAAATAGTCTTTTGAAAATTGTAATTGTTGGCCCATATTGTCATATGACTCGTATACGGTACACTGGACCACATAAGATTGTCTTTCCGTCTACAGAATCAGCCGGACTAGTTTTGTAACTTTGTTTAAAACAACAATTATTATTTGTAATCTTGGTTTTAAGTTTTAACTGAAAGAATAAAAGTGTAAATATCGTAGAAAAATATAATAAAATCGAAAAGTCGATGGTGGAGGTATGTACGTGTCTTTTTCCTCTTGAAATCAACGAAACAAAATCGAAAATTTTCTACGTTGGACGGAAAAGGACAGTCACATTCTTCGTTAATTAATACATACTAAAGGACATTTACGTCTTTAAGCAGCAAAGCCATAGTATGTTTGTAGTAGTATTAGATTGTTGAATCTCACGTGGCCAAAATTTCCAAATTATATGAAATCTAATGCAAAGCAACAAGACCATGAGAGTCCACCATAATTTTAATTACAAAGTTGATTTTTTTTTTTATAATCTTTTTAGTAGTCAATTTCCATGAAGCAGGACGTGAATAGTTAGGCTGTCTATTCTTCGTTTTTATGTCTTTTACTTGAGCAACTAGTAATTTTTATTTGTTTTTTTAAAACATATGTTTGTTGTCGCTCACGAATAATACAAATACATTTGTGGTTAGTAGACTACAAATTATGTGATTAATATTTATCATTTTACTACGTACGTGTAACTACTACTACTAATTAACGAGGTTAAAAAAAGCAGATTAAACGATCCCGGAATGCTGACGTCAGCATCATAAATCTCAGATCTCGAAACGAAACGAACTTTCGCTTGCTCTCCTCTCCTCTGCTATTACTACTTTCCCTTTTTCACCTTTTTTTTTCTTTCTTTCTTTTTCTTTAATTTTTCCATTAAACATTTTCTTAATTTTTTCTTTCCATTGAAGATACGATCTGACGAACAAGGAAAACAGAGAGAGAGAGAGAGCAAGCAAAAAAAAAAAGCAGAAGAAGAAAGAAGAAGATGAATTTAGAGGAGAATTGTAAAACAGTTAATCACGATTCGCCATGAGAGCTCTTCAATTTAGATTCTTCTTCTTCATCATCTTCTTCTCAGTTTCCGTTAGTAGTGAACTTCATCGGAGAATCCTTCATCAGCCGCTTTTCCCGGAAACTTCTACTCCTCCTCCACCAGATTTCGAATCAACGCCGTCTCCTCCTATACCAAACACTCCCGATCAGCCATTTTTCCCGGAGAATCCTTCTACGCCTGAACAGAATCAGTATCCTCCTCCTCCACCTCCTGTTTCCGCCGACGTCAATGGCGGATTACCGATTCCAACAGCTACCACTCAATCAGCGAAGCCTGGGAAAAAAGTTGCTATCGTCATTTCTGTTGGAATTGTCACGCTTGGGATGCTTTCTGCTTTAGCTTTCTTCTTGTATCGTCATAAATCGAAGCACGCGAGCGATACTCAGAAGCTTGTTAGTGGAGGTGGCGATGGCGGCGGTTCTCGAAGATTCCAGGAAGATCCAGGACCACCGACGACGACGTCGTCTACATTTCTCTACATGGGAACTGTTGAACCGAGCCGTGTATCGGCGAGTGAGTCTAACGGCGGAACTAATGGACCGGTTAATTCGTCTCCGTACTGGAAGTTGAATTCGGCTAAGAGATCGGAACGGTATAGGCCGAGTCCGGAGCTTCAACCGCTTCCTCCGTTAGCTAAACCGCCGCAGCCGTCAGATAACTCTCCGTCGGCTTTATCTCCTTCTTCATCATCTTCCGGTGAAGAATGCCGTGATACGGCGTTTTACACGCCTCATGGATCTGCGATCAGCAGCGATGACGGTTACTACACGGCATTTCCTCGCTCCGCCAAATCACTTCCTCACTCGAAGAGAACATCTCCGAGGTCTAAGTTTGGATCAGCTCCTGCGACGGCAGCATCTAGGTCGCCGGAGATGAAACACGTCATCATCCCGTCAATAAAGCAGAAACTGCCGCCACCAGTACAACCTCCGCCTCTAAGAGGCATGGAAAGTGATGAACAAGAGCTTCCTTATTCCCAGAACAAGCCTAAGTTCTCGCAGCCACCTCCACCGCCGAACAGGGCGGCGTTTCAAGCAATAACTCAGGATAAATCACCAGTGCATCCACCACGGCGGTCTCCACCTCCAGTCCAGACTCCACCACCACCGCCTCCTCCTCCGCCTCTTGCTCCGCCTCCACCTCCTCAGAAACGGCCGAGAGATTTCCAGATGCTACGAAAAGTCACCAATTCGGAAGCAACAACCAATTCCTTAACGTCACCTTCAAGAAAACAATCACTCAAGACTCCAAGTCCTAAGTCGAAGGCTGTTGAAGAGGTCAATAGCGTATCAGCCGGTTCTCTTGAGAATACAGGTGATGGGGACACGGACCCAAGCAAGCCAAAGTTAAAGCCACTTCACTGGGACAAAGTACGAGCGAGCTCAGATCGAGCCACTGTTTGGGACCAGCTCAAATCAAGCTCATTCCAGTGGGTAGCATTGTTTACTACATTGTTGTGCTGCATACATTTTGAATTTGATGTTTTTCAGTAACTTTTTTGATCTTATTATGCTATATAGATTGAACGAGGATAGGATGGAGCATCTGTTTGGTTGCAATTCTGGAAGTTCAGCTCCAAAGGAACCTGTGAGAAGGTCAATGATGCCTCCTGCTGAGAATGAGAACAGAGTGCTAGATCCAAAGAAATCGCAGAACATTGCAATTCTCTTAAGAGCTCTCAATGTAACACGTGAAGAAGTGTCTGAAGCTCTCACGGATGGTAAGTTATTTTTGATGGGAAAGTTCTATCTGCATAAAGCAAGAGTTGGCATTTTCATAGATCATGATAAGTTAGTAAGCTATCTACATTTAGGTTCCTCTGTTCGGCTAATAACCTGCTTTCAAATATTGATGCACTAATTGAGATCTTGCTGATAGTAGGTAAAATATTAGAGATGCTCATCAGAGGTAACAGTGGTGAGAATCTAAATTATACAAAAAAGGCTTAGGCCTCAAGTTATAATCATTGCAAAGAACAATGACATATGACATTATTATCTCTGCTTTATCTTGGTTATAACATGATAGTTCAACTTATGAAACATACCACATGTAAAGGAGAAAAAGGGTCATCCTATAGTATTTACAGAACTAGCAAATATGATGAAGCTGACATTCATTAAGATTCTCTGAGCACCATTATTTTTATTACGTTATTGTTCTAAGATGCATGAGTATTTGTGGTCCCTATCCTATTATTTCAATTTAATTTTACTTGTGGGACTGTAACAGGTAATCCCGAGAGCTTAGGTGCTGAGCTTTTAGAGACTTTGGTGAAAATGGCTCCAACAAAGGAGGAAGAGATCAAACTCCGAGAGTACTCTGGTGATGTCTTGAAACTAGGGACAGCTGAAAGATTCCTTAAAACCATTCTTGATATCCCTTTTGCCTTTAAAAGAGTTGAAGCAATGTTGTATAGAGCCAACTTTGATGCAGAAGTCAAGTATCTAAGGAACTCTTTCCAGACATTAGAGGTTAGTTACTTTTCAAGACACTTAATGATCTAATTGCTCAGACGAATTGTCCGAATTCTGATCCCTCGGTTGCTTTGTAGGAAGCAAGCTTAGAACTAAAAGCAAGCAGACTATTCCTAAAGCTCCTTGAGGCTGTCTTAATGACTGGAAACCGAATGAACGTTGGCACGAATCGCGGAGATGCCAAAGCCTTCAAACTCGATACACTTTTAAAACTTGTAGACATCAAAGGAGTTGATGGCAAAACCACATTGCTTCATTTTGTTGTCCAAGAAATCACAAGAACCGAGGGAACAACAGCAACAAAAGATGAAACCATCCTCCATGGAAACAGTGACGGTTTCAGAAAGCAAGGATTACAAGTAGTTGCTGGACTCAGTAGAGATCTGGTTAATGTGAAAAAATCAGCCGGAATGGATTTTGATGTACTGAGCAGTTACGTGACAAAGCTCGAAATGGGTCTTGGTAAACTCCGATCATTTCTCAAGTCAGAGACAACTCAAGGGAAGTTCTTTGATTCGATGGAAACGTTTCTCAAAGAAGCAGAGGAAGAGATCCGAAAGATCAAAGGAGGAGAAAGAAAAGCTTTGTCAATGGTCAAAGAAGTAACAGAGTATTTCCATGGAAACGCAGCGAGAGAAGAAGCACATCCTTTAAGAATCTTCATGGTCGTGAGAGATTTTCTCGGAGTTCTCGATAACGTTTGTAAAGAAGTGAAGACGATGCAAGAAATGTCGACATCGATGGGTTCAGCTTCAGCTAGATCGTTCAGGATTTCAGCAACAGCATCGTTACCGGTTCTTCATAGGTATAAAGCAAGACAAGACGACACAAGCTCGGATAGTGAACACAGCAGCAACTCTTCTACGTGATTGAAACAAAAAGCTGTACAGTTTCTTACACCAAGACAAGAAGAATTCAAATTGGTGTTTCTCAAACCGGAGGAGATATCAGATATTGAGTTGGTTTAGTCGGAGAACACGGACCGGTTAGAGAGTAACACACACTATAATGATCAAATTTTCGTAACAAATAAGGAACCCTTTTTTCTTTCTTAGTTCTTTGCCTTTGTCGGCAATTTAAATATAGATAGATATATATGAAAATATCGTAATTTCTTGACTGGTTGGTTTAAGTTTTGTGTTTCTTTGGCCTTCATAAGCTTTTATTCATTACTCATGAGTCACACAAAGATCAACTTCTTCACTGGAAGTGGTGATGTTAGTTAAAATAAAAAAGTAAAGATAGGTTCCGAATCGTGTGCTTTTTTTTTTGTTGTTGAAGGAATCAGAATCCAATACGAAAGTGATTTTTAAAGGAGAAAATATATACTACAAGGTACGATATTGGGATTTGGGTTTGTGACAATGAATGTTTCCAACATTACTAAATGAAATAGAAACATGTGATGCGAGTGAGACCGATTTTGTGTACACTTGTACCACGTCCTCTCTGATTGCTTTTGTCTTGTTCTACGTCACTTTTTCCCACCACGATCTTTTCGTTTCTCTTTTCCATTTTTGGAGTTATTAAAAATAACAAAGCAAGTTGGGTCCTATAAAATTTGGTAGATTCTTCTTCTCCTGTTAATTTCACGACAAGATGACTCAGCTTATTACCAATTTTGCCATTGAGTAATTAAAATGACAAAACCGCTAAACCGATCCTCAAACCGGATTTGATATTCCAAATGATCAGAGATTTGACTCTTGGCCGACCAAAATATGTGTCATTTATTCAAATTCATTATGTTACACTTGTTTTCAAGATAGGATCACAAGAAACGCTTAAAACTCGCCCTTCTTGAGATTGACAAAATGGTGAAATCTTGAGACGACGTTTTTTAACAGCTTGTCACCGGTAAAAAGAAAGGAGAGCCTCCGACTTTCTTACTCCCCAATACATTCTTCACCAGAAGTTTCCATCTCGATTCATCTTTCTTGCTCTGTTTCTCCATCTTCTCCTTAAAGTTTCTGCATAGAGGGACTCGACACTGATCAGAATCAGCGCAAACACGTGAATGCAATTCAAGGAGTTGCCACATTCTCTTGCAATGCACGCAACCTCCTGGAACTCTAAGCTTACAGCCTGCGAAATGCCGGATCAGTGATTCTAATCCCTTGCAAGCTTCATAGTTACACGGTGCGTGGTCCGGTTTTAAATCTTTATCATGTGGTCCTATTGTTTTACATCCGTCTCTGCATATGTGAACAAGAGCTTCCATTGCTTCATATAGCTGCGAATATATCCTCTGATCATTGCGTTTTCTGATCCTCTCTTTCCGCATCTGCATTTATGTTCAAGATTTAGAGATTTGGAGAAATTACAGTGGAAAGAGGAAGTTTGTTAAATCATTACTTACATTTGCTTCGATGATCACTGAATCTCTAACTTCTTTCTCAAGAAAGGGATGGCTTTTCTTCATAGCTGTCCATGCTTCTGTCGCAGAAAGCTCCTTAAAGTGTTTCATGATCATACGGTGAGATATGAGGCTAAGCCGAGGGAAATCACACAGCAGCGCAAGCTGGAACACATCAATCACATTCTCAGTGGTAAGCAAACCATGTTCTAGATGCCATTCACAGACCCGTTTCAGCTGAGGAACCACATACGCGTGCGACAGAAGTAACAAATGCATGATAAACTCGTTCATTTCTTCTTTCTCATAGCTACACAAAGAAAATCAGGTTTAGTCAATGTTAAGATAAGACAAATGTTAAAAGAGGCAGAGCAAGAAAAAATGGAATTTATACCAAGAAGAGTAGAGGAAACGGATAAAAACTCGAACAGCGTCATGAGGGACACCGCGGATTGAGATTGTATGCCACTTGCCATGTCTCTTGGCTTGCTTCAACATGCCTTTGATCACAGTGGAAGCAGTTCCCTATTAATTCAAAATGACAAATGTCAATATCAACCAAGTCTAGAGCTTTATGGAACCAGGAAGACTTTCTAATTAACCAAGTCTAGATATCCTAGCTACACATTGATCATTTATGTTCATAGGAATTAGTTATAAGGAGAGCTTACAATGATGTTGGCATGAGCATAGATGATGCTGCCATTATCTGTATAGATCACTACATCAGCTTTGTATCCATCATTGAAAAGACGATCCCACGTATCTCTTGTGGCTGTCGAAACACTGCTAGGCCCGAGTCTTTTCTTACGTCCATCAGATTTTGATGGAAGAGGTGGAGGAATTGGCACAGAAGATGAATCTGCAGATTTGAAGGATTGATGAAGATCCAAACAACCAGTCACCATTATTCTCTTGTTTAGCTATCTTCTCTTTCCTGCATAAATAAAAAAAAAACATTCTTTGATTCTTTGGACACAAAGCTTCATTGTCCCTTCCATAAAAATGTTGGAAAACGATTCGGAATATTTGCTCAAAAACTAAGACAAATCTTGCTTTCACTCAAAACATGCAAAATGAAAAATCCAGAATCATTTAATTGATTCGTTTATTCGAAAAATGTGATTCAGACAACAATTTTCACAGCATTATCTAACCAGATCTCATTTACGATTACGAATCCAACAGAACACAAAACTCTATCAATCGAAAAAACAAGAATTGTTCCTCATAATCAACAAAAAGCAAAACAAATCGGATAGATAATGTAAGAAACATGATTAATCGATGCTCTAATATTTTTCAGACGTACCTTGAAATGATTCAGACCACAGAATCAGCTTTGCTTGGAAGAGCAAATCTATCAAAATTAACGAGAAATCTTCTCCTTGGTGGAAAGAGCAGGAGAAGAAACTCTATAGAGAAACTTGAGAGATCACAGATCTCTTACCATTATATAAACACACACACTCACAAAAACAATACAAGACGACAAATTTTCCAAAAAAAATCCACCGAAAGGATGATTTTATTATTTTAATGTCCTTAATTTCTCACTTCTTGTGTTCAAAAATTTAGAGATATTTTCTTCGTTCATATCATTAAGACAAGACAACCACCTGCGAAAATTACCGAGAGGCGCGTGGAGCCTACAGTTACGAAACGGACGGCTGAGAATCCACGCGCCTTAACGGGTTTTTCCTCGTTCTGAAAAAGCTTCGTCAAGTTGGTTTTATTATCGCTTTATCAATTGAAACACGACTCTGCATGTTTTTTTTTTTAATGATTTAATTTATAAGAGCCGTACAAAAACAGATCTGTTTGTCCTTTGTTTTGTTCTTGTTCGGCGTTACACAGCTCATAATTAGCTGTTCGTTTTTTTCAAATTTTCATCCGTATTATTATCCTTCAAAGATAAATTAAAGATAAATTTAGATTAGTCTTAATTTTAACCACAATATCAGACACTCTTCAAAATGTTACCTAATCGTGCATTATTATATCTGTCATCCGCAAAATTGCGTCATAAATATTTTGTTGGTCGCTTGAATTTTTTTTTTTTTTTTTTTTTTTTTTTTTGGTCGCTTGAATTGATTGTTACCCATTTTCTTTTTGTGTGTGTTTTACAATAATGCCACGTTTCTTCTATCGAATACTCTAGAAAAAGAAGAAGGTGAAAATGCGTTATAGGATCATTTTGGGTATTATTCGTGTATTTTTATTAGTTTTGATCAGAGTATGAAAAAAAATTGAAATTGTTTAATACTATAACCTTTTTTGAAAAATAGTATTGATGTTGTAGTAATAGAAACTCAAGAGCATGCAAATCTTTTTTCAGAGCATTACTGTAAAAGTGTAAAGTGCAAACTAGAGTTTTGGAACAGTTATCAAATACCTTGTTAAGTTCTATGGACTTCCAACTCAAAACCAATTGGCCATGAGTGGAGTGGCCCATATCCCTTTATATATTACTTAGGATCCCTTACAACTTCCGATGTGGGACATTATGTCCTAATACGCCCCCTCGAGATGATGGCTCTTTGGCCATTAATCTCGGAATATTCGGGCTTAGATCGACGGCATCAATTTTGGGCCTTGTCGATGATTGGACCATCTTTGGGTCGGATCGGGTTGGACATGTGTGGATCGGGCTCTGATACCATGTTAAGTTCTATGGGCTTCCAACTCAAAACCAATTGGCCATGAGTGGAGTGGCCCATATCCCTTTATATATTACTTAGGATCCCTTCCAACTTCCGATGTGGGACATTATGTCCTAATATACCTAATTACTATAGTAATTTGATAGAACTGATAATTTAATTGTTAATGCAGTTTTTCTAACTACAATGATTGAGATAATTCATTCGTAATGAAATTCGATTCCAAATCAAAGCTAGAACTAGAGACGAAAACAAAATAAAAACTTCATAATAATACAGGTTTATGGAATAATTATGTATTCAAATAAACATTCCCAAGCAAAGGCAACGAGCCAATATGAATCAGAATTTGAAGTTTCTCCTACATTTTCTTCGATGTTCTCCATTATTTTGCAAATACATAAACATATAAAACGAATTTATTTCCACTTTTCTCAGAAACTGTAAAAAGAACTCAAGCTAAAGCAGTGAGATTCATGAATCATCTCAGAAATCGGAGCATCGACCACGTTGTTCCCAATCGCCGTACCGAGTCGGTTCAGGACCTCTAGGCCCTCCGATCTCACCAGTGTCTTCGTTCACAAACTCTCCACCTCCACCTCCTTCTCCTTCTTCTTCCTCTTCTTCTTCCTTCTGCATCTGCTGATTCTGTTGAAGATTCTGATCTGGCTTCACGTTCCGGTTCAGATCCTGATTCGGAGATGGAGCTTGCGGCGGAGGAGGAGTGCCGGAGCTTAAAAACCGTGACACGGGCTCGAGGAATCTAGAGGAGGCGGATCGGCTTGGTGCGATCAATCGGACGATGCTGTTCGTCGCCATTGTTAGATGTGTCGGCCAAATCAAAAACCGATTTGTGATAGTATAGGGTTCGATAGTCATTTTGGTTGGGCTATAATTTGATAATAAGCCCTGTAGGATCGAGGCCCAACAGTTTACATGTTTATTAAAAATATATATAAGAGAATTAGAGTAAAGTTGGCCCAGTATAATTAGGGATAATAAGCCCAGTAGGATCTAAGCCCAACATTTTACATTTTTATCAAAACAAAATGAGAGAATTAGAGAGTCAACTGTAAAGTTTGCGTCGCCTGGGTTAGAACCGGTGACTCATGTGTTGCTTTTGTGCCACATCAACGGTTGTGAGTGGTTGGTCACTAAAGTAAAGTCACAGGCTGTTATTATAGTATTCGTTATTCGCTTATTTATTTCGTCTACCACGAGAAAAACAAGTCATAATTCTTCTATCTTGATATCTTCACCGCCTTCTATTCCAAATCTTCGCCGATCTCTCAATCTCCGATCAACCATGAGCAAAGGTCCAGGACTCTTCACCGATATCGGCAAAAAAGCCAAAGGTAAACTCATCGTATCGTTCTTTTTCGATATATTACTTCTCTCGTCGTTTCGATTCCGATTGAAATCGCGCAATTAGTGCGTGTATTTATGCCTAGTCATTGATTCCAAGTTTTGGTGTTTCGAATTTATTTATCCTGTAGATTGTTAGATTTCGATTCTGTTTTGGGTGATACTGTCGATTTTAAGCTGATTCTGTTGATTTTTTTGGTTTCCTTCTTGGTAGATCTGTTGACGAGAGACTACAATTCCGATCAGAAATTCAGTATCTCCACTTACAGTGCCTCCGGCGTGGTACGTATTATTATAGCGATGCAAACTCGTTTCTCTCAGATTCTCGTTCGATTTATAGCGAGTATCAACGAGTGTTGCTTGGCTCTATCATTGTATTTTTGTGATATTGTTCTGTGTCGTTTGCAATTAGTAGCGCTTAGAGTATATATTGTTCTTGGTCTGATCGATCTTATCATTGTTAAAATCAGTTTGTTAAGCGTTGGATTAGATCTTGGTGATCCGAGAGATTGACAAGTATAGGATGAAATTTCTTTTTGTTTAAGAATTAGATGTTTGATAAGGAGTGAAAATGAGGTCAACGTTGGTATAGCTACGAATTTGGCTACAAAAGTTATCCCTCAAGGTTCATTGTTCAGTTTCTTATATAAGTTGCGTAGCAAGCTTATTGTAGAAGAATTTCCTTTGTAGAATTCAGTTATTGTGTGTGACAGTATCAATTAGCTAATAGGATTTATGTTGTTAGGCATTCTTGGCTTAGACGACTAATGATTGTCTGTAATTAATCTAGCAAATGTACTGCATGGTTTATTGCACAAATGGAGAGCCTTATTTTATTGTCTGTGTTCTGTTGTTTAGGCCCTTACGTCTACTGCTCTGAAGAAAGGAGGAGTTCATGCTGCTGATATTGCCACCCAATACAAGTACAAGAATGCTTTGTTCGATGTCAAAATTGACACTGATTCTAGTGTAAGTTTTGTTGTAGAGATCTACTATACACTTTGTCATATAATGTTAAGCCTGTTTGTATGTTTTTGCTTGGCAGGTTTTGACAACAGTCACACTCACCGAGATCCTCCCATCAACAAAAGCCATTGCCTCCTTCAAAGTCCCTGATTACAATTCCGCCAAGGTTTATACTCCTTTTCTATGAAATCACTGGTCTTTTACTTCTCAGTCGTTTGTAAATTAATCCAACAACTTTTGAATTCCATTAACAGCTCGAGGTGCAATACTTCCACGACCACGCAACAGTTACCGCTGCTGCAGCTTTGAAACAAAACCCGCTAATTGACATAACAGCTACTCTTGGTTCGCCAGTCATCTCATTTGGTGCTGAAGCTGGATATGACACAACCTCCAAAACTTTCACCAAGTACAATGCCGGGATCAGTGTGACAAAACCAGACGCTTGCCTTTCCATAATATTGTAAGAACCCAAATTTCAAAATAAAGCAATCACTAGCTCTAGCTGTGTCCTTGTGTGGGTCTGATCTGAGTCTTTTTTTCCCCAGGGGAGACAAAGGAGATTCACTCAAAGCATCTTACCTACATCACTTTGATGAATTTAAGAGAACCGCAGCAGTTGGTGAGGTTTACAGGAAATTCTCGACAAATGAAAACACGATAACGGTTGGTGGATTGTATGCGATTGATCATTCGACTTCAGTGAAAGCTAAGCTGAACAACCATGGCACACTTGGTGCTCTTCTCCAGCACGAGGTCCTGCCCAGATCACTAGTGACTGTTTCCAGTGAGATTGACACCAAGGCTTTAGAAAAGCATCCAAGGTTTGGTCTCTCTCTTGCTCTCAAACCTTGAGAACATACACACACTCACATCAGACCTGCTTGACCCGAGAGTTTGCGTTTTTTTTTCCCTTTTTTTCTTCACGTTTAGTTGGAATCAATAAATAGTTCCGCAGTGAAATTGACGGATAATTCTTTTTTGGATATGTTCTGGTTTTTTGACATTTCTTTTTTGATTTAAGCACTATTCTTGAATACACTCAGTGATTTTTTAAATCTGTTTAATCTACTTAACATTTTTGAAGTACAAATTTGCTCCTCTAATCGGGTCGGGTTTTTTTCTAGATTTTGACCCGGAAATCTTCAATCGGATCTTTCCTTAAATTATGCCAAAATTTAAAAACGAAAATACCTAATAAAATCTAAATTATATATATTTTTTCAACTAATTACTATATCTAAACTATTTATTTATGGTATATTCTTCACAATTTTTATAGATTAGGAAATCAAATATGATAATTTAATGATAATATAACAAATTTGAGCTAATTTCCTAAAACCTCTCTACCTAATTTAAACACAAATATATGATTCTCATTTCACTTTTATTTGATCTTATATTTATATTATTTTGAATTATTATAATATATATAGTTAATAAATTTTAGTTTTTTTTTTCTGCATATATTATGAATCAAATTTTTTAAAACAGACATATATTACTCAATCGATAAAGAAAAAAAGTATGTATGTAATCTATATTAACATTTTTTAAGAACAAATTGCACATTTAATCAGGTCGTTTTTTTTTATTCTGACCCGAAATTGAGTCATTCAGATCTTTTCTTAATATTCTATACCACGGGTGAGATTCTTTTTTTTTTTTGTAAGCCCACGGGTGAGATCCTAAAATTAACAAATCAAAATACAATTATTTAGTATTTTAAGATACAATTATAAATTGTTTTTACGGGTTGGTCCAAAAACACATACTAATTTAAAAAAATATATATTATGGAAACTATTTGAAAGTAAACTTTTAAATTGACTCGAATTATATATCTTTTAAATAAAAGTGTTATTAAAAAAAATAACAAAATGATGTTTAATTCCACAGGACATGAGTATATGGTGGGACGAGTTTGGGTCGATATTAATACGGGACAATATACCACGGATGAAATCGTAGAATTAACAAATCAAAATTTAATTATACAATCTTAAATAGTAAACAAAACAAATACAACTTAAAATTTTTATTTTTTATATACAACGCATGTCACCCGCGATGTACAACAAAAAAATATCATACACAACAAATTCATCAGTTTATAAAAAAATAAAAATAAAAATCAAATAATTAACCCGCGGTACACCGCGGGTCATATCCTAGCTTGTTTTATTTTTACAATCCATTTTAAAGAAAAACAAAGAACAAAGAATCAAATAAATAAGCTGATGTATGATGTAAATCTTTCATACACTAGCAAATATTAAATTATATGTAATCTAAATAGTTCCTCGTATTAGACAGATAATGGGGTTCGCATAATCTTGGAACAATGATCGTTTTAAAGAGGATACAAATTACCCTTTGACAGTGAGCCAGTTTGGTAAGTTGGTCAGCTTCTTGATTGAAGCATCGAGGTACATTTGCAAAGGAGATTACCCCAATATCGTTGAACCCAACTTCTAAAGTCCCCAATAAGATTTCACATGTTACCATTTTTTTGTCCGATTATGTAGAGCTTTACAATCACTCTTTATACCCATCTATATCCCCGACACCGAGAAGATCGCATACAACGATTGATTGAAATGAATAGTGAATTCTCAATAACAATTTAAATCCCAGTCCAATTCTTCAACCATCCAATTTCAATAGCTAGAAATATAAAAGCATAAATGATGGTGCATTGATACCAAAACCACAAAATTCAACTTCGAATTCTGAATCATATCATCATCCTTGAAATCAAAATTTCATATAAACTCAAATAAAAAATAGATAACTAGAAAGAAAAAAAAAAAAACATTGGTTAATCTCAATCAACGTTCTCCATAACATCTGCCGCTGAAAACTTGGTTCCCTTCTCCTTACCCGCGGCGGCGCGTCCATTAGCCTTACGCTCCAAAAGCGATTTCCTATCCTTATCGAGACGGAGCTTAGTGATCATCACATTCGAAGCATTGATTCCGACGTTGACCGTCGTTCCGTTGACTTTCTCCCTTGTGATTCTCTCGATGTGAATCACCCACTTGCGACGATACACTTGCATCACCTTCCCTTCTCTTCCCTTGAACGTCCCACGAACAACTTGCACTTCGTCGTCTTTACGAATCGGCATGGATCTGACGTTGTACTTGTGACGGAGATCTTTGGATAACGGCGAGCTCATGAGAACGCGCCTCACGCTTGAAGGAGCTGTGAAGTGAGCCTTCCTGTTCTTCCGGCGAGAAGAGGTCACACGCGGATTGTACTTCATCGCCGCCGAATTTGTGAAAAAATGAAGGAATTAGGGTTTTTGTGTGGCTGAAGAGGTGCAGCGATGAGTGAATGAGTTTATATGAGATATTGAATGTTACTTAAACGCCGCCGGTTTGTCTCAGAAGTGAGTATTAGGGTTTTGAAGGTTTCTGGGTCTGATGGGCTTTGAGAAGTTTTATATGGGCTTTCATTCAAATGGCCCAATCTAACCTACATTCCGCGGGGTCTATCAGAGCAATTGTGATTTGTGGGCTTATTAGAAAACATAAGTTCAGTGTTGTACACTTGTACTCAATTCTAAAACCAATTACCAAAAGCATTAAAGAATTTGTATCTCTTTTTTTTTTTATGTATTCTTTTCAAAACAATGTGTTGGGTTCTTGAGAAGATGTTTATATTATAAAATAAAGTTGAATGAAATGGTAATGGTTAGTGGCTAGTTAAGTTTTCGAGATAAGGAAATCATCAAATCATAAAAGATCCATTTAAGTTTTAAATAAATACACACACATATAACTAAAACACTTATTTAATACTAGTATCATTCGATAAGGTTTATCTCTAACTAATAAAACAAAACATGCCAAATCAAATATTGAGAATCTCACTAAACAAAGGATTAGGTGATCTTACAAGTTACAAAAGCCAATGATGCCGTCACGCTCATTAAACTAGGGTCCATTCGTGGCTAACCACTCGGCTTCCACAAGACAAAATAAACAACATTTTTTTGTTGTTGTTATAAACTTATATAAACGACTTAAAATATAAATTTAAGATCGTTAAAAAATTTTGTCCAAAAAAAAAAAAAAGATCGTTAAAAAACAAAACTGTACAATTGTTTTTTGATTCAGAGTCCACCGTTGAGCGTGTTCAATTAAATCGTTGAATCTCGCGGTGCCATTCAACGTTGCTTCTTTCGAATCTTTCTTTACTTGTTTTGAGATATGGCTATTGCCGCGGTGGCGAGATGTGTTGGAAGGTGCTATGTTTCGCCGGCGTTCGGAGAATCCGAACCCTTCCGGTTATCGGAGCGGCGGTTTCTGAAATTTTCTAGCTCCACGAATTCGGATCCCGCCGGTAGTAGAAGTTTGATATTTGGCGGGAAAAGTCACCGGAGACTTAGCTTCTTCCGTCCGATCATGGCTACAGATGAATCGATTTCATCGCGGTCCTCTGATTGCGTCGGTAAGTATCTCATAATTCCGATTTTGTTCAATCCACTCGTCTCTCTCTGTTACAGAATCTTCCTGAGACCTGGGCTCTTTACATTGTTAATCCAATTGTTGAAGAATTCTTCAGATTTTCTGCAACAATACCAGAAATTTCCATAGTTTTAGCATAAAGTTTGGATCTTATTAATGATGAGTAATCATCAAATACGTATATCTGAATGGAACTGATTAGGTGAAACAAAGCAAATCAACGGAAAGCAAAAGAACATTGTCTGGCATGATTGTCCCGTTACTAAATCCGACAGGCAAGAATTGATTAAGCAAAAGGGATGTGTCATCTGGATTACTGGCTTAAGTGGTTCAGGTTTGGTTCTTACTTCTTACTCTGATTGATCTATTACTACAACTTGTGAGGTTTCTTTTGGATTCTTTCAAAAATCCTTTTTAAAATTTCAGGGAAAAGTAGTCTGGCATGTGCTCTTAGTCGAGCTTTGCACAATCGAGGAAAGCTTTCGTATATACTTGATGGTGACAATGTTCGACATGGTTTAAACAGCGATCTTAGTTTCGAAGCAGAAGATCGAGCTGAAAATATTAGAAGAGTTGGTGAAGTGGCTAAACTGTTTGCAGATGCTGGTATAATCTGTATTGCTAGTTTGATATCTCCTTACCGGAGAGAACGAGCTGCTTGCCGTGCATTGCTACCCGAAGGAGATTTCATTGAGGTTTCTCGAAACTCATGAATGTGAATCCAGTGTCAACACCAAAATTTAAACGAATGTACTGAAGTCTCTTTCTCTCTTGGTTCTCCTGTTAGGTATTTATGGATGTGCCACTCCATGTTTGTGAAGCTAGAGATCCAAAGGGCTTATACAAACGTGCACGTGCTGGGAAAATCAAAGGTAACTTTGCTTTTTCTCTGCATATGTTTTAAACTTAACCTGGTTTCTGTTAGTTTTCTTTCTTTAATCATGAGTTATAACCTTCAAAATTGTTCCCCAAAACATTTCTTCCCCAGGTTTTACAGGAGTAGATGATCCATATGAACCGCCTTTGGATTGCGAGGTTGGTATATATCCAATTTTTTGTTATAGACAGTTGGTATATAGTTCATCCTCAAACTTGAATGTATTGTTGTGTTTCCGACTACTCATTTGCAGATGGTGATACAAAACAACAGAGACGAGGGTCTTTCTTCGTCATCTTCATCTTCTTCTCTGTGTGAAATGGCAGAGATTGTTGTATCGTACTTGGACCAAAATGGATACCTCAAGACGCCTTAGAAACACTCCACAAAATCACATAATTGTATACTTCCCTTGTGATAGGCTCTCATGTATTGTATGTGATATCAAAATCATTGTCGTAACGTTTCTTAAACCTATTTTTACCTAAATTGTGAAAACATAAATGTATCACAATCTGTAAAGAGTTGGTAGGAAAAACTTGTTTGATTGATTTAAGAGAATGAGATTATATGGCCGCGAAGTTGGCGCGAACTCGCTGACTTGGGCCTAAAACATTTTCGGCCCATTTTGAACAAAAGAGGCCTTTTATATCCGGGTCGGATTCTATTTGGGCCGGATCGAGTTTAACGGCGGCGACTGGTACAAAATACGCGGTGGCGAAGGCGGAAGTCTCAGATCTCAAATTACTTCGAAAATCATAACGGGTAGGGAGGGTTTCAGGGTACTAAAACCGAACTTGAAATCTATCAGCTCGTGTTATTTCGATTCGAATTTGGATTCATTCGAGTTTAAGTTTGGAGAAAATCAAAGTCGAAGAAGTAAACAATGGGGAAGAAACAACACAGCAAAGATCGGATGTTCATAACGAAGACGGAGTGGGCAACAGAATGGGGAGGCGCTAAATCCAAAGAGAATCGTACTCCTTTCAAGAGTCTTCCTTACTATTGCTGCGCGTATGTTCCTTCCACAATTCACTACTTACAAATTTGATTTCGTTTGCAATTTGGATTCAATCCCTCCTAATTACAATCGATTGTCTCTAATTCAGGCTTACGTTTTTGCCATTCGAAGATCCTGTGTGTACAATCGACGGGAGTGTTTTCGAGATAACGTGAGTGTAGTTTCATTGTGATTTATCTCTTACTAAGCTTTTTTTACTTAAGCATTAGAGCTTACTTTTTTTAATTGATTTTGGGAATTTGGTATTTGAATTGCAGAACTATAGTGCCTTACATAAGGAAATTTGGGAAGCATCCAGTTACAGGAGCTCCATTGAAAGGAGAAGATCTAATTCCTCTCATCTTTCACAAGAACTCTGAAGGTTTCTTCTTTCTTCTCTCTCTCTCTTTACCTATTTATATGATTCGTTGTGATTCTCATCCTTGATATGTGGCTGCCATTGTAGGAGAGTATCACTGTCCTGTTCTGAACAAAGTCTTCACTGAGTTTACACATATTGTTGCTGTCAAGACTACCGGAAATGTGTTCTGCTACGAGGTTTGTGATTTTCTTTTGGTGGTTTTTTTTGGAGTCATCTTGATTGCTTTTATTTTGGTTTCGGTGATTCTTATTGTTGATGTAAAAATTTAGGCAATCAAAGAGTTAAATATCAAAACCAAGAATTGGAAGGAGCTTTTAACTGAAGAACCATTCACAAGAGCCGACCTTATAACAATTCAGGTAACTAACCTCTTTCTCTCTGCTTTAAGCTTTTTTTTGTAATGGGTTACTGCGTTTAAGCATTTTTTGGTAATGTTTTGCAGAATCCTAATGCAGTTGACAGTAAAGTGACGGTGGAGTTTGATCATGTCAAAAACGGCCTTAAGATCGATGATGAAGGTTAGATTTCAGTTTTATATTCGACTAAGCAATTTATCATAATACGTGTTTTGTTTAGGTTGGTTACGACTCCATAATCTTGTGTTTTCTTGCAGAGTTGAAAAAGATGAACTCAGACCCAGCTTATAATATAAACGTGTCTGGAGATATCAAGCAGATGCTTGCGGATCTTGGAACTGAAAAAGCTAAAGAGATTGCTTTACATGGTGGAGGTGGAAACAAGGCACGTAATGAAAGAGCCGCTGCTATTGCTGCCATTCTAGAGTCAAGATCGAAAATCAAAGAGGATTCTAAAGCTGAACAACCGAAGCAGACCTACAGTGTTGTGGATGCTGCATCTGCTTCCGTCTTTGGAAGAAGTGCTGATGCAGCTAAAGCTGGTTCTAGTGATAAAACAGCTGCAAGAATAGCTATGCATATGGCTGGAGATAGAGCACCTGTTAATTCTAAAATGGTTAGTTTCTTGTACGTAATAAACTCGGTTTAGAGCTTTGTGTGTTGTTGTTAAAAAGTTTGTTGTTCTTGTTGCAGGTGAAGAGCCGTTATTCTTCGGGTGCTGCTTCTCGATCTTTCACTTCCACTGCATTTACTCCTGTAACCGAAAACGATTTTGAACTAATTAAAGTCGAGAAAAACCCGAAAAAGAAAGGGTATGTTCAGTTTCAGACAACACATGGTGATTTGAACATAGAGCTCCATTGCGATATAGCTCCTAGAGCATGTGAGAATTTCATCACTCTCTGTGAACGTGGTTACTACAATGGAGTGCCCTTTCACAGAAGCATCAGGTATATATATGCCTTGGAAATCTGTTTTGTTTTAAGAGTTTTTATGGGGTTGTTATCAATATAAACATGATCTTTTGACCTTTCTTCTACAAAGGAACTTCATGATTCAAGGTGGCGATCCAACTGGGACAGGAAAAGGAGGTGAATCCATCTGGGGGAAGCCATTCAAAGACGAGCCGAACTCGAAGCTACTTCACTCGGGAAGAGGCGTAGTTAGTATGGCTAATAGTGGTCCTCACACAAATGGTTCTCAGTTTTTCATCTTATACAAATCTGCAACCCATTTAAACTACAAGCACACAGTGTTTGGTGGAGTTGTTGGAGGTTTGGCAACACTAGCAGCAATGGAGAATGTACCTGTAGATGAAAGCGACCGTCCTCTGGTAAGTACCAAAAACTCAACTCGCTGTGTTCTTGAGTAGTTTCAGTCTCCTGAGGGTATTTTTTAATTTCTGCAGGAAGAGATTAAGATAATCGAGGCAAATGTGTTTGTGAATCCATACACGGAGCCTGATGAAGAGGAAGAAAAAGAGAAAGCTGAGAAAGAGAGGAATGAAGACAAAGACATTGTTAGTATCATCCCTTCCACCAAATATGATCTCTCTTTGTTCTCTTACTTTGGATTGGTCTGATAAGATTATATTATTACTTTGTGATGTATCAGGAGAAGGTCGGGTCGTGGTACAGCAACCCGGGATCAGGAACAGCTGAAGGTGGAGCCGGTGGCGGTGGTGTCGGAAAATACTTGAAAGCCAAGAGTAGTACAGCCACTAAAGACACTAATGGTTCCCTAGACTCTGATATTTCAACCATTGGAGTGCCTAAGAAAAGAAAAACTACTGCATCGGCCTCCACAGGGTTTAAAGATTTCTCTAGCTGGTAATAGAAAACTTCCTCTACCTACTTTGTAAAACTGTTGACTAGTTTTGATAGAGCCCAAGTCACAAAAGCATTTGTATGCCAACATTGAACCTTTGATGTCCAAAAGCTGGAGCTGTGTAATAAAGCATCTTCAGTAAAAGATTTATTATAAAGTATAATCCTTACAATGGTGTGTATGAATGCCTAATCTACAAAACAAATCAACAACAATGATAAGCACAGAGGGATCGGTAAGAACATATTCGGTTATTCGTATGTCTTTTAAGGCAGCCGCCATTTACTGTGCCAGTAGATAGACACTCTCGACCACAATGGGAACCCGAAACTGAACTCCAAAGGCTGATCAGCAGGTCCACCTATAACTAACGGTAACCACACGTATCTGGAATCTCGCAAATCAGCCGGGTTCCACCTATCTGCCATGAATATAAACGTACCGGGAACACCCGGTAATGGAATCACATAAGTGCTCTGTGCAAAGAATGTTGTTAACCGGAAAACATTGTTACCACCGATACACGGATTCCCCAATTTCTCCCATGGACCCATTATAGATTCAGCCGCATGAGCCAAGGCTTCATTTGGTGCCCAACCAGTGCACCAGGAAGTGACCATGTAATAAATATTCTGATACTTGAAGATAGCTGGAGCTTCCCTGTGTTGTCCCACCATAACTCTCTTCATAACCGGTGTCACATCGAGGTAATCTTCCGTTAAAGGTCCAATATGAAGCACACTGTTGACTTCAGACGAATATATCAGGTAAGCAACACCATCGTCGTCTTTGAAGACAGTCATGTCCCGACTATCGAACCCATGTGGACGTTTACTGTATAGATACTCGAAAGGACCTGTCGGGTTATTGCTAATGGCTACACCAACTGAAGCTTTAGTGTAGTTTGCATCGTCGATATGCATCCACATCACATACTTCTCTGTCTTTTCATTGTAGATCACTTTGGGTCGCTCAAGAACATTGGATTTATGCAAATCATGGGTCTTGTTTGTTTCTTCAGCTCCGAGTACAATGCCTTCATTTTTCCATGTCCATAAGTCCTTTGAAGAGTAACAACCAACCCCTATTATATCAACCTGAAGACACAACAAGATCGAAAATTTACCCCAAAATACCGACAAGGGAAATGCTAATAGACTAAATCTGAGGACATGTGAAATATAGTGATACTTACTCTAGCTGGTCCTTTCTTGTGAGCATGGTAAGTCGGTCCATCTTTATATTCTCCATACCAATAGTACGTGTTAGATTTCTCGTCAAGCAGAATCCCTCCGCCATGTGCTTGAATTGGATTCCCTTCTGTGTCCATCCAAATTTTCCCGGGGAAGTAATACGATGTCTCGTTTCCCATATCCTTGGTGGGACCAAAAGCAGCAGTTTTCATACCGGGAAAGAAAACATGCCGAATTGGTGACTTCTCATCAAGAAACTCTTCAACCATAGGGATCGGTTTTCTCGATCTCCGTTTAGTAGTACGAGGAGAACGCTTCCTAGGTGGGGGCATTCTCAGGATCTCTTCTTCAACTCTTACAAGTTCACGAACAACAGGATGCTGATGATGTACTAATTGTAACTGATCAGAAGAAACTTGTTGTTGATGAATGTTATCTTTTCTGCTATACAGCGAGATAAGATGAGCCACCAGGAATAAACCGACGACGGTCCAAACAATAGTAAGGAATGAATATCTGCAACCTCCTGCATCATTGCAATGCAAAGATGTTGGTTTCTTATTGTATTTGTTGTTGTTCTTCATTATCCTCATTCTTTCTTTTATGTCTTCTAAAACACTGTAAATATACAAAACCCAACAACTTCTGTAGATCCAAAACATAACTCTAGTGCAACAAAATTAAGTCTTAGATTAAAAAACACTAAATCAGTAAATTAGTCAAATCTAACTCCAGATGAGCTCAATTATAGATATCAGATCCAAATTAGCAGAAGCTTAACCCTAAGAATACGAAGCAGAACACAACTAAGCTCTATAAAATCAGAGAGACGAAGTCATCGGAAAACTTTACCTGAAAATCCTCGGAGACTGGCAGAAGCCGAATATCCCGACATGTATATAATCTCAGAAATTATCAACTCTCTTAGCTTTCTCCGAAGCAAACACCAAATCGGAAACACTTTTGTGTTCTGTCAGATGCGAAGCTTGGTCTGGAAACTGAATCGAGAAATCCAAAGCTAGATTCTTTTTCTTTTTTGGGAGATTCAGAAAAGAGTAAATAGAAGTCTAGTTGAAATGGATCTATCAAAGGTCTATTGATGATTCAGACTTGCGAACGAAGACGAGACTGATGACGATTCTAGTCTTCTTCTTCTTCTTCTTCCTCTGATTCAGCTCTGATTATATTTATTTTTTTCTGCTTTCTCGGGGAGTTTTCCCCGTTGTATTTATATTATTTAAAAATAAGTAGTGATTGAATGGTGATGATTATTAATTAGTGCAATAATGTATATTCTCAATGTTTACAAGTTTTAAACTACTTATAAACATTTAAGGATGAGTTCCAGTTTTTTCTTTCTCAACAAATTCCAATTGATTCTCTTAATTTAATAGTGATTAACATTTAATAATGGGTGTTAGTTTGTTATCTACTCAAAGTTATGTACATGCACATGATATGTGACTTCTTAAGTGGTTGATCAATTCTTTTTCCACCTTTCTTTTTAGGTTCATCTATTATTCAAATAAAACTTAACTTCAATGGATATAAATGATAAAAATAGATGGTGAATGGTATTATTGAATGTAGACAAATACTTGTTGCGTCACACTTATTACAAATGTTTGATACAATGTCATATTTACACTTCTTATACACTCTATATATCTTTCAATGATAATTTTTTTAAAAATGTAAATACCAAAAAAAATCAAGTATAATAGTGTAAAATATATGCACACTAACCACTATATATTCACTTGTCGTATTTCTGCAGAAGAAGTTGGATGAATCGAAAACCAAGCAAAACTCTTTCCTTTCTCCTGCAAAGCTTTGGCGAGGAAGAGCAAAACTAGAACCACCATGATAAGAGACAGGGCAAGGATCGATGCCCAAAGGCCATACATCGAAGCCCTAAAGGGTTCACATTGGTTAGAGACGATGCTCGATAACGTGTCTTTCACGGCAAGGCATTCTGTTAGGTTTTGAAGAGAAGGCAAGATGTCTAGCATGCCTTGTGCTGAGTTGCTGTAAGCATATACCTTTAGGTAAGCTGCTTCCGGGATGAATTTCCCGGTGATTCTGCAAGTTTCCGGGGGATCTTTGTCGTGGCATGTGAATCTCGAAAGAATCTAACAACATAAAAAGGGCCTTTTTGTAAGAATAATTTCTGTTCTTACGATCAATATACATAGAGATTAATGGTTTTAACTTGGATTGGGACTTGGGAGCTAAGAAGTATAGTTTAGAAGACTTACATTTGGGAATTCGCCGATTGGAATGGCGCCATTGGAGCAGCTTTGTGGTTTGTAACTGTTAATTTGTTGTCCGCCAAACGGATCGCATATGATTCCAGATTCAGGAGCCCACGAGACAGTATTGCTCCGATCAGCCAACGCATTAGAACGCATTGACTCTGCTACTTTTGAGTTTAACTGAGAACAAGAAACAGAGGATTTAGATTTTACCACAAGCCAGAGTTCATGAAGTTATGAATCATTAATACCTCGGTGATGAAGTTATGAATCATCAAGCTTATCTCGATTAGGGTTTTATCAGAATGAAGAGGATCCATACATGGGAAAAGATTAGTCAGTGTGCTGTTTTGTGGGTTTTGTACGAAACCATTGAAAGCTGAACAAAGGTCCTCTGCGAAGCTGCGTGAGTGGAAAATTGAGGAGTTAGGGTTTAGAAACTTGTGGATGATTTTGATTTTAGGGCTTGATACTTACGTGTGAATAAAGAAATCGAATCCAGTTAGAACCCAACAAAGAGTTGTTATGATCCAACACAAGAATATCACCCTTTGTAAGAACAAGGAAAAATGAAGATGAAGAAGTTAATCTTTGAAGTTCAAAAACCAAACTTAACAAGAACAATGTTTGGATCGATTTTGGATTTGCTTACATGAAGAATCCAGGGTGCCAGTGAAGCAATAGAGGTACTGAGACAAAGACAAAGACAAAAAGGGTCCATTAAAATTAGTCCAAGATCATCACATTTTCACAAATTACGTGATTGTTAAATGATCTCACCAAAGGCTAGAAGCAGAAGGAACAAGTTGGTCGATGCAATCATAAGATGAGAGACATACCTGAGACAAACAAAAAAAAAAAAAACAGAGCAAAACAATCAGACGATTCAAAAACAAAAACAAAAAAACAAGAGTTGTTTTTAGATCGTACGAGATTTTGATGGCTAGATCAATGGAACGACCGTTATGGTGAAGGAAGGATTGAATAAGGCGAGATCCTTTTCCGAGTCGATGAGTAGTGACATTGAGAAGATGAGTCGTATTCTGATCGTATGGAAGCAACAAGTACTGTATCTTCGTTAACGACACTATCACTGTACGGATATTATGATCAACATCTTCTCCTGCTTTGTCTATGGTTTCTTTCATCTCCTCTGTTTTGTTCTTCGACTTCTGGTTCGCTGCTATCACTATCCCTGTCGTTGCCCTGTTTTATAAACCCAACGTAATGATATTTTGTTATTTCCATAAAAAAAACACTAACATTTTGAATTTATAAGCTTACATGGAGAGAAACATGAAGAGGAGGAGAAGTAAGAACAGAGGAAGATAATAACGGTCGAGATAACGGTGGCGCCATGAAGAAACGCGTCTCCTTTTCTTGGAGAAAGCTACGTACAGTCCCAAACATACACCAGCAATAATCAAGACTCCAGCGACGGCGTAACCGTGGATTCCCGTAAATGCAGTAGCCTGAGATTCCGTTAACACTTAGTTACCACATTAACGTTATAATATCACAAAACTAAAAGAAGAAGAGAGACTCACTGCCCAATAATGTTTGTTTCGAACATCAAAACCTCCGTCGTAATATCTAAAGCTGTTGAGAGGATCGCATCTTTTAAACCTCTCATGATCTCCACCGTCTGATAAACTTGAAACCGCCAACAACGGAGAGATCACAGCCGTTAAAAGGAGCTGAGACAGAACTCCGGTTATTCTTGATGTTGTCATGTTGAAGAAGTTGATGATCGAAAATCATGTTCCTTGTTTATTGTCCTCTTTTGGGGGATTCTTTGGATAAAAAATGGAGATTTGTGAAGAGTATAATTATTTAAATAATTGCCTTTCTTCTTCGAGTGTTTGGCTTACTTACTAAGGTAAGGATAGCTTGTGGCTACATTGTTCTTAAAAAGATTGTTTTTTTTTTTAAATCTCTTTTTTGTTAAATAGAAGAAAGGAGAGTGATTAGAGTAACGTATCTTGAGCCGTTTTCTCTGGATTTTTATTTGACTCAGCTCTTCTTTTTTTGGGGTTTACCTTTTTTTCTTCCAAAAAAGGTTAAAAGAAGTGGGAAAAGATCAAAGTATATTAAACGATTCTTCTTGCAAAATCATTTTGGTGGCTTGTTTGGCTTCAAGTTTAAGACTATCATCAATTAGGCGTAGTTTCAAACCCGCTAAAAGAGAAAGAGGGTTTTATTTTGTTTAGGTTCACTCGTTCACAAAGTCCCACATCGCTAACAAAAGAAGCGTGAAAGAAAAGAGGAGTAGTATAAAAGACGAGGCCATGGGTCTCAACAATTCATACCTTTCTCGGCCTTTTGGCTAAGATCAAGTGTAGTATCTGTTCTTATCAGTTTAATATCTGATATGTGGGCCATCGGCCCACACGATATTAACTCTATTTTTTAAGGGAGAAAGCCCATTAAGATAGCTTGCTATCTGGGCTTTCGCGAGTCGCCCATGCGTTGCACTATTGCACGGGCCTGGCTCAACCCGCCAATTATTCAGTCGAAAGAAATTAATAAATTTAGTGAGATAAAATTGGAAAGCTATGTAAAAATTCACAATGGCCATATTATGAACGCGGGTTATTCATTTATGGCCCATTACAATTGGGCTTAAGAAGCCTATGATGAAACCAATCCAACGGTGCGTAGAAGTACAGCTTCCAATATTGGTCCGTGGTAATCACGCGGCCTCCTTAACGCGAATGGTTCTAATAACACATTCTTTGGTTTTTTTTCTTATCAATTTAAAATTCTTCTTCCGAACTTCTCTCTGTCCCATCGAATCTTTCTTCTGATTGGCTAGTTGTTTATTAATAATTACTACAATTCGATACAAAGCTCCATGATTTTCGCTCTGTCACACACAGCTTCAGTTTCCCTACAAAACGAATTCTAAATTAGATCTAGACCGTTAATCTTAGAACCCACATAAACGTTGACGGTTCAGATTTACTGACTTTTTGTAACTTTAATTCGCCGGCTCTCTTGCCGTGTTTTCGATTTTGACATAAACACAAAAAAAAATCTTCAATGAGATAATAATATCAGCAGCGGAAGAAGGATTGAAAAAAGGAAGCTTTCCCTTTTTTAAGCCCATTAGAGATCCGTGGAGGAGAATTTCTAGCAGAACACCGATCTGTCTGTTGTCTCTGTTTCTACGAATCTCTGTCTTTGTCGGAAACTTGAGTTCTCTGAAATCATAAATCATGGGTTTGTGGGATGCTCTTCTCAATTGGCTTCGTAGGTCAGTTTTTACATCTTCTACTTCAAATTTCTTGTCTTTGGTTCGTTGGATTTTGATTTGGATTGTTTCTCTTGGTACTTTTGAGTTCAATGACAGGAAAAAATCGAACTATTTCCGCCGAATTTTAATTCTGATTTGTAATGTTTACAATAAAATTAGGGCTTTTAGCTAATTTATTTCCTGATGCAATGAGGCATATACATCAATCTCTCTCTTTTTTCAGCTATTGATGTGATCATCAAATCCACCTTTTAGTTTTGATTATCAAGTTTTAAGTTTAGACAATACAATTGTGAAATTCCAGCTTGGATCTAGAGATTGTTAATCAGTAGATGAATATTGCTGCACAAAATATAATCTATATGGAACTAGTTGTGAGAGCAAGAACTATTGCTTGTGATATGCATAGTCTCACAATGCCTTATTGCAGCCTCTTCTTCAAGCAAGAAATGGAGCTTTCATTGATAGGACTTCAAAATGCAGGAAAGACATCACTTGTTAACGTTGTTGCAGTAAGTTACTATGCTTCCCCACTTACCGTTACCTCTTTTTTGCTCTTAATTACTCGTTAATGGCTTCCTTTTACCTTTCCTTTTACAGACCGGTGGATACAGTGAAGACATGATCCCTACGGTGTGTTATATTACTTCTTATGATGTTTACTTTTAGGTAGCTTGATTTTGGACTAATCGTAAAAAGGACTTTTACTCTTTCTTAGGTCGGATTCAACATGAGGAAAGTGACAAAAGGAAGTGTCACAATCAAACTTTGGGATCTTGGTGGTCAACCTAGGTTCCGCAGCATGTGGGAACGTTACTGCCGTTCTGTTTCCGCGATTGTGTAAAGATCTATTGAAACTATTTTTCTTACTATCTTTAATGTTTTAGCTTTAGGTTTAAGATGATTAAAACTCTCTGACTCTGGCCACAATGCTGATTCTGATTTCAGGTATGTAGTTGATGCTGCTGATCCTGACAACCTCAGTGTCTCGAAGAGCGAACTCCATGATTTGTTGAGCAAGACGTCCCTTAGTGGTATCCCTCTTCTAGTCCTTGGCAACAAAATCGACAAGCCTGGAGCTTTGTCCAAAGAAGCTTTAACTGAGGAAATGTAAGCCTTAAACCGAAAACACGACAAAAGACTTGGCACTTTTTACTTTGATTCTGATAATGTTTTTTTCCATTGTTTGCAACAGGGGACTCAAGTCACTTACAGATAGAGAAGTCTGTTGCTTCATGATATCTTGCAAGAACTCCACTAACATCGATCAAGTCATTGATTGGCTTGTAAAGCACTCCAAATCATCGAGCTAAACTTTGCACCAAACGAACAGAAGTCAACTCTCTGCAGTTCTTGATCTTTCTCAGTCTTCTTGTGTTTGTGGTCCTTTGATGATGATGATGATGGTGATGGTGATGGTGATGGTGATGGTGATGGTGATGGTGGAAGAAGACACAGCTTTCTCTTTTATCCTGTGAAAAACAAGATTTGTCTATGTTTTCTATCTGATTCTTTATCGTCTTTCTCCTTGGTATGTTGCTGTGTTCTCTGTATATTAGATTTGATTGGTTTCCCTCTTCTTACAGCCATGAGATCACTTCCTTCGGGGTCAGCTTTTTCAATTTTACCAGTTCATTGCATGATTCGAAAGAACAAAAACATATGTGGCCTGTTTCATAATTTGGAAAAACTTGAGGCCAAAAACGGATATTTTTTTGAAAAAAGCAACAAGATAAAACTAATGACTCACTTAGCTTGCACTATCCTCTCGCAACAATGGACGCTTCAGTTGCAGATCATCTTGCTTAAGATGGGTGGTTCGATGCAGCAGTTAAAGGGACTCAGAGCTCAAGCTTTGTTGTTGCTTGTATAGGCTCAGAAACTATGTGCTCCTGTTTTCTTGTTGTGATCTCAGAACCAGGCGGCTTCTCTCTCGACACACACAGCAGCATTGGTAGGTTTATGTCAACGTGTGTTGTATCAGTCAAGTCCTCAGAATCTGGCTTCTGCTCCACAAAACAACATTGCCTGTAGCAACCACCACCACAAGTTAGGAACAGACACTATTTTGTATACAAACAAACCATTTTAGAATAAAATTTGCAAACAAATAATATCGACAAAAACATCTCTTTATTGGAGTTGATATTCTTCACCTTATTAAACTGATCATCATTCATGTTATATACGTTATATCATATGTAAATTTTGAGAGCAAAAAAAAGGTTAATTCTTTGTAGACGTTATACCAAAAAAGGAAAAAGTCATCGAGAAAAAGTCATCGAGAAAAAGGAAACAACCAAAACAAAATTTTCTTTTTGGTTAGATTGAGATCAGTAAATGGAAATCGGATCTAATTTAGATTTCCTATAAAATTCCAACGGTTAGATTAATAAAAAGTATGTAAGTAATCCCCAACGGTTAGATTAATAAGCAATGGTTCTAGGTTTATTTCCTTTTTTCTTAAAGAGTATTATCATTGCTTATAAATACACACACTATCACGCATTCTCTTCTTCTTCATTCTTGAGAAATCAAAATTCTCTCTTTATTCGCCTTCTTCTTCTTTTTTCTTCGAGAGAGAAACGAAAACCAAAAAACAATATCTATCAATCATCATTCTCATCTATTTCTCTTTTTAATAACTAATCGCCGATGATGATCCATGTATGACTCAACATTGAAGTAAGCCCGTGGCGTGAATTCGAGTTCATCATTGAAGAATGATCTCCCCCATCGTCTCCAATCGAGAATTGATTCCAGTTGCGTTCGGGTCGCATACTAATTTGAGTTTAGAATCTGAAGATGAAAATCAATCAATCGATCACCTGACGACGCTAATGTCGACGCCAACACTCTGATGAACAACAACAGCTGAGAGCAATCGATCCCACAAGTAACGGAGGAAGCCCATGTTAGGTTCTTCGCATGACAATCAATAAAATTCCAAACCGCCAAAGAAAAATCCCAAGTGAGAGGATCAACAATTAAAGAAAAGAAATTCTCAGTGTTTCATCGATGTCATGTCACAAAGAATCATCGTCTAAAAGTGAATCTCGCAAGTGGTGGATGATGTCACGGGAGAGCTACCAAGAATGATGGGCTCAGACTTTGGAATGGGCTTTTTTCTATGGGGCCTTCTATGCTACCAAATCCAACAAGGTATTAATTTCTTCACTCTTATTTTTATTTTTGTTTCCTTTTATTTTTCTTTAAGATTAGTTTAAATATTAAATTGGTTTTAAAAGATGATTAACTGTTAATTAAAACATTTAAACTAATGATTTCAAAAATAATAATTATTTAAAATTTTAAATAAACACTTAAACTTTAAGAAAATAATGCTTTAACCCAAAACTATGTGAATTTCAATATTACTTTTTAAAAATTAGTTTAAGTGTTAAATTTTAAAAACGTCGAAAACTAACCGCGCCTAGGCATCCTGTCCTTAGTTGGTCCGTAAGCCTTTGGTGTTCGAAGTTCGGCAATGTTTTCACGTAATATAGATTTAACACTTAAACTCATTTTTAAAAATTAATAATGATTTTCAATAAAATTTAAAACAATTAACGCTTAAATTTTAAGAAAATAATGTTTTAACCCAAAACCATGTGAATTTCAATATTACTTTTTAAAAATTAGTTTAAAAAAATTAATTTAACACATAAACTTTAAGAATAAAACCATGAAATTTCATTAGTTTAAGTGTTAAATTTTAAAAACGTCGAAAGCTAACCGCGCCTAGGCATCCTGTCCTTAGTTGGTCCGTAAGCTTTGGTGTTCGAAGTTCGGTAATGTTTTTACGTAATATAGATTTAACACTTAAACTCATTTTTAAAAATTAATAATGATTTTCACTAAATTAAAAACAAATTTAACACTTAAACTTTAAGAAAATAATGCTTTAACCCAAAACCATGTGAATTTCAATATTAATTTTTAAATATTAGTTTTAAAAAATTAATTTAACACGTAAACTTTGAGAATAAAACCATGAAATATCATTAATTTTTTGTAAAAATTAGTTTAAGTGTTAAATTTTAAAAACGTCGAAAACTAACCGCGCCTAAGCATCCTGTTCTTAGTTGGTCCGTAACCTTTGGTGTTCGAAGTTCGGCAATGTTTTCACGTAATACAAATTTAATACTTAAACTCATTTTTAAAAATTAATAATGATTTTCACTAAAATTTAATACAATTTCCATATGTTTTGGTGTTTGAAATTGCTTGTGTACGTTGATTTTTACGCTCTCTCCAATTCTTTATCGTCTGTGTATGTTGCTGTGTTCTCTGTATAATAGATTTGATTGGTGGTTCCCTCTTCTTAAAGCCATGATGAGATCACTTCCTTCGGGGTCAGCTTTTTCAATTTTACGAGTTCATTGCATGTTTTGAAAGAACAAAACAATACGTGGCGTGTTTAGTAATTTTGAAAAACTTGAGGCCAAAAACGGATATTTTCAAAAAAAGCAACAAGATAAAATAAAAGGACTAAAGGCTTTTTACGCTCACTTGCACTATATCCTCTTCGCAACAATGGATGCTTCGGTGGTGAGATTTTCCCAATCGCCGGCAAGAGTACCGCCGGAATTTGAACCAGATATGGAGAAGATTAAACGGAGGCTTCTCAAGTACGGTGTTGATCCCACCCCCAAAATCCTGAACAATCTCCGAAAGAAAGAAATTCAAAAACACAACCGTAGAACCAAGCGCGAAACCGAGTCAGAGGCGGAGGTGTATACGGAGGCGCAGAAGCAGTCTATGGAGGAAGAAGCTCATTTCCAAACCCTAAGACGGGAATACAAGCAATTCACGAGGTCAATTTCTGGAAAAAGTGGCGGCGATGTTGGTTTGATGGTGGGGAATCCATGGGAAGGAATCGAGAGAGTGAAGCTGAAGGAGCTCGTTAGTGGTGTCAGGAGAGAAGAAGTTAGTGGTGGTGAATTGAAGAAAGAGAATCTAAAAGAGCTGAAGAAGATACTTGAGAAAGATCTTCGTTGGGTTCTAGAAGACGACGTTGATGTGGAAGAGTATGATTTGGACAGAGAATTTGATCCTGCGAAACGGTGGCGTAACGAAGGGGAAGCAGTCAGAGTTCTCGTTGACAGGTCTGACACTCTTTTTTCGTTTCAATTTCTGCAAATTTTTGATTCTTGACGAAATTGTTCGATTGATTTTGTGTCATTAGATTGAGTGGTAGAGAAATCACTGAGAAGCATTGGAAGTTTGTGAGGATGATGAATCAATCAGGGCTTCAGTTCTCTGAAGATCAGATGCTTAAGATTGTTGATCGATTGGGACGTAAAAACAGCTGGAAACAAGCTTCAGCTGTTGTTCATTGGGTGTATTCTGATAAGAAGCGTAAACATATTAGGAGCAGGTGATGTTTTCGTGTCGATAATTCGAAAGATTTGAACTTTTATGGCCATTGTTTCTTGAGGTTGAATCTGTACAAACTTGTTTCCTGATTGTATGCAACACTGGTTTCTACAGATTTGTTTACACCAAGCTTTTGTCCGTTCTTGGGTTTGCGAGGAGGCCTCAGGAAGCTATTCAGATATTCAATCAGATGCTTGTAAGTAGCTTCTGATTTGAGTCAATTCGTGATAAGGTTGATGTAGATGGACATCATACTATAGCAGTTTACAGTTTTTGGATTAACTCTCATTCCTTAGTCACTTTAGGGTGATCGCCAGTTGTATCCTGATATGGCGGCGTATCACAGTATTGCTGTAACACTTGGGCAAGCGGGTTTATTGAAGGAGTTGCTTAAAGTAATCGAGCGTATGAGGCAGAAACCGACTAAACTAATTAAGAATTTGCGGCAAAAGAACTGGGATCCTGTGCTTGAACCTGACTTGGTTGTATACAATGCTGTAAGTGAGCATTTCCGAGTTTTTAAACTTCTTTTAATATCTATATGCAGCGAATCACTGTATCTAGTTGCTGTAATCAATTCTTGGCTTAACTGGTTCCCAGATTCTTAACGCTTGTGTTCCAACACTCCAATGGAAGGCTGTTTCATGGGTATTTGTAGAGTTAAGAAAAAATGGTTTGAGGCCTAATGGAGCTACATATGGGCTTGCGATGGAGGTAGCGTTCTTGTTTTCCTACATAAACGAACTGCTTAGATACTTTAAGTAAGATGTGGTGTAGTATTTGTGGGTAACCTCAAATACGTAGAGTGGTCTTTAAGATGTCGTTTTGACAGGTTATGCTGGAGTCAGGGAAGTATGATCGTGTTCACGATTTTTTTAGGAAGATGAAAAGCAGTGGCGAAGCTCCAAAAGCAATTACATACAAGGGTAGCTATGGATTCTCTCTGTATTTAGGTTACCTCATTTTGGTATCTATAAGGTGATATGATTCTTACAGCGCATGATTGATTTTCAGTTCTTGTCCGAGCTCTTTGGAGAGAAGGCAAAATCGAGGAAGCTGTTGAAGCAGTCAGAGATATGGAACAAAAGGGAGTTATAGGAACGGGTTCAGTTTACTATGAATTGGCATGCTGTCTGTGCAACAACGGGCGTTGGCGCGATGCAATGCTTGAAGCAAGTTCCCTCATACTTTACCCTTTTTGCTTCTCAGAGAAACCCACAAAATTAACTTTCTTCATAATTCATTAATGCAGGTGGGGAGGATGAAAAGACTTGAAAATTGCAGGCCGCTTGAGATTACCTTCACAGGACTCATAGCGGCTTCATTGAACGGTGGTCATGTTGATGATTGCATGGCTATATTCCAATATATGAAAGATAAATGCGACCCGAATATAGGAACTGCGAACATGATGCTTAGAGTTTACGGAAGGAATGATATGTTTTCGGAAGCTAAAGAATTGTTTGAAGAGATTGTCAGCAGAAAAGAGACTCATCTAGTTCCAAACGAGTATACATACAACTTCATGCTTGAAGCTTCAGCTAGATCACTGCAATGGGAATACTTTGAGCATGTGTATCAGACGATGATTCTTTCTGGTTACCAAATGGATCAAACAAAACATGCATCAATGCTTATAGAAGCATCAAGAGCCGGGAAGGTAACAAATCTTCATATAGTTAAGTGTTTATGGAAGCATAAGCTGTTGTCTAATTTTGTTTGTTAATGCAGTGGAGTCTTCTAGAGCATGCCTTCGATGCAGTTCTTGAAGATGGAGAAATCCCTCACCCATTGTTCTTCACTGAACTCCTGTGTCATGCGACAGCTAAAGGCGATTTCCAAAGAGCTATCACACTGATTAACACTGTGGCTCTCGCATCTTTCCAGATTAGTGAAGAAGAATGGACTGATCTTTTCGAGGAGCATCAAGACTGGCTTACTCAAGATAATCTTCATAAGCTCTCTAAACATCTCCTTGAGTGTGATTATGTAAGTGAACCAACGGTCTCAAACCTCTCAAAGTCATTGAAATCTCTATGTGGGTCTTCTTCTTCTTCTTCTTCTTCAGCACAACCATTGTTAGCCGTAGATGTAACAACTCAAAGTAAGGGTGAGAAACCGGAGGAAGATTTGCTTCTTCAAGATACAACAATGGAAGATGCTAATGGTGAAGCTTGGGAATTTACGGAGACTGAACTCGAAACGTTGGGTCTAGAAGAACTCGAGATTGATGATGATGAAGAATCTAGTGACTCTGATTCACTTTCAGTTTATGACATTCTAAAAGAATGGGAAGAGAGTAGTAAGAAAGAAACATGAAAATGCTTGTAAATTTCCCAAAATCTTAATAGAACTAAACTTAAATTTATTTGCTTATTCATCTCTCTTCAAACCAATTTCAAGGTTGCTAAACAGATCATCCACATACATTAAAAGATCAGTTATACAGAATCTCAGACTCGGATAAAGAACATACATATGATCAAACTGCGGATTTACACTGTTACTAACCAAAAAAAGAGAGCAGAAAGGTTTGGAAACTTTTAAAAACTCTGCAGGTGATGAGATATCGCCTGATTCAAGATCGGAACTCCTAAGAAACCAGTAAAACCACTAAGTATATATATTTATGGCCTACTTTGTTACAGAACTTCCCCATGATGGCTATTTCTTTCTGTTTCACCAAGGATGATTACGGATCCTGAACTTTAAAGCTTTCAGGGCTGCCTTTGCAAATATCTGAGCAGCTTCAGCTTCTGCTTCTGCTCTTTCTGCCTCTTTTGCTGCTTCTTCAGCCTCTGTGATAGCACATTCTGCCTCTGCAACTGCTCTTGCTGCAGCCTCTGCAGCTTCTTGAGCTGTCATGCCTTTTATCATAAATAACTCACCGTCAACTCGGGACTTAGTGAGGCTTTTGGCGCCGTTCTCCTCGGGTTTTGGTGGGTCTTTCTTGTTGTTTCCTTCCAAAAGGTGTTGAGGAGACATCAGTCTTGCTCCTACGGGGATAAAATTAGAAGAAAACCTGTACTTGTGCTTTATCTGAAAGTGAGAAATCACCAAGTAAGTATTTGAAAATTCTGAGAGTAAGGAAGTGTTTGTAATCAATTAATCATGAATCTTAAATAAAAAAAATTGTGTGTTTACCTTAACTAATGTTCCATTCGATGATAAATGCTTTAATCGTACTGCGACATGTCTTTTCATATTCGGTGGAGTCTTGAAATTCTCCTGAAATTTTAACAGCTACTAAGTATGCAACAAACCCCAAAGAAACATAGAATCCCAATGGTAGAAATACCTCTATATACAGAAAGATCGATGTTCTGTCAGAACCGCGTAGTTCCTTCAAGTTAGTAATTGCCTCCAAGATGATCTTATCCAAACTACAAGAACAGACAATAGCTCAAGATCAAATCTTTATGAACTCAAGAAAATCTTGATGTGGTGCATGAGTCAGGACTTTGCATGAACCAAACCTTGTAATTGATCTCTTTGAAGCACAAGAACCTCCAGGGGAAGTTGGTTTTGCCCGTTCATCGTCATTAGCCAAAGCCACAATGCTAAGAGCTGTGTTGTTATCATCCTGTTTAGTAGCCGGCGGAGTCATTTTAAGCGCAAGTTTAGCCTTCTTCCTTGAACCCCATAAAGCTGTCACGCTTATGTTTCTCCACTTGTCCTGTTACGCTTTGAATTATCAAGATTAGTCTGAAACACACAATCACAACCTCAAAAAGGATGTATCGAGTAATATTCTATTACCTTAAGATCAACATTTGAGCGAGACTTAAGGATTAAACTAAACTCAGGATCGGAGAGTATGGTACGCCACTTCCCAGTGCCATGCTTAAGAACTCCAGCTTTAAGAGCTGCTTCTTCTTCCGGTGTCCACTTCTGCTTTGGGGCACCCATCCACAGTTATCAAAAGATCTCACTTTTTTAAAAAAGAAGTTGAATTTTCTTCTATTCTCTGCCAAGAGATGTGAACACTCAAACCTTAGAATCTGTGAAATGAGCTGTGAACAAAAACAAAAAGACCACATCAACGCCATTGTTGAACATTCAACTGCTATGCAGCAAACTATTCTTATCCAAAAGAATCTAAATTTTGAAATTGGAACCTATGCTTAGACGGTAGAGGAATTTTGGTCATCTAACAAGTGATTTTTTTCAGCCATTTTGTTACAGAAACAAGCACAATGGAAACAAATCAAATCCAGCAGATACACAAAGACAAAGAAATGATGGGGAAATAAATACGCCCCAAAGCTCAATTCAACAAATCAATGAGTGATTCGAGCAATCTCCAACCAAAAAAAGGGATCAAATTTCATTAACAACGTCGCAAATCAACAGGAATTTGGAAATTCAGCCAACAATCAAAATCATTAGCGAAATTACCAACCGAAATCAAATGGGGCAATCGGAGAAAATATAAAAATGGAAAATTCAGAGAATAAAAGAGAACCAGCAATGAGGAAGGAGGAGAAGAAGCATGCCAGATCAAACGAAACCAAAGGAGAGTTTTTGAGAGAGACACTTGATGATGAAAGCTAATTCCTTGTGTAGATGTGTCATAGATCAAATGTGAATCTTAGAATTTCGCTGAAAACGAACGAAGACGAAGAAGACCAGAGAGTAGTACATATAAGGAAGAATATCCATAGAAACGAAAAAACAAACTTGAGCTTTTCTTTTGTATTCAAGCTAAGGAAAGATGTAACCCTTTATTTCTTCAAATTCACAAATTTGCCTCACATTTTATTAAATTACACATTAATTCCTGTTGAATAAATAAATAGGCTCAACCTGAATAATAATATTTTAAAAAATACTGTATATGTAGGATTTAGTTAGTTTACAAGATAAAAAATTAAAAATTATTTGAGATACAGTAAGATAGGAGGATTTGGGTTAAATTGATCCCACAGATAGTTTAGGGATTATTAAATATTTTCATATAATAGTAAGACCAAAAGCATAATTTATAAACATTGAATGGCCAGATTGAAATATGTATTTGTTTCTCTTTCCCTTGGCCATTTTTTTCCCCTAAAATCACAGAAATAGAAGAAACCAAAGCGAAATCAAAAAGCTCAGAGATTTTCCAGATTTCTCTAATTGCGTGACGATGGCGCTTCGTGCTACTACTCAAGGGACTAGCCGTATCGCGGCGACGCTCCGGCGTGTTGCTCGTCCGTTCTCCACTGACGCGGTGGTTGAGTCGGATTTGAAGCATGGCGAGATCGGTAAGGTCTCCGGAATCCCAGAGGAGCATCTTTCCCGGAAGGTAAATAAGCATTCGATTTAGAAAATTAGGGTTCGTGATCGGAGGATGGTCTTAATTGAGCTAAATCGTGTTCTTGGTTTGATTTCTGAATCGAATGGTCTAAAAGATATTGAATTTGAAATTGACAGGTGATACTATACTCACCTGCTAGAACAGCTACCCAGTCAGGATCTGGAAAACTTGGAAAATGGAAGATTAACTTCGTCTCCACCTTAAAGTATGAACCTTTTCTCATTCATTTCTTAGTTTTGTCTTTTTGATTAAGATAGTCCTCTCTTGGCTCACTCTTTGATGAGTCTTATCCTTAATGTCATATCTTTGCAATACTAAAGTCTTCTGCTTGTGAGTAGTAGTAGTCCATCACTTGTTGATTAGATTTAGCCTTTGACAGGCCAATAGCTTCTGGTATCAGTTATTTGTTCGATGTGTAATGACGTCGCTTCTCTATGGCATTGATATGTTTGTAGGTGGGAGAATCCATTGATGGGATGGACTTCTACAGGTGACCCCTATGCCAATGTTGGTGACTCTGCTCTTGCTTTTGATTCTGAAGAAGCTGCTAAGTCTTTTGCTGAGCGTCATGGTTGGGATTATAAAGTACGTTGTTTCCTTCTTCAATTTTTTTCTCGTCGTATTCAGAGTACTGAAAAACTTACATCTAACTCATTGCAGGTCAAGAAGCCCAACACACCGCTATTGAAGGTTAGTAACTATCTTTTAGCTAATGCCACAGTTATGACTAACGAGCTTTACTCATATGAGGCGTTTAAGTCTAAGCTGGAGATTCACAGGAACCTTTGCATGTTAATAGATAGGATATTTTAGTCTCTAATTTAAGATTGTGTTTCATTAAGGAACTGCTTTAACTTGACTCATATTGCTTCATCAGAAATGGTTTGCTGCCTCTAGTTTAAGATTAGCTACTAGTTTGGAGAGCGATTGTCTCTTTCAATCCTTTGGATTTATTGGTAGAACATTCTTTAGATTGAAGTTTTAACCTAACCTCATGATGGTTCATCATCTACCATCTCACATCTCACTGCAGGTCAAGTCTTACTCGGATAACTTCAAGTGGAAAGGCAATCCTCAACCAGAAAACTGATCTCACACCTTCTTCTTCCATTTCTCTAGCAAAAGGAGAAAACCTCATTTGATAAAAATTCTCATGTTTCTTTGTGTTATTTAGCATCTTTGAGCTTTTTGTTTGAAAAGAACCATTATCCATGGCTATGTTTCCTTATTACAATAATATGATGATGATGAAACACACTCCTTTGATATGTCATCAAGATTTCTGATCATTTATTTTACTGGTTTATTTCGAATTGGTGTGAATATGAAAAAGAGAGATGGTCAATAATCCATAAGATACCAAAAAGTTAAAGACAAATTCGAATTGAAAGAAGATAACAACAGAAGAGAGATTGTTGAACGAGACAAGAAAATCTTGTCTTTTAACATTACATAACATATATGAAATAGAATCGTTGACTGAGGCAACAACGTATCATCCTCCGATCAGAAACATGCATCCAAGAGACAGCAACAACAGAGCGCAGCCAAACTGTGACGTATATATGAACAGAGAAAACACGTATTAATACAGTATTAAAACCTAAATACAAAACTAAACAATAAACTAAAGTAGAGATGGGATCAAGAACGTACCATCCTTCAAGCATACCGGCGTTTTGCTTCTGCTGCGGAGCTTGAGAGTATTGCGGCGGAGGATAACCTTGAGCAGGGTATCCCTGAGCATATCCCGGCGGAGGATAGCCGGCTGGAGGGTAACCGGCCGGAGGATAACCGTCCTTAGGTGGATACCCTTTAAACCGGAATTCAAGAGCAAATTAAACCAGCAGATCGAAGAAGAGAAACCAACTATCCAAAACTAAAGCAAAGAAGAAAAAGATAATACCTTGGGGAGGAGGAGCACCGACAGGATGTTGTTCTTGATGATACATCTTTCTTCTTTCCTCTTCTTTTTTTTTTTTGAGTTCTTTGAGCTTTTTTCTTTCTTTCTTTCTTTCTCTCTTTGTTTAAGCAAACTCTGTTTCTTTCCTTTATAGCGAAGCTATGCCGGTGAGGAATAATGATATTTTCCTTTTCATTGTTCTTAATTTAATAAAGCAGAAAATAAAGAAAATATTACTTTTTAAAAAATGTCTTTCTTGCATCATAAAAAGATTACGAATATATCTCTTTGAAAATTAGGTGACACTTGACCGTACAAGAATTTTATTTCAACTACTCTACTACTAGAATCATTAATTATGGAATAAAAATACCAGAAAGGGGTTTTAGTAATCATAAATTGACACTGTTTTTCATAGTTTTGAATTTAAACACGAAACATGCTGCATTATGTTTTTAAAATTAAAAAAATGAAGCAAATTATGTAATCAAATAGATAAAAAAAAAAACTAAATCAATGAAATCACTATTTGCCACATTATTTTATTTTTTTCTAATACTATGAATAAATTTCAGTCAATTTTCTCTATCTTCGTTTTCCTTGTATGTACTAATAACAACAGAAAAAATAAACAAATTTAATACAACCTCCTCGCTTGAATAAAAAGTTGGAGGATCCCATTTCAGAATTCGAGAAAATATGACTTTTATTTACCCACATGTTAGTCCATATTCCCATGTCATAAATAATCATAATCTTATTGTAATATTCGAATATTAGTTAGTATCCATATTAAAAGATTCACATCACCATGAAAAAGTAGAACGCATTAAAGACAATAAAAGGAAAAGAATGCTCATTGCATTTGGTCTACACACAAACATGACACAACCTAAAAACCAATTAGGATCGTTACAACAAATCGTGGTCTCATCCACAAAAAAGAAAAGCTAAAACACTAACCAAGTCATAAAAGAAGAAAGCAACTTTACCTACAAGAGCTCTCTCTCTTTCTACAAAAGAGTTCCTTTTCTCTCTAAACGGTATGAAACTTAAAACTGGCTTGGTTAGAACCACCGCAGCCATTTCCGTGGTCGGTTTGTGCTAGAAGACCCTTTTCTTGGTGTTACACTGATCCTATCAGCATTTACTGCTGCCCATTTTCCAAAATCGGGTGAAGAAACCAATTCTTGAACGGCCTTTGTTGTGCTATCCTTAGTAAGCTTTTTCCATTCTTCTTTTGTTAGTTGGCTCCTTTCAGGAGTTTTATGGAAAGAGGAAGGAAATGTATCTGATTCAGACGGTGGAGATTCTCGCATCCCGTTGTTGACTCCTGAAAAGAATCATTAGAAAAGCTTATTATTGGTTTCAATATAAGTATAAGATTGTAATTTGAGAGAGCGATCACAAATCAAACCTCCTGATGGAGACGCAAAAGTAACACGGTTGCGAAATTCAGAAGCATCGGGACTCTTTCGCATAAAGTCATGGAGATATCCTGGGACGGATGGTATATCAGCATCACGAATTGCCTCCCAGATTCCTAGCAGTAAATTCAATGGGATCCTGTGCAAAAGAAACCAACTTGCATTCAAAATTGTACATTTTCAGGGATATGGATGCTGTATAATAAGGCGAACGAGAACAAACATAGTTTGGTTTGTTGAAGAAAACAGATCAAAGAGATTGGTCGCAACTCACTCGTATAAGCGTAGAAGGAACTTCAATCTGGTGATCTTCTTCAAAGTCGATGACATAAGAATTACAGATATCAGGGCTCCTCCAGCAAGCAACGGATCTACGGAGCTCTGTAAACAACAGATTCTTGTTAAAAAGATCAATTGGCTAAAAGGAGAAGTATAGTTTGAGGGACACTAGAAAAAACCTGAAGGATCAAAACAGCAGCCATAATTCGGATACACCAAGAAACAAATAGTGATGTGCTAACGTCAATGGAGCCATCTTCTGTCAGAATAAGTTTCCTCACAGTCCAAAACCCGAAAAATGCTCCACCCAAAGATAAAAACGCCCCCACAAAAATCGCTACCTGCAAAACCAAATTGCGATTATTTCTGTAATATGGGAGTTTTAACCAGCAAATGCTGACTGATGCAAGACACATCTCTAACATTACAACATCTGCAACGTATTTGACATTATCAAAACTTACATACAGGTGTGTACATTTCTTCGTCGATTCCCATCTCTGTTAGCAGACTTTGAAACAATCCGGGTATGTAGCGAAGAAGAAAACCACCCAAACCAAGCTGGAAAGAAGGAAACAATCTTGTGAGTGGTAGATAAAAAAAGGAGGTCAGAAAAAGGACGAATTATTCAACAATCACCAGGGATGAGTATATGAACAATGCAAACGAACTCCGTCCAGTTGGTAGAAGCTTCATTCCCTGTACACATCACATTACAAGGCGAAATCAGAGAGTTAATACCCTCTCTTTTACAGGTCAACACAATAAACAGAATGAACCCAAAAAAAAAACACTTACCTGAAAGAGGACAAGCAGCACAACAAGGATAATGCCAACAGCCATGGCACTACTGTAGTAAAACGCTAAAGATTGGCTCAGTGTAGAAGCCGAAACCAGTAATACAGCACCAAGGATTAAGAATACTATGCGATACATAAATAATTCTGCAAAGCCGAAATTGATAGATTAGAAAAGTAGAACAAATTTTCAAACCAGAAAGAAAGAAAGAAAATGCAAGGCACCTTCTACAGCAGACAATTCCAAAGTGACCTTGTTAGAGCTAGCTACTCTAACATCAAGGATTTTGTGGTCGAAGGGTGACATTGTCTGAACCCATGAACCCTTAGAGGCTTTCTCCCACCGACTATGAGGGCACATTCCAATTGCACGCGACAAATTCCTTCAAACACACAAATCATGGAAACATTTAGTTATATAGATCTATGATAACTGAACCATATATTCTGTACCAAGGAACTTACAGAAACTGGTTTGGAGTATAAAATATAAAGAAATATCAAGAATTCAAGTCCAACAGCAAAAGATAAACGACTCACCGGTGGAAGCAAACGTCAATGCTGCTTGTTTTCCCAGCGGTTGACGCGTTAACTACCAACTTGAGTGAATGTGCATACTTGTCTATATGTTTAAACCTTCTAAGTCCATGGATATGAATCCTCTCACAAAGAACTATTCTATCTGGCTTCAATCCAGGAGAACCCTTAACCTCTAAACTAGGAGTCACTTGAATCTCTCCAGTTTCTCCCACAACTGTCCCATTAGGTTACAAGACATTAACCACAACACAAATACAAATTCTTTCAACTAGATTAGTAAATTCTATACACATTTGTCTTAGTTGCTTACGAATTTTTAGTTGGAATCTCAAAGCGGGACAAAATAAAATAAAATTCGAGTACTCAAGTGCTCAAAAGTACTTGAGCGATAAACCCTAAAATGACTAAAATTTCAACCTACAATTTCACAAAACCAAAACCGGACAATAAGTAAAAATTAAGAAAAGCTTACCAAACTGAAGTTCATCAGATGAAACAAAAGAGACGAAAGCAAAGTGTAGCAAGATGATTCCGACAACGACGCCGGAGTTTCGGAGAAGACGATAATCACCCATCGATTTCTTTTGGGTTTCAGGGCGCGTACTTTAATCAAAAAAGCAAATAAGAATAAATCCTGAGGGTATTTATGGTAAATTGAAAGAATATAAAAAACCGTGAATTGTCGGCCTTGTTAATGGGCCTTCGTAAGCCCAATGAAAAAATAATTCGGTGATTAATGTCTGTGTATATATTACGACCAATGCCGTGATGGTTAGAAAATATGGTTGCTTGGATGGTTAATGGTGGACTATTAAAGAGACTGAAAATGATTGAGCCGTTAATTACGTTACGTCGACTTAACTGAACAAAAGGGAATGATGCATTAGTGATTAATTGAATTATTGACTGCATAACTATGATTGACAAAAAAGGCCGACCAAATGATCTGCCAACCATATTTTAAAAGCAAACATTTACATTTTCTTACAAATAAAAATGTAAACTATAGTTAGCTAGTTATCCAATAATTACCATTGCCTTAAAACTCGCTCAACGCTTATCATTTGGGTTAGTTGACTCTTGACTGGTTGTTTAAGCCTAACATCTTCACATGAAACGTTATGATTGGATCATACGGTATGACGTAAAAATCTAATTAGGTCCAACACAACAACAATATCCAAACGTATCGAACTGTCGGTTTACACTTTTCATTATTACACACATTGTTTTAGGAAACAAATGATTTGTGGAATCTTGAATCTGCAAAATATTTCCGGGTATATACAATCAGTAGGTCCGGTACATACATGGGACAACATTTAAGCCGGAAAAACAGTTTTTGGATTGAAACAAATATACAATTAGTTGGAAGGTATCATGTCGCAAAACAAAAAGTTTGAATAAGCTTTAATTCAACTATCGGTTGATAAAAATACTATGCATACCTTAGTAAAAGATAACCTAAAAAATCATATTTCAACCACTATTTAATTTTGCATTTTAGATACAAAAGTTTGGAAGAAATTCGTCTCGGATGTGCGTTATTTTTGTCTCTTAGGACTTAGAAGTTAGAAGAATTAAAACGATTAAAGTTCTTGAAAGTATTTGTCGAGACTGAATCTCATTAAAGCCACATAAAACAGTAACATCGCTTTACATAAAACTTTCAATGTTGTCGGATAGTTGCTTTAAGAATATCTACGCTTTTGAAGAGCTCTCATGAGGATCCAAATTCGGGAATGCTGTGTAAAGCTGGCCTCCATCCACCGCCACCTCTTCCTCCACCGTGGCTCCTCCTCATAAACCCATCTCCTCCGTTTTCTCCGGTGACCTATAAGATCGGTCGAATTAAATTAAAGCATTCGTATAGATTCATAATGATAAAAGGACAAAGCTATCAGAGCAATGTGACCAGGACAGTCATGTATAAATATCATATTCATCATGTTATTGATCAAAATATTTATATGATAAAAAATAAAATCTGAACGTGGTAAAAGAAAGTCCTCAATGTGATGAGAGTATTAACATGCGCTTACCGCATCATTAGCTCCATCTTGGTTCGGATCCGGGTTGACTCGGCCCGTTTCCTGATCCAGCTTCTTCTTCCTGTGTTTCTTCGTCTTCTTCGTCAAGTCAAGCCCTCCTCCTTCTTTCAATAACTTCCCAAGCTTCACACACTTCTTTGTCGCAAACTCGTTCAAAACCTCTGCATGAAATTTTTTTAATAAATCATTTTATTACAGAAAAACAAAACAGAGAAATTGAGTTAAGAGTGTATACCTTCGAAGCTGACGAGACGATAGACATGTCCGATGAGTAAAGTGTCGTCAGGACGAAGGAGCTTAAGCTGCTTCAATGGCGATCCTTTCTCGTTCTTCATCGTAGGTGACGTCACCACCACCGCAACGTAATGACCAGGATTGGATTTCATGACATCACTCGCTGTCACTGACCAGTAAATCCTCTCCACCTTGTTCTCCGCCGGGTGATGAATCAAAACCGTCGCTGCTTCCGCCGCTTGACAATTCCCCATTTTTCTTTTCTTTTTTTGCAAAAAACAAAAAAAAATGGGTTTTGGATTGTTTTTTTTTGTTGGGTTCCTGTCTGAAACTAAAGTATATATAAGAAAAGATATATTGTATCGGTTTTAATAAATAGTGACGTCAGAGTTCTTCATCATTTGGGATTGTCAGGTTTGACAAAGAGGTCGCTTGAGATCGATAAAAAGGATTAACACAACAAAAAATTAAGAAAATAAAAAGAGGAAGAAGAAGAAAAGAAACACAAAGAGAGAATTTGTAAATTAAAAGATGTCGACAAAAGATTAAGAAATGAGACGAATAAATAAAGAGGTTGGGGTGGTAGATCTATTTATTTTATTTCTGATGTTTAATGATAATGACATTTGAATTTTATACGAAATTAATAAATGTTATTAAGGATCTTGCATATCGCAACCAATGAATTGATTAACAACATGTTTAGTTCTCTTGAATTATTAAGTTGACTAGAGGTTTTGGTATCTAATTAAAAACCAAAATAGACTGTAAAATTTAATGACCATCTTTTACTAATACTATTCAACAATTTTAATTTAGAAAGTAATATATTGATGATTTGATAACTAATTAAAGGGAAATCAATAATAACAACTAATTAGAAAATAGTTTAAATGTGTGAAATCTATATTCTGGAGAAAAATAATATGATCAAAGGTTTATTCTTCTTCTTTTTTTTTTGACTTTATGTAATTTGTTTTACGTATGGATTGATTGCTGTTTATATGGCTTTGATGTGTGTGATACGACTCTCTGAAATGATATCCGAGCAACACGCTTTTACATGTTATTCGAACTAAAGTGTAGTTGATAGCAAAATCTTCAAGGGATTTGAATATTCATTCACATGTAAAGATAAGAAATCCAAATATTCATCTAAATTTCAAATTTTATATACTGACCATTCACATATTTCTTATCGCAATCAGATTGTTTTGAAGAATAAAAAATATTACAAGTAAAGGCTGTTGCAAATTTACGAAGGAAGCGTGTTGATTTGGAGTTACGGTAACAGTGAGAGACTGGATAGAATGTAGTGTGGGTCTCACAATAAGTCGAATCAGATGGTTTGATGACCGTTGGATTCACGTTAGTTCTCATTCTTGACCGTCAGATTAAGAAACGATGTATCTGATAACTCTATCACAATGGCAGAGTACCTAAAGACAGACACTGCGACTCTTTACTGTCTCTATTTTCCATAGATTTGTTCGGCTTTTTATAATGCATATTTTTGGTCGAGTATTCACCAACGTGTGATGTTTTAATTTTTGAATTACTTGCAAGCGATGTGTAAATTAGATGAAATCAACCCATGAGTTTGGATCCATTTGTTTGGCCACTAATCATTAACTCTACTAGATAAAGAACCCGCGCTCTGCCGCGGGGTATTTTTATAAATTAGTTTTGTTTTAATATAATTACAAGTATGATTGGTAGAAGTTTGAAATGATTCTAGGATTGCGTATTTTACTTTTACTCAAATTTTAGTAGTTTTTATTTCATTATTTTATTATATATGCATATATGATATATTAATAAATACATGTTATATATTATTTTTATAAAATAAATATACCGTACAGTCAATTTTTGTATTTGTTTTTGTTTTTTTAAAATGTTTATAATGTGTATAACGTTTTACAAATATCTGATTTCTTTTTACATGTATAAAACTTTCAACGACTATTATATTTCAAGAACCTTACTTTATTTTCATGAAAGATATACATGGTGTACAACCATAATTTGAATCACACTTAAAATATTTAATATCGACTTCCAATTTTAAAAATTATTCTTTTAACCTTTAAATCACAATGATTTGTTCAAATGATAACATAATTTAATTTATACCATAATTTTAATATAAAATTATTATTCCAATTATGTTATTGGATTTTGTAAAAATTTTACTCATTTTCGTAACTGAGGGACAAACTCACAATCTCGATGTTAGCAGAAAATAAAAAAAATAACACTACTTTAATATTATTTTATAACGCAATTACACCTTATAAACGTGGATAAAAATACAGTCAATGTTACTTTTTTATTCCTTTCTTATTTGATATACTCAATTAACATCATTATTTTGTTTATAGAATCAGACTATAATTTACAAAACTGAAATATCTAAAAATGATATTGAACCAAATCAAACCAAAAAAAAGGAATAGACAAGCTTATGTAAATTTATATATTTGTATTATCTAGGTATTTAACAATCTTTACAATTAGGAATATGAACTATTCGTCCAATTAACATATTTTATAAATTTTATTTAATAAATTTTGTCTATGTTAATAAAAGCTGGTGAGTATTATTTATTTTGATTTGATTGATTGTTAATAATTTTTTTTATTATAAACGTCTTAAATATTAATATGTTATGTAAAAAATAACTATATATATATAAAGTTTATAATTAGGTATTTGATCAATTCCATTAAAAAATAAGATATAAAGTTTTTTATGTGTCAACGTATTCATTTTATTTATAATTTGATTTTTTTTTCTTTGAAAAAATTAGACATCCATGTAACATTATTAAAAAATAAAAAATTAGTATGTGTATTATATATTTTAATTTGATTAGTTGCCTTTTAAAATATGTATTTTTTTAATAAATAGTTGATGTGGCAAGCTGAAAAGCTGATGTGGCTTGCTGGAGAGCTGAGTTGTATTAATTGTTATATTTTGATTGGATATCATTTTTAATGATGTGTCAGTCCCACAATAGCTTTAAAAGCTGATGTGTCACTGCTGGAGAGACTCTTAGTAGTTTTATTGTATTGATTTCCACAAAGCCGTTTGTTTTGAAAGTTTATTCAAGAAATATCAAGGACACACGTTTTTTCATAAATTAAGTTGATTATACACTAAATAAGTTGAAATTGACCCGACCAAGCAAAATAAATTCGTTACACTAAAACACGCCACCAAAAACCGATGAAGTCTGGTAAGAGAACACTCGTAATTAATTACTCTGATTGAAGATACTTGCATGCGTGTCCATTTTGCTCACGAAACACGCTTACATTCAATTTACTCGTCTCTATTGGGCTTAAAAGCCCATTAAAAATCTTAACAGGCCAGACTGATAATTACAACCATTAAGTTGACCAAATCCAGACAAAATCAAATTTGTACCAAACCGATCTATATTGAATTTGGTAAAATCATTTGTAGAACCGAACCCACCCTTAGTTGATCCAGTCTAACAATCGTTACAACTTTTAAATAAAAAACCAAACATAAATCCGAGTTAAATTCAACATCCTAATCATACATATCATCACGAAGCATAATAAATAAGGCAAACAGAGATGGATACTCAGATCTGCATAGCATCTTGTTCGTCTTCTGCAGTAGCTTCATCGTTTTTGATTGGTTCACTGAACATATACTGACTCTGATACTCGACAAGATACTGCATCGATCTCCTTACATCCAAGAACAGTCGGTAAACTCTCTCAATATCCTCCACCTCCACGACTTTCCCTTTACGTTTCTGGCATGACAATGCAGCCGCGGTTATAAGATGAATCGCATACCTTAGAGATGTATCACGTCCGATCAATGTCAAAAGCTGTTTGGCCTCTTCGTTCATATCAACATCTTCTTCTTGGCAACGGATTTCTAAGATCTTCCTTATGTCATCGTCTGTGTAAGGTTGGGTAGTGATGATGAGAAGACGGTCAAGGAGATCGATCGGGATCCCGTGGGGTGATTTCTGGTTAGTACCACGGATTGTCGTCACTCCTCGGTTTGTTGCCACCACGAGGATTGGCGACATTTCGTTTTCGAGAGCTCGGTTAAGGAATGAGAAGCATTCGATGTCGAGCATGTGGACTTCATCAATGAAGAGAACTCCAGGAACTATCTCTGCTTTTCCTTCTTCTCTCCATTCAGCTACTTTTGTATCAATTTGTTCCCGGACTTCTGATCGGATTTCTCCAGTATCGCCAGTGAAAAGGGCGAGAAACCCTTGTGTCCTGCAACAAACAAAGAAGAAATAAAGACAGTTACTCTCTATCAACAGATTTTTCAAATTCCAATTTTGAAACCTAAATTGTTCTAACAGTACCACCAATAGAAGGTCATAGTTATAGTTATAGAGAGTGTTTCACTACACACTGTGCTAAGATGTCTAACTGAACATAGAGCTTAAGAGTTCCAAAAACATATAAAGCAATGAAGTAACCTCAATTGACACATCTCATTTGAAATTACTGAACCAAATCAACTAAATTTCAAATCACCTAAGCACTAACAAACTTCAATTTTGCAACCTACATTGATCATGTCACAATTCAGGGAATGCTAAAAGTACCTGCTGTTGATAACATCAATCTCGTGAAGTGTCACACAATGCACAACCTCTTTCCTCTTCTGCAACTCACCTTCAGGACACTGCACAAACTTAGTCTGCGCACCCATAGCATCATAATCTCGAGACCTCGAAAACGATCTTCCAAGCTTAGTAATCTTCCCAGTAGCCTTATCAATGGCAATAACATCACCACTCTGAACTTTCTCCTTGTTCAAAGCCTCAATCATCTTAGCTCCCATATCATACACAGTTTCCATATCCGTCGTCTTCATAGTCATCTTCCCCGACTTGGAAGCAACACCAGAAGAAGCAGGCCTATCAATCTGAACCTCCACAACTTCTCCTTCAATAACCTCAGTCTCTTCTTTGATCCTAACACCAATCGCTTTACGAAAAGACTGAGTCAAAGCTTCTGTCTTTGACATCTCTAATGAGAAAATCTCACTTCCTGCAATCATCGCAAAAGGAGTTTCCAAGCCAAGCGATTTCGCCATACCCATTGCAATTGCGGTCTTACCCGTTCCGGGTTGACCCGCAATTAGTATAGCCCGACCCGCGATTTTCCCTTCTCTAATCATCTGAAGGATTACACCGGCGGCTTTACGCGCCTTCACTTGACCGACCATTCCTTCGGAGACTGCTCGCGGCTCGAGAGCTGAGTCGAGACCCAATCCTCGGATGTGTGAGTGTGCACCGATTCGCTCGACTCTGGTTAAGTCCCGACTCTCTGATAACTTTAGTTCCGCCATACTCGATTATCGTCTTCGTACGATTGAGGCGGAGGAAGAAGAAACAAGTTAAGGTTTTTAGGGTTTAGAGATATGCTCTACACAATGACAATGGCGATGTATCTTAAATCCTCTAAATAAGGGCAAAAAGGTAATTTCACAAATCTTAGAACTGAGAACAAATTTAGTGATATACCCTTGAATTATTAAAAACAAAGTAATTAACTCTTACATAAAGATCTGTGCTAATTTGAACCCTAGTTAGGAATTTCAAGGGTTGGATCCATCCTGGATATTAGAAGTAGAACTCTCTTTGGCCAGTTTCTTAGCCTCTCTTCTCTTCTTGACTTTTCTCGTCTTATCATTGTCATCGATTTTTCCTACCAAACAACAACAACAAAAAAAAAGAGTCAGACGCATAATGTAATTAATACACAAAAGAGACATGTTTGAGTAAATTGCACAAGACCAACAATTAGACAACTTGATGAGCTAGTAGAATTTGATTGAAGTCAAACCCTTTATCTGAATTTCGTACGGGTGATTATGAAATCTAATTAGATAAGTAGGAATTTATCCCAAAAGATTTGAAACTAATGATATCTGTAAAAAGTTAAAAGCTGTGTGTACCTTGTTTCTTCTCTTGGGCATTTGGTCGAACAAGTTGTGAGCAGTTGTTGCTAATGCTCCCACTAGTTTCTTCTTCGTCTCCATCAGAATCTTCTTCTTCAAAGTTGTTCCCACCAGCATCTCCAACTATTCTTCCATCATGGGTCTGAAGCATTTCAGTCGGAAGTAGAGGTCCGATGACTTTCTTCCGTCGAACTGCTTCCTCTTTAAGCATCTTCTTCCTTAACCTCTTCCTCTGCGCTCGACTCGGTTTCTCTGCAATCCCCGATTCGTCTCCGTTTTCGTTGACGTCCCCGTGATTTGATGAATCAATTTTCAAGTAATCTTCTGAAGAAAACCAAAATTTGAATGTGACTTCCAAGTGTGAATAAGTTCAACGCAAGATTCAGGTTTTAGTTACATTAATCGTACCTGGGTTTATGAGTGTCACATCGAATGGTTCGTCATCAACAACCTCCACCTGAAACATATATCGATTCAAAACCAAATCTAGAATAAACAGATTGATGCAAATAGAGAATGAGAAATTACCGGAGACGGGGAAGAGGAAGGAGACGGTGGCGATGAAGGAGGAGGATACAGTGTTTGAAGAAGAGCTTCGTGAAACTCTCGACGCTTTTCTTCTCGCCGGCGCATCGTCGGAGATCACTTAACACTCGGCAGCGAAATCTCCGTTCGATTCCTAAGATGTGCAATTTTTCTTGTTTTTTTCTTTTCTTTTCTTTTGCGTCCCTAAACTTTAGTGATCATTGACTATTACCCCGTAACTTTTTTTGGATAAACATATTTCATTCCATGATCTCATATTCCTCGCAATTGATAATATTTCTGTATTACTTGAAATGTAACTAAACAGTCCAAATTGACACAAATGTTGTGTTTACTTTTATTCACAGAGTAACTAGAGTTTAAAGTTATACTTTCTCTCTAACAATCTTACAATTTATTAAAAAGTGTTTTTTTTTTCAATTCATCTGTCAGTTTAGATTTGACAGTCGAACGTTGAGAAAATTTAAACGTTAGAAACAATTTAGTTTTCTTACCGTTATGGACTGATGAGTATGAATTATTTAATTAAAAGTTGTGGATGATGATGTAAGACCTCTATAAATATACTTCTCTCATCTTCGTCCAAAGTTCAAAATTCTTTCATTTCTGTTCTCTTTTTATCAAATGTATATGATTCTGGTTTTCGTTTCCATTCTTCAAACTTCAGTTTACAGCTCAAAACATTGTTTAGTTTCCTCACTTGCTCAGAAACAAACAGAGAGGCTCATCAGTCATCATCGTAAAAGGTAAGATTCTGGTCTGATCATTTTATTTTATCTTTTAAACTAGTTTTTGACTTATTTCGTAATTTTGAAAACAATTTGAATGACCCAGTTTTAGATCTAGCTCATGTATGTAAGTGTTCAAAAAAGAATTTCGTATGATGATCAGGGCATAAAAATGTTGTTGTTGTCTTCATAAATGTTGTATACATGTGTTGGAAAATAGTAGAAAAGTACGTAAAAATTGGTTTCGATATTAATTTTATGACCTCTGTTTCTGCCTAGGATGTAAAACAGACTGTTGGTTTTAATTGGAAAATAATAAATCAAACTTTTGGGTTTAGATTTCTGAAATGTTTTTTTATGTTTGGTTTATTTGTCGATATTGAAGAAAAGATGATGAATCAACATGGTTTATTTGTCGATGTCAATATACGAGATCCATTTTGCAGCTGAGGGCATTGAATCAACATGAGCATTATGGTAGGTACGTGTCTTACAGTCCAGATCCATCTTCCGCTTAATTCGTGCAAGAGACTAAAATTATAGATGGTACCTTTGTGGAATGATGTATGTATAAGGTTATTATCATCCATTCTTTGTGGAATGATGTATGCATAGGGTGAGAGAATCTGAGAATTAATGATATATGTAATAGATGTATGTTTAGGTTTATTACTATATGTGTGTGTCTTTTAGATGTATGTATAGGGTGAGAGAATGGATGATGTGTAATAGATGTGTATGCGTAGGGTTATTATGTGTGTGTGGTAAGAGAATGAATGATGTATGTAATAGAGATTAGATGTATGTGTAGGGTTATTATTATGTGTGTTAGATGTGTATGTAATAGGGTGAGAGAATGGATGTAATAGATGTATGTGTAGGGTTATTATGTGTTTGTTAGATGTATGTATAGGATGCAAACGAAGCGTCAAGTGACAAATGCTAAAAATAGCTAACCCCAATGCAAATGCAAAAAGTGAACGCTTAATTAACATAACACAAAATCATTCTTTTGCAACACGTTACTCGAAACACTTAGTCTTAACACTTAGGCAAACTCACACGTTAGTCGCGTCGAAGCACTTAGTCGAAACACGTAGGCAAAATAGTCGAAAGAAACACTTAGGTGAAACTCACACGATAGTCGAAGCACTTCACGTTAGTCGAAACATATAGGCAAGACTCACAAGTTAGCCGAAGCACTTAGTCGAACACTTAGGCAAAACTCACGCGTTAGTTGAAGGCAAAACTCGCAAAACTCACTATATTAGTCGAAACACTTAGGCAACACTAACTTAGTCGAAACACTTAGGCAAACTCACAGTCGAAGCACTAGTCGAAAACACTTGGGCCAAAACTCACACACGTTACTCCAATGACTTAGTCGAAGTACTTATGCAATTTTTTAAAAAGAAACTGAAAGACATGCATATATTAGACGCACACAAATGCTGTAACAACAAAAAGAAACATTCAAACAATGAAACATAAAAAACAAGAACAACTAAAGAAAGTTACTCGACTCGTCGTAACAAAACATACAAAATCAACTTAAAAATAGCAAATCCATTTTAGACGAAAAACGAAAACATCAACTTTAAAATAAGAAACACTAAAACATTCTAAAGTAATAAAAAAAATCACAAAAAAGCAACGAAAATCCTAACGTTAAAAAAAAAAAAAAAAAACATACACACTACGCAACAAACACAAAAACAGTAAAAGTCAGCAATGAAATTCCGATTAATCTTCGAAGAGATCATCACTCGGCAGCGAAATTTCGGACCCGTACTTCAGTTTTTTTTTTTTTTCCTTTTGCGTCCTTAAACTTTAGTGGTGTTTTTGTTATCGCCCAAAAACTTTTGTTTATAAGTACACGCAAGACAAATGTAATTAATACGTTGACGTTGGGTGATGTAAACTTGAAGGACTACTCTAGCGCCTAGAAGAAGAAAAAAAAAAAAGATAATAATCTCTTTTTGTTTGACCTTTTTTTTTTGGATAAAACATTATTTCATTTTCTTGATCTCATCTGTCTCGCACTGTCTCGCATTAATACTAATTTAGTGTTCGTTGAAACGTAACTGAAATGTCGAATTGACACAATGTTATGTATCACAATAATTTGAGGATGATCTATTCTTTTATTTTTTCAACAATCTATGTGTACTGAAATTTATATACAAGCAAGAAAGTCTATAAGCACACTTGAACAATGCACACAAAATCAATTTCTTTCAGCTGTTTGGCATTTTGTATCTAACCAAAATGGGAAAAAAAACGAAAATTTAATATGGTTTTCATTTTCTTTCTTTTATTGTTGATGAGTAGTGAAAACTCCACCGATTTTTCTTTTTTTGGTATAATCAAATAACAAATCCTCTGCTTCAAACTCATCACAAACCTTCTCTTCATCGATCCTTCCCATAACCATACAACTGTAATTTCTCCGGAGATCCATTTGTCGTCTCATCGCCGTAGTCTCCACCGTGATTTCTCCGCTGCCGGCGCCACGTGAGCAGCTTGTGACAAACCGGCAACGTTCACGTGTTGTGTTGGCCGAATTTAGGGTGAAGCTACGCGGGAGAACAGTGCTCGGTGCTTCGCATATTTGGAAATTACCGGCCGGTAAGCCAAACCCGCCGGAGCCACCACCACCGCGGATGAAACCGGCAGAACATGACGTCATGCTTCGTATGTAAGCGTCACGTGCCATGATCAAGAAACGAACCGGAGATTTCACCAACCTTGCTAAGTTGCTCTCTTTCTTCATTTCTTTAGCTTTCATGATTTTAAGTGAAATAAAAAATCGAAGATTGTAATGAAAAAAAAAAGTTTATATAAAAGATTACAGAGAGAGAGTGAGAGAGAAAGGAGATGCGAGAAGAGGAAGATGCCGTGAATGATAGACTTCGTTATAAATGCATATTTCATTTCAGAAATAATAATAATTAGAGTATATATAAATGTATCTAGTTGGATGTTTACAGTTTGGTGATACTTATCTTATTAAAAATTTACAAAAATATGGTTCTAATTTAATCTACTTTGTTTAAGTCAAGATAATAAGGTTGAAATTGCAATCTTATGGGCCTGCAGCTTTATTTATTTATTTTTATTAATTTTTTGAAGTATTTATCGTGGACTGTTTAAGCTAAAAAATTGTTTTAAAAATCGATTCAAGCTTAACCTTGCTTAAAATAACAATTGCCAAGGACTCGTCCATATGTCCTTTAAACACGTTATCAAAGAGTACAACCAAAAACTATCAAAGTCGATATTATTATTATTATTAGATGGATTGAGATATGACACCAAATTTCTTCAAATAAAAATACATAAATAATGATAACTACGATGGGAAGTGAAAGATTCATTGGAAGAAAAAAAAAAGAGTTTTAGAAGTATACAAGTGGTAATTACAGTTGACTTGATTTTATCGTAGCGAAACCAGTTTCATTGTCAAGATTTAAAACCAAATTGTCAAATAAGAAAGATTTGCTTCAACTTGATTGGTTTCTATACAGATGTTTCAAAATGGATTCAATATGTTGGCAACTTGAAATGAAAGCAATAAATTTCTCGCTGACATTTCTATCTGCACTTTTATAATTTCTAATTATATAACTTGCCCCACCTATAATAAAGTTTCATATTGACTTTTGAAACTTGTACGTATGATTTTTTGGACGATATTAAATTTTTGATTTTGCATCTTTAACAACAACAACAACAAAATTCCCAATTTTGCATCTTTATCTTTTTGCATGACTTGGGTTGGGCTTCTGAAACCCTAAGATGTACGAAGGCCGTGTGCAACATTTTGGTGTACCATTTCAAAAGGCCCAATAGAAACACATTATTATATTTTTCAGATAATCATAGGCATGATGGTATTACTAACCTAAAGGCTAAAACAGCGAAATGACATTGTTAAATAATCTACGAGTTTAGGGCACGTGACCAGCTTAGCTAGCTACAAGCCTACAATGCTTGAAACAAAATAATGCAATGTAATTAGTTAAATACGACAAATATCAAAAACTCATTTCTAAGTTTAATAATCAAATCCAGTAATTTACCATATTGCAATTCATTCATGGCACACCAGTGAATGATAATACATCCTGATATTTGTTATAGTCATCAAACATTATTTAGAACAACCCTAACCAGGCTGTACTTATGGTCATAGCACCCTATCACATACAAACTGCCATTAATTAGTAATTTTATTATCGTCTAATTGTTTTTTAAAGTACATCACAATCAATCTGAAATTCACATGGTTTTAGTCGTTATTACTTATCACTAACATGTCACATCGAATTAAAACTCTTGCCGGTCCGCTTTAAGTTTACTAGTTTGACCGGGAAACTCAAAACATCACCAACATTGAAATCATTCATTGCCTATCTATATTGATAACAATATAACATACATAATTGAATTTGAATCTTTTTAAGTTGTTGTTGTTGATAATAATAGTGTTCAAAAAATTAATAAAACATATACTTTTAAAGATGAACCGATCAAACAATATAGCAATTTTATCGGAGATTTAAATGTAGCTGGTTCAATCATACTTTTATTAATATAATGTTTACATCAATATAACACACAATTAAGATTGAATCCGTTATATCTTTGCAAAATGTTCTTTCATATTTGAAAACTTGTTTGGAATATCAAAATTCTGAATTTCTGGCATGGTACTCAATTCCAACAAAAACAACACATGGTCTCAGATCTCTCTGCTGACACTCCCATCAATTTTCGCTTATTATTAAAAATTATCTTCGTTTAGTTAAATTTGGATTAAACCATTCAAACAGCATTTATTAAACTTAATCACGATGGATTAGGAACTAAAAAGAGACGTGGAAGGATATAAGTGGTGACAGAGCAGTCAAAGACAACCGAGACACGATCGAGGCGTACAGTCAAAGCAACAACACACTGTCATGGTCAAATGTCTAGCTGGACCTTTTGCATGTCGTGGGCCCCATATTCCTTTATTTACACTTTTTCTTTTTTCTTTTTGGTACCAATCTAGGAAATAAACTTACTATAAAAATTAAAAATATATATGTTCTTACAGAAAAAAGTGGGAATAATTTACGGATTTGTTAAGCAACACATATTTTCCATTTGAATGTTATCAAAGGAGAAACAGTAATGGTTTTATTTTTCATATTTAGTATTGTAATTGTTCTTTCTAGAATATATAGACTCCAAAAGAAAATTATTTATAAAAATGCAAGGCGATTTTCAGATTTTTGTTTAAGAAAACCGAGAGTTGTTTAGTAGTAGGAGAAAATGATAATATGATTCAAATGAAAGGTTAATGAAGTAATTAGGCCTTGAAATGAACGTCGCACGTGCCCTAACCTGTCCTCGTGGGTTTTTGTAGTTTAGTGGTAAGTGTGAGACTGCTAGCAGCTTTTTTGACTTACGTGATTTTCTTTGCTCATCATTCATAATGACCATTATACCCCTCTTTCTTTCTTTTTTTTTTAATTGAGCGACACACTTTACTGTTTTTGATAACACTTTAATTTCATTCACAATAAGAAAAGTGAATGGAAACAAAACAATCAATATAAATATTATTTCTTTTTTGGTAAACTGTGAAGTTTTATACCATTTTTAGTATGAATATTATTATTTGGTCTGAAACTATAAATCACTTCAATTTAAGCTAAAGATGGTCACAACTTATGGGTAAAGTCAAGGGCAAAAAGGGTATCTACCCTCAGCGTTTGAGCTTGCACGTGTGGCTCATGGGTCGAGATGACTCGATAACCGGCTATAGCCTGTGAAACCTCGGTCAACATAAATCTGTGTTTTCAGTTTTCTTTTCATTTTTTAGGTTTTGTCTCCTTTTAATAATAGATTTCCCGAGCAAAAAGAGTGAAAAAGAGAAAATCTTTGGTCCAAACCAAAAGAAACGTTTCCTTTTTTATTTGTCTCTTTGCTTTAATAATTTTCCTCCTCACAGAAACACCCCACAACCATTTTTCTCCTTCTTCTTCGTCTTCACAAATTCGTGAATTTCATCATCTGAGTTCTCTCAAATTCCCTTCCTTTTTTTCTGTTCATAGATTTCAAGGTTTACTCTCGATCTGTTCTTTACCTTAATCTTCTGAAACTCTTTGGAACAATCCAGATTTTTGGTTAGCAGGTGGGAGAGCATTAATCATGTATTTATGATACACTGCTCTATTATTATTACGAGAGTTGAATGTTTCCTTTTTGACCGTTTTTAAAAGCCAAGGAAGAAGAAAGAGTGAAAGACTCTGTCTTTAAAACCTTTTTTTGGGATAAATTTGTCCAAAATGCCAATGTTTCAGCCTTCCAAGACCGGTGGCTTTGATGGGCATATCTTAGATCTACACACGGCCGTTAAAGACGGTGTTCTCAGCGGCTGCGGCGGCGGAGATGGGAAATTTGTGGTAGTTGTTACCGATGAGAAGAAGAAATTGGATTTGAAGAAGATGATTTCTGAGCTGGAATTACCTGAAATACCCTCTGTTTTCATCTGTCCAATCTCTCTAGAGCCGATGCAAGATCCAGTGACCTTGTGTACTGGTCAAACCTACGAGAGGTCTAACATTCTCAAATGGTTCAATTTAGGGCATTGTACTTGCCCAACGACGATGCAAGAGCTTTGGGATGATTTGGTCACTCCTAATAAGACTCTTCATCAATTGATCTACACTTGGTTTTCACAAAAGTATGTTTTGATGAAGAAACGATCTGAAGATGTGCAAGGACGAGCCATTGAGATTCTGGGTACATTGAGAAAGGCTAAAGGGAAAGCAAAGGTTCATGCTTTAAGCGAGCTTAAGCAAGTTGTGATGGCTCACGCTATTGCTAAGAAGACTGTTGTTGATGAAGGTGGAGTCTTTGTGATCTCTTCTCTTTTAAGTCCTTTTACTTCTCACGCTGTTGGATCTGAGGCTATAGCGATTCTTGTTAATCTTGAGCTTGATTCTGATTCCAAAGCTGGATTGATGCAACCAGCTAGAGTTTCGTTGATGGTTGATATGTTGAATGATGGTTCGATTGAAACTAAAATCAATTGTGCTAGATTGATAGGTAGGTTGGTGGAGGAGAAAGGTTTTAGAGCAGAGATTGTTTCTAGTCATAGTTTACTTGTTGGATTAATGAGATTGGTTAAAGATAGGAGACGAAGGAACGGAGTTTCCCCTGCGTTAACGTTGCTCAAATCGGTTTCGGTTCATAAGCAAGTTAGAAACTTGTTGGTTAGGATTGGAGCAGTTCCTCAATTGGTTGATGTTTTGCCATGTTTAGATTCGGAGTGTTTGGAATCAGCTCTTTTCGTGTTGGATTCGTTGTGTTTAGAAAGCGAAGGGAGAATTGCGTTGAAAGATTCGGTTAATACGATTCCGCATACTGTTAGGTTACTGATGAAGGTATCTGAGAAATGCACAAACTATGCGATATCGATTCTTTGGTCCGTTTGCAAATTAGCTTCTGAAGAATGTTCATCTCTTGCTGTTGAAGTTGGTTTGGCTGCAAAGCTTCTGCTTGTGATCCAAAGTGGATGTGATCCAGCTTTGAAGCAACGTTCCGCTGAGCTATTGAAGTTATGTAGTCTACATTATTCAGACTCAATGTTTATCTCCAAATGTAAACTCACAAGAACAATCCAATAAAAGATTAATCAAGATTTCGCCTTTCGGGTCAAAATCACGCGACACACAAAATGGATCTGCCCCATGTTGTTGATGTATATAGATGAAGAAATTCGGATTCCAAGCTATCGGTCTGGTGGTACCTTCGAAGGAGAAGCACAAGGAGTATGAGACAAAGAAACGAGTTTGGTTGTTGAATTCTATATTGCAAAGTGATTGGAATAATAGCTAAGTAGAAGCAAACTGTATAATTCTTTTTGTTATGTTTGGTTCAGTATTCAGTAGACGAATAGATTGAAGAAAGGAATCAATTTTTTTTGGCCTCTTGTAACTTACAAGCTGTTTGTGAGTCATCATAATAATTGGAGAAATTATTGATCTCTATGAATCCTTTTATTTGGTAAATGAATTTGAGACTCTTAATGGTTCTTTGACAAGACTTATTGAGGAAAGACCAAATCTTGATTAAACAGTAGGATTAGAAAACTGAGATGGGTATGTCTCAGATTTTGTGGAGGGGAACAAAAGTCTTATATTGAACATGCATTGGTCTGATTTTTATAATTCACTGTGTAAATGAATGAACAAGTTGAAAAGAAAGGGATGATTTGACTTGTGAATCGTTTCAACAGTTCACTGTTTGTTTATCTCTGTTTTTTATTTAATTGGCTATGAGACTCTGAACATATCTCTGTGAAGTGTGAACAATTGTATCAATGAGTGTGATGTCACTCACTGATGTGATAGCTCTTGTCTGGAAATAAAATCTAAAACACAGTTACCAAATCTGGAAAACAAATCTGTCTCAAGTTAGAAACCAAAAAAGAAAAGAAAAAAAGCTTCTGCGATATCTAAAGATGGGCCTTAATTGAACTATATGGGCTTTTATCTAGGCCCAGTAATATTTGACGGCCAATTAAAACGTCGTCGTTGGCTCCAAATTGGAATTACTTCAAAACGACGAAATTCGTATAATAAGATAAAGATTAAAAGATTTAAATATAGATATTATTTAGATTGATTGTAGACGGAGCTCTCTCATTATCTCTCTCTCAAGTTTGATTTGCTTCAGCTGAAACAAAAAGATCACGATCGCAATTTGTGTGTGTGAGCGAGAGAGATTCAGATATGGCTTGGTTAGCTAGATCCATTGCGAACTCACTCAAGCTCGATGAGGAAGATGAAGATGATCAAAAGCATCTGAATCAACCGTCGTCGGAATCTGTATCGGATTCACAGTCTCCACGAGGCGTTAAGGAAGACATTACCGAACTTACCAAGACCTTGAGAAGCCAATTTTGGGGCGTAGCTTCGTTCCTTTCGCAACCTTCTTCATCTCCGGATCTTCTGGAGAGAAATCAAACTCCCGATCACGCGGAGGAAGGTGAGGAAGAAGACGAGGATCTGATTGCTGGGATTAGGAACGATTTCGCGGAGATTGGTGGGAGATTCAGGACTGGGATTTCGAAGCTATCTGGGAACTTACCTGTGTCTGAGTTCACAAAGATCGCTTCGAATTTCTTACAATTGAATTCAGAAGATGTGGATCCGAAAGATTACGACGTAATCGGAGTTACAGAGGAATTAGTTTTGTTTGTGAAGGATCTTGCGATGCATCCTGAGACTTGGTTGGATTTTCCTTTACCTGATGATGACGACGATAGCTTTGATGGTAAGTTTTAGTTGCAGATCTTTCCTTAGATATGCCAAAATTGTTTCTGTGAAGATCAAATTGGTTTCTCAGTGTGAGAAAATCAACTAAGAATAGTGAAGTTCAAGTTTGATTTTGTTTCGGTTTATATGTTTTCATGATTTTGTTTCAGACTTTGAAATGGGCGATGCTCAATACGAGCACGCTTTGGCTGTGGAAAGGCTAGCACCGAGCTTGGCTTCTTTGAGGATTGAGCTTTGCCCTGAATATATGACTGAGAATTGCTTCTGGAGGATTTACTTTGTTCTTGTGCATCCTAAACTCAGTGAAGATGATGCCTTGATTCTCTCCACTCCTCAGGTAACTTGGATTCTCAACTCCATTGCTCACTAATGTCTACCTATTTCGTTGTTTTCAAGTTTATACCTTTCACATTGTATATAGTTGTAATCCTATGGCTTATGCAAATTATACTCTTCTAGAAAGTATAATGGTAATCGAATTTGTGTCAAAACAGTGATCCTCATTAGCGAATCAGGTTTCCTTGGATATAGTTTGATCATTTATTGTTCCTGCCACTTAACTTTTTTTTGCCTTTGCATATGAAGGTACTCGAAGCAAGAGCAATGTTATCTCACGAACTGCAGAAAAGAAACAAGTTACCTGTAGAAGCAGGGAGTTCTTCTGAAACTAATGCTGTCATTGTGGAACCTCTTACTGTGCCTCCTTATGAACCTTCACCGGAATCAGGAACTGTCAAAAACGTAAATCCAGTCGACTTTGAAACAGACAAGCACCCAATTGAGAGCAAAGAGATACAAATTGTTGACAAATCTGTCATTGAAGAAAGAAGCACATCAACTGCTTCTTCATCTAGATTTATCAACGTGCACGTGGATGACGAAGAAGAAGACGATGCAGATGATTGGTTGAACGATGAAGAGACTTCATCTGTTAGCGCCATTGAAGGAAGATCAACCTCAAATCATCATCCTCTTGGGGAAGACGAAGAAGATGTATCATTCAGTGATCTAGAAGAAGACAACGATGGTGAATCAGACGTGAAAGTGAGTTACAAGAACGTTACTAACTCTGGTTCTGATTCTTCAGACAAAAATTCACCAGATTGGGTTCAGCTAAAAGAGGTAAAAGAGGAGAAAAAATCAAACGACTGGCTTGATGTTGATGCAGTGTGAGGGACCTCCAATGTTTCTTTTGGTAATATATAACATTACATCTACGTCTCCCAGATATCTTATGCTTCCGTTAAAAATTTGCTGTGAATAGTTTTTATATACCATTTCATCAAAACCAATATATAAGAAGGCCCTAGTAAAAAACTGCAATGTTTGTATATAAGTCGAAGTTTATTCGCAAAAAAAAATGATCAATATTTCTAAGTAACGAGGACAAAACTGGTCTCTCTTATCTGATATCTCGAGACAGCTTAAGACAAAACAATAGTAATTGAACACAAAAATAAGATACAACATTCGTTAAAAGGCTTGTACCATGACGTTGTCTTGGTTCTTGTGCAACTGTATTTTTTAGTCTTGGTGCTTTTAGTACCTCTCGAACTTGCTTTTACCGCCGCGTCTACCACCACGACCTCTGTTAAACTTATTAACCGGTTCTCTCTTACTCTTGTACCCTCCTCGATCTGTCTTCAGAGCAACTTTGGGAGGATCTGAGAAACCGAACGAAGCCGCAACCTCCTGCACATAAACAAAGATTTTCGGTTAACGTTTTAAATCACATTGAAGAAAAAAGAGACAAATTGTATTCCTGATTTCATGAGGTCTCGTTATGTAATGTATGCTGCAGATTTGGTTACCTTGAGATCGAGTCGGTGAACATTAAAGACATCTTTCATAGAGTGAGAATCATATCCTGAAATGTAAGTCTTGTATGCTTCTTTTGCTGACTCGTTTAATGCATAGTTTTTAGATATCAAATCCTCCTGCAATAACATTTTAAACAATCTCTCAACTTTTGTTTCTTCAGTGTAGTAAAAATTTTCAGAAAGAGCAAAAATGATTTGATTTTACCAGAAAAGATTTCACGTCGAGCAATTTCCCTTCTTCAAATTCATGTTCCTCAACAGGAATTTTCGCCGCCTGCAAAATATACAGTCGGAAACAGATTCTTTTATCAAAATTTCTATGATTTGAATAATATCACAGTTTATCACTTTATTGAATGAAAAAAATTTACCTTGAGATACTGAATAAACTGTAACTCCTCTGGAGTAAGGACAAGCAGAGCCTTTCCTTTTGCTCCTTCTCCACGAGCTGTTCTACCAACTCTATGAATATATTCCTAAATCAAAAGTGACATTCAAGAATCTTAGTTTTTATTCTCACGCGTGTTTGCCTAAATACTTGAAATTATAAGCAACATACCGTTGGGTTATCTGGAGGATCATATTGCACAATCCAGTCCTATACAAGCAGAAAATAATCAAAGAGATTTGATTAAGACCAACCAATTCAGATTATTAAAACATTAAAACGGTTAAGGAAGCATACCACATGAGGAAAATCAAGACCTCGGGCAGCAACATTAGTACACAACAAAATACCGGTTTCCGCCTTGATGAATTGGAATAATGTTGAAGTTCTTTTGCTCTGGTCTATCCCTCCACGGATTTCAAGGCAATCTAATTTGATATATCGAAAGAGTTCGGCGTGGAACTTTGTCGATTTGCATGTAGAGAAAAACACCATGATTTTCTTTTTCCCATGGAATCTCTTCAAGAAAGTAAGTAAAAATAATAACCGCATCCCACTTGGCACAACGCAATAACCTTGCTCCAAGCCTTCATTTGTAACCTGCAGTTTCCAGTTTTCACATATTTTAAGAAGGCCTGTTTTGGTCATAAAGTAAAATGCGAGAAAAGATAATGGAAATTGTGTTAATAGCTACCGTTTTTCGTCCTTCATCCACATCGATATAAACAGGTGAGGCAAGTGACACCCGAGCAAGATCCTCAACCTGATGGTTTAATCAAGTTCCACTAATTTTAATAAACTGACACTAATAAAGAATTAAGTGAAAAAACTATACTGATTGGTAAACATACCTTTGCGCTCTGTGTGGCGGAAAACAGTGACGTCTGTCTAGTCTGCACCAATACAAAAAGACGGTTTACCATTATCAACAACACATTGACATGAAAAGAACTTTACACATCTCTTTGGTTCAGATTAAACTACGGTATTGAATCGGTTACTCCACTATGCAAGCAGCGAGAATACCTTTGGTAGAAGCTTAATAATCTTCTTCAGGTCCTCTTCAAAGTTCTGTTCCAATATCCTATCAGCCTCATCCATTACAAGAAGCTGCAATTTAACACAGATTAAGAGTTGCAGTAAATCAATACCATGACGATACCAGTAGTACCCAAAAATGAAATCAGAATTTGTGTTTACCTTCAAGTTCTTGAATACAAAACCATTTGTATTCTCAAGGTGGTCGAGAAGTCTTCCAGGGGTTGCTACTAATAAATTAACACCTTTCGCAAGAATCTCAGCTTCTTTCTTTCTGTTCTCACCGCCAATAACTTTTCCCACAGTCTGTGAATGATACTTAAGAAGTTCTTTTGCTACTCCATAAGACTGAAACATTAATGATGTATAATAAGTATCACTCTTTTGCAGATTCTAATGATTATATGTAGAAAAGTGTGAGAGAATTAGGACCTGAATAGCAAGCTCTCTTGTTGGGCAAATGACGATAACACCAGTTCCATTGCGAGGAGTAAAACGAACATGGTATAAAAGCTCTGCAGCAGGAATAAGAAAAGCTAAAGTTTTACCAGAACCGGTCCTGGCAGCTCCAAGTACATCTTTTCCCATCATCAATGGTGGAATTGCTTTTGCTTGTATCTGCAAAGTGTTGAAATTTGTAAAAGATCGAATCTTTGCTATACAAAAAACATAAGATTCAATTCCTGAATATTACCTGAGTCATGCGTGCAAAACCCATCTCCTTGATAGATTTATAAGTGTTATCAGATAATGACAATGACTCAAATGTTTCATTAGTCATTATACTTGTTTCCTCCACTTTGTTTTCTTCCTTTTCTTCTTCTTCAGACTTCACTTCCTTGTCCTTCCTCTGTTTCTTCTTCTTCTTCGGCTCTTCTTCTGTTATCGCTTCGTTCTCTTCGTCATTACTATCTCCACACTGCTTTAGCTTCTTCTTCTTCTTCTTCTTCTTCTTCGATTCTTCGTCAATTAACGGTTTGTTCTCTTCGGCATCAACATCTTCATGCTCGGGCTGCTCTAGTTTCTTAGCTTCGTCTCTCGCTCTTTTTTTACTCTTCTTCTTCTTAATCTCTTCGTTTTCGGATGAATGCTGCTCCAAATCCAAATTCGCCATGTTCGAGTGTTTAGAAAGACAAAAAAATTGGGGCTTCTCTTCCGCTCCCGCTCAGAAATTAGGGTTTTCTATGTATCTTCTTCGAATTCGAGAGTGTTCTAATGTGTTACTCTGTTTACCGTCAAATTAGGGTTTATAAAAATCTCTCTAGTTTCCGTTCCCGTTTTGCCCTTGCATTGACTTGTTAATTGTTTCTTTGTCACATTCAATAGCTAAGCCAAACCGAAATTGGTCTACAATATGTGATATTGAGCAAATTTGATACGAAGTTTAAACAACCTAAGAGTGTCACAGTTTTGATCGAATGAGTCTATCTGAATTAGTTCACATCTAAAACCAATTATACGAATTTCATTCAAATCTGCAAATATTCCTAAATCAGCTATATTTACAACGATAATCACCACAACGAGAGAGGCAAAAACCCCTAAATAATAAACACTTCACAACGATCTTATAGACGTTGACAGTCTCTCTAACTTAGACCAAAACAATCTCCCAATCGACGACTTAGCTTTGTTTTGCTCCACACTATCACTCGTCGAACCCATCCTCGTAGGCATCATCCCAACCGCTGACACAACCGCCCCACCTAATTCTCGTACAACCGCTTCAACCGCATTCGGATCCGTCTCACCACCATTCACATCCGTAACATAAAACGAGCCAACCGCAATCTCACCTTGCGTGCACATCTCAGCTCTCGTTATCGATAAACCATTTTCTCTCACGACTCTGGTCACATCCGACAACAAACCCATCTTATTCTCTGTCCGAATCTCCAGTTTTAAACCCTGGGAAGCACGTCTCGAAATCGCAGCTACCAAACAATGCCTTAGTCTTTCTCTTTGCACTTCCGTTTCTAACGTGCACCCGTTCTTCTTTCTTATGAAATATTCTTGCTCCGCCGTGGAGCCTTTAGCTCCGGCGACGGCGTGAAACACTACGAATTGTAACTCTTTCAAAGCACACACCGTGTCGAAAAGTAGTTTTGGTCTGTCTCTACACTTAACATTCACCATTGAATAGCCATTACATGCTTCGATCGTCACGTGTATCCTCTCGCATCTTCCTCTCCACAAAGCATCGCACCTGTTACATGTATCGAAACGAAGCTAAACAGATTATTATTTTGCCATTGATGATTATAAAATAACTTCGTATAAATTCAAACGCACCTGTCTCCGAAACAATCGCAATCGAAGCAATTATCGTAATCTCCTTCGCCGTACATTAGCTCATGAAGTCGTCGCTCAGTGTGAGCCCACCCGACCGGAGCTCCTTTAGCCTCGACAACCCTCACGACAACATGAGACACATCGCCAACTCTGTGATGGGCTTCCATGACTGTATCAAGATGATCCTTTACTTGGGCCGTTCTTATTGGGTCGATTATAGGCCCACCGTTAAACCCGTCTTCTAGATAAATCACCATCGCCGCTCGCTCGTGGTGGGTCCATGCCACTGCAGCCGTCACGTGACATCCAATGTCGGAAAGTACGGCAGATATCTCGGACAGTAGACCCGGTCTGTTGATTCCGGTTATCTCAAAGGCCGTGTGCTCTGTTGACACGTGGCGCTGTTGCACCTCCCGTTTTAGATTACTCTGCATCTCCTTTGTTATACCTCCCGTTCTACTAGAACATATTGCCTGAATTAAACAAACCAAAAATCATTAATAATCAATTGTATTAAAACAAGTAAACTCAAGAAGATAATTAGATACGTCCAAAAAGTACCCAAAAAAAAAACAAAAAACTAAACGAAACTGTTACATTTAAAGAGTTCGTCATCTTTAGTTAATGATTTTTTCGGTTACTTAGTAATTTTATATGATTTTCCCTTAAAAATGATTATTTTACTAATGATTTTTATTCAAACCTGTTGAATGTAGAGAATAAGGCTTCGGTCTGTGAGCTTGTTTCCGAGTTGGTCCGTCACGTGAAACACTAACAAAGAGAAATTTCAGATGTGATGTCATATATGTGGTCCACCATGATGACATGTGAATGAAGATGATGACGACTTACCATCCATGAACCATTCACCATCAGATGAGATGTAACATTTGGAGATAACGAGATCAAGATCGGCCAACACTTGAACCATGTCCAGTAATATCCCGTACTTGTTCGCGCTATCTACCTACATATATCAACCACATGTTTAATTAAGGCTAATTAGTCCCTTTAACTAATTAGCATGATATTTATCAAGAGCTTTTATATATACCTTAATAAGTGTGCACTCTGGGTCTGAGTCGTTGTCTACACAAACCCTAATTAGCGCACAAAACCAGTATTATTAAGATTAAAATTACTTATAAAAAAATATCTAACATAATGAGAAAAATATTAATAAGGTACTAACCTGGGAGGATTGATTCTCTCGACGAGTGATTCGATCTCGGAATCAATCCGAGGCTGATAAGCTATTTCCATCATCTTATTTAATACGGCTGATACTAATTAAATAGCTCTCAAAATCCAACCTATGTATCACACAAACATACATGTTTTTTAAGTCAAAGAAGAAGAAAGCAACGTATCAAAATTGTTTGTTATAGCAAAATTGTATAATAACACAATTAAACGAGGTTTTAAAACGTTTAATGATTATATTAAACTTAACGATAAATAAGAAGCCGCCGACTTCTACGGTATAGAATCAAATCTGAAACTACTTTTTCTCTTTACATGTCAGAAATCAAAATCAGATTACAAATTGCTTAAGATATTCAAAATTAACCTGTTATTTACCAAAAGTCCTACTTCTAATTTCAGGAGAACTCTGGTTGTTTATGTTAGATTAAGATTAATCATAACTTGGAAGAATAGTTGTTCGCGTAGAATCAACTCGCATTGGAAAAATAACTGGAATACGAACAGAGCAATGAAAAAGCGTAAGACTAACCCAAAATTGTAAACTCAGGAGAGAAAACAATAAATATTCGGTTCGGTCTTTGACCACACGATTCCCATATATGAGAATCCGAATCGTCTTGAAAAAACCAGAGAGAGTTTTGTAATTTTCTCAAGAATTTCAAGAACGAAAAAATAATAATAATAAAACGAAGAGAGATACCTGAGAGTTGAGATTCTGATTGAATAGAGACTAATGGAAGAAGAAGAAGAATCCTAAAAACGGAGAGAGATTCTCTTGAAGAAAATTTATTTTATTTTTTTGCTACAAAAGAGGAGAAATAGTTGTGTTGTTGGACGAGAAAAAGAGAAGCCGAAACTGATGCCAAATCGTATCTATCATGTACTTATCATATCTACGCAGAACATAAAAACACTTATACATACACATGATATATTTATAGCTATACACATACATGTAGGATACATTATTTTTTTGTCAAATAAATCCCATCTTTTACTTTTTTGACAAATGCATCCCATCTATATATTACACAATCTTTGCTATTTGGTAAACTTTTTAATTTTCTGACACAATATGAGATTTTATGGTAAAATAAATATGATAAACCAAAATCAAGACAAATTAGTAAAGAAGGAGATATTTTCTTATAAATGGTTTTTTCAATTATTTGTGGTAATTAAAGGAAAGGTAAAATATAGAAGAAGGCTGTTGATTCTCCTTAACCTTAGGATCATGGAACCACATTACCAAAAAAAAATCATTAGAAAAATAAATATAAAAAGAACATGCAAATTTTGCAAGATGATGAGGTGTATTAGCGACCAACACAAGATTTGCCACATGTAACGATTTAAAGCCACGTGGCAATATGGGTGGACTCTAGAGAGACGCGACGGCTCGCCTCTTCCGAATCGCAAGAATCAAACTGTCCACGTGTCAGACTTTCATTTCAGGTGAATTTCTTTATTTTGGTCTACAATAATAAAAAGTTAAAAACTAATTAGTAATTTCACACTCGTTTATTGACATTTCAGCAGGAACAGTAATTTGTTGCAAATAATATTATATTGATGTATAAAATATTTTTAATGTGGCCCGACCACACAATAGAGGCCCATTCCAGTTGTATATTTCCTTTTCAGTGGCCTAGTTTATACAATTAATAAGTTTTGCTTATTATAAGAAATTAACTATAAAATAAGTTAATTATACCATTTAATAACTAAGTAACTTTCCCCATTTTTAGATTAGTAAATTAAATTTTTGTAAAAGATTGTATTAACCACTGTTTTTAGTAATCTATCTATGAGACTATGACATGTGCCAAGTTATATTGGTGTTAGGATTTTCATTTATAATTTGTTCAAATTCAAAATGATGATGTTTGGATGCCGGTTATCACTGCCGGTGCCGAAGAGAGACTTAACTTCACAGCCTCTTTTGATGATGATGATCGAGGAGCTTTCTAAGAAGGATACTATATCAACAAGAGCAGCTCTTAATCCCATTTTTCTTTTTTTGATAATCTGTGAAATGCAAGGCACTTTCTACATTTGTTACACTGTTTTGCTTTTTTTTTGGTATGTATCACCTACTACAAAACATTAACAATGCTTCCTTGCAAACATTTGTCGAAGCTCTTCTTTATGATCCGTAATTCAAATCACAGTGATTTACATAACTCTGCTCGTAAATACTAAATAGTACAAACATCTTTAGGTTGATGATGAATCTGAGCTCTTTTCAATGACTTCCTTGGCAACAACAGCTTCTTCTCCTTCGAGCTTCTCTTTCCAGTACTGATCAAGAGGAGGCCCGAAAATCGCTTTCCCTGAAACCACACCAATCCTGCAAGCAAAACAAACATATTCAGATTGCTTCACTATCTATAGTAACGAATGAATCAGACATTTGACAAATTTCAGGAGATTATAGCATTTGGGCTAAATCTCGGTTAAGGCAATTTACATAAAACCTGATCTGATATTGCTAAAGTAATGATCTTTTTCTACTTACTTTTCAGAAAATTCAAGTCCAATCCTCAAAAAAATCATCTCGAATTCTACCTTATTGACTACTTACAATGCTCAGATCGATTCTATTAACTAATGAAAAAAAAAAACTTAATTCAAGTTGGAAAATCGAGTAATCTACAATTTTCTATTTCTATATCATCTCCAAAAGCCAATAAACAAAAATCTACCAGAGGAAACCATAATCATAGAGCATTCAAGATTTAGATTTTGGCCTAATTATAAGATAAAACGACTACTTACACAACTGCTCCGACCACCATTGGCAAAGACAGAAACCTGTTCCTCCGAAACATTATGAAAGATTTGATAACGGTCGCCGCCGATCGATCCAATCTCCGGCCGTTCGCGACGAATCTTGGACCCTTATAAGTAAGGGTTTCCAGAACAGAGTTGACGTGTCAACTTTTATATGGGCCTGGCCCAATTTTAGATGTAATCGAACATTTAGGCCCATAAGAAAGCCTTTTCCTTTTATGTCAACGCCCTTACACAGGAGGAAAAATAAATAAAAGAGGAGGGACCATAAATAATTGGGGAAAAATGTCGTTTAATAGCCGAACTTTCAAAAAATGGCCGTTTAATACGTGAACTTCTTATATGGCCAATTTAAACATGAAGTATTCGTTGACCAGGTCAAAAACCACACGCCGTTATATGTCGTTAACAGATCCGATAATAACCGTTAACGATTCTGTTATTACCTAAAACGACGTCGTTTTAGGCTTAATCGAAATCCCTAAATCCCCAAATCGACGTCGTTTTCTTCGTTTTTGACGCCGGCCACGAGCTTTGTCTCCGATATTCGGTTGAACTAGAATTCCATCTCTGCCACCTGGCTCTGAAACGCTTCCGCCGGTGGAGCTTGAACTCCGTCTCCGACAACAATCTCAGATTCGCCTCGAGCTTCAACTCCAGCATCCACAACACTCTCTGCTTCGCCTCGAAAATCGGCCTTAAAGTTCTAATTTTAGGGATTTTTCAGAATTAGGGATTTGAAAATCAATTTGGAGATTTTCGGGGTTTAGATTAAGCCCAAAACGACGTCGTTTAGGCAATAACGTAATCGTTAACGAGAGTTAAACGGCTGTTATCGGATCTGTTAACGACAGATAACGGCGTGTAGTTTTTGGCCTGGTCAACGAATACTTCATGTTTAAATTGGCCGGTCAATGTTTACGTCATGTTTAAATGGCCATATAAGAAGTTCACGTATTAAACGGCCGTTTTTTGAAAGTTCGGCTATTAAACGACATTTTTCCCTAAATAATTGTCACCGACTTCTTTCCTTTCTCCATTTGAAACTTGTGATTCTGACCCTTTCCAAAACTCTATAGCAATAGTTAATTTCTCCTACTTTTGAATTGTTAAATCAAGTATAATTCGTATGATGCTAAAAATTATTAATCAAACTAATTCTTTATTTATGTTGAGTATTTCATGGTAAACAAAATGTGTGTATGTCATTATTGAGAAGTTTGTAGTTATACTTTTAACATCCACACATAATCGCAAAGCAAATATGTCTCTATATACATTTATAGATGTAGGTGTGTCATTATTTGATAGGTGTATGCTTTTATTATCTTTAATGCGTGTGTGGTATGCTGAGAAACTGATGCTATCAAATGAGGGATTCAATCTTCACAAAACAAAGAAAGTCAGCTTCTTTCATTTAAGACTAAAAAAAAGAAGAATACAAAATGAGATGAGATTGTTTGTTTGACAAAAAAATAATAATGAGATGAGATTAATTAGCTTCTCTGTGGTCTGCAAGAAGACACTAACTATATCTCAAATCTTTATTAACGAAGGAAAAAAGAAGCGTAGTTCAATAATTGAATAATTTTATACGTATAAATATTCAGATTAAGTGACAAAGATACAATCAGTCTGTGAAGTAGTTTGGTTAATAATTAAGAAAGTACAAAGTGCAACAATATTAAGATGCTAATTATATGGATACATCATTATATATGGATTACTAATCCAACAATATTAAGAATTGCTAATTGATCATTTAGGGATTATGGTCTTGAGTGTAGATGTAATCAGTGTGAGCAACTAAAGTTCTTCGTATTAAGAAGCATTCTTCTTCTCCAACACCTTCACAGTTTTCCTCTCCTTGTTCCATTTTCTGCACATAAAATATATATATATATACCCACGTGACTAAATTGTTAATCTCGATTCTCGATAATAATTCCTTTTTTTTTAATGGAAATCAGATAATCTTGAGCTGAAACCAGAGTAGTCTTTCATTTTTAGGAGAATTGTATAGCTTTGTTATTTAAAGCATTTTCGATCATATTTCTTAATTCACTATATATAGAGCAAATATATGAACACATAAATTAAACACCATGAGAATGAGGTTTAAGACCTTGACGGAGATATCTTCAGGGTAAACGGAGGTTGGAGTGAGCCGGGCTGATGCGTGTGTTAGCGTGGAGCAGAGAAGAAGAGCGATGATGAAGAAGAAAGTTGTGAACTTAGCCATTCTTTTATATGACTGCGTATGATACGTACAATTCTTGCTATAACTATGAATCAGAGATCAAATATATTTAGAGAGTTCTTAATAAAGATGAAGAGGAAGATATGAGGGATTTAAGTTATGTAATTGAGGCGTATTTATAAAGAAAACATGAGATGAGATAAAAGTTTATGCAGAAACGTGAGCCATATAATCTTGAGTTTGAGTAAGTGAACGTCATGAAACCATTACCATACCGAACACGCACATGTATATTATTATTTATTAAATTCTCTAATGGAGTTTTGTTTGTATATAAATAGTTAATGTCGACAAGAAAAAAAAAATATCCAATGAGTGTTCTTGGTTGGTTAATCAGTCTGTTTTGGTGAAATTTATCAATATGAAGTCAACTACATTTTAACTTATTTTTCTACTTACATTTATATATCATGTTCATATAATAAATTTTACCTTAATGTTGAAAAAAAAAGTTGGTGACGGATGTATCCGTATTCAGTATACTGAGATCCACCCAATTATTCTCACGTGAAGTTAACTGCAGATATGTGATGTTATATATTATTAAAATAAAAAACTTTTATAACCAAAATATATACATTTCTCAATTCTCTGGTTAAGTGAATATAATGGGATTCTATGTGTCCATGAATTTCCTACGATAAAGTGGGATTCTATGTGACTTTTTATGTTGTTCACTAATTTTTTTGTTTATAAATTAAATTTATGGTGAAAGGAGATATATAAAGTACTGTTTATATTTGACGTTTTCATCCATGTCTATAGTATTTCATCATATACACATGTTATGTTATAGTGTTATGAAATCATGTTCACTTTTTGAAAGATAGTTGATATGATAATTAAGAAGGGTCCATCGTAATGAAAATAACATTCTGCAAAAAGTCTGGTCAATAAAAGAGGGAAAAAGGGCTCCGCAAGCAAGATTCGTTTCAAACATGGAAATTATTTAGTTCTATCCACACACACGTACGGCATATTATATATATGCTTATTAGCCTTATTCAACAATTTCAATTGTTTTGTTTTGTATTCTTGTAAATCAAGATCAAGATTAATCATCAGTGAACTATATATAGGCCTTCATTTAACTTGGGCCTATCTTCTACTCTATTATATGATTTAGGTATTGGCCCATTTCAGAACAGCTTGGGGTTTATTTTTGTCAATATTTTTTTTTTTTGGACAAATTTCTTTTTGTCTAAATTCGTGTTATATATTCACTATAATGTCACGAGCAACTTGGAACTTGGAAAGTTAAAATTAGTTTGAAATCATGAAAAATGTTGATACCGGGAAAGATCTATTCTTCCAACTATGTTTTTTCTTACAAATCCGGATCCAATATTGGTCGAGAGAGTCAAAAGTAATTGATGAAATTTTAATAGTTAGTTTTAAAATTTGTAAGTTTTGTGACGAATTAATTTTAAATGAGAGGCTAAGTATAGAACTTGAAAATTTGATAACTTGATAATATATAGTGAAATATATACATATTTTAAAGTTGGTGTGCACATGAATGCCTATAAAGTGGAAAGTGTTTTGTCATGCTTTTATTTTAAAATTTTTGCATTTTGTGCAGCTTTGAACGCAGCTTTGCCGTTAAGAAAACTACCTTCAAGAATACTCTCCTTTTTTATTCAAGGATTTGTTTTTTGGTTTAATATTCCAAAATTAATCACGCCTTTATATGTACAAGCTAGTTAATCTATAATGTTTTGTTGTTGTAAAATCAAGTCATAATACCTAATATCGTAAAATCCACTATATTTAACATGTGATTTCTTTACCGGTTTAAGAAGATGAACGGACTTTTGAAATATAATATATTATTTTGCATGTATAGATTAAATCATGTGATTTCTTTTCTTAAAACTTGATGTATGCATAGAATTTCAAGAACCAAAACATATAGTCCGTCAAACTAAAAGTTCTAAAAGCAACTTTAAGTTATCTTCAACTTACATTATAAAAAGTTACAATGTTATCGAAATAGAAACAAACCACATGGCCGTCAATTTCTAAAAGTGAATAAATTATTAGCTAGAGTATCGTTGAAGGCTATGAAGAGGAAGAAAAAAAAAAAGCGTGCGATAGGTTAACAGTTTTATAGTATCAATTTAGGAACGTTTTTTGTTTATATGGTTTACGATGGTATTTAGCTAGTGAAGAAAAAAAGAAATTAATTTCAGAGCCATGCATGAACATGATGCATCTTATCTACGCGGTCGAATCCATGCAGACATCAACATATGACATATCCATTGGTAATGTTTGGAAAAAAAAATTGTGAAATGAAACTCTTCCTAGTCCATCAATATTTTTGTGATTAACAGATCATAAGATTCATAACCATAATATGATTAAAAAAAGAATTGGAACTTCCGCTTAAAAATATATATAACAAAATAAACTGATATCTTCCGTATAGAATTTAAAATTTTAAATCCAAGGTTTTATTGGCACATTTGTCAAACAATCTAGAAAATAAAAATGTTATTTTCCACTATGAAAAAGCTGTTATCCAAACCAAAGCAAAACTTGTTTTTTTTTTTTTTTTTTTTTGTCGGCAAGCAAAACTTGTTTTATCCGCTCATAAAAAGATATTATTACTGGCAGATGGGTATTATTTATCATTTTCATATATTTTATATCTCGAGCACACATAAATCACTAATGTACTCAGCTGAGTTTATATTAAACAGTATACAATACAAAGTTAAATTGTGTTCTATAATTAAATATTTGTGACTTTTACAAGTATTTTGGAACCGAATATTCGGAATAAAAAGTTACATGCGTAATGAGCCAGAATGACAAAGACCACCTCGACTTACTTTATATGCTACGTCTAATCCCGTAATGACACGTGTTCATATACAGTTGCTTACTTTAATTTTATTTTCTGGAAAAATGAAAACAAGACTTTCATAAGATATGACGAAACTAACCTTCATGTATAGTCCCAAGAGCCCGTCCATAAATATGGACCTCCTACAATGCAATTCTTCCCTTTTCCCCTTCTACTCTCTCTTACATCTACGTTTTGAGATAATTAAATTCTCTTTCGGTTTATATTTTGATAAGCATTACTATGCCTACATTTTCTCCGGTTTTTTCATCTGAACCGGTTTTTGCCAATCATGTACCGGCTTTGGAAACTGGCTTCACCCCATGGGACGCATCCGATCTATTCTCCATCTTCAATTCACCGGTTAGTCCCATGGAAATGAATCCCGGTTTGGAAAAAACAAACCCAAGTCAAATTCAAAACCAAAGTTATTCCAATCCCGGTTTGGAAGATAAACCCTTGGACCCTACCGGCTCGAACGATGTCGATGAGCGGCGAAAGAAACGTAAACTATCAAACCGGAAATCAGCTCAGCGGTCGAGGATCAAGAAACAAAAACACCTAGAAGACGTGAGAATCTCACTTAACAAGCTCAAGATCGAGAACCGGGAACTAGAAAACCGGCTCCGATACGTTTTGTCTCATTGTCAACGTGAAAAGATGGAAAATGATAGTTTACGGTTGGAGCACCGTGTTCTCCACGAGAAGCTGTTGAACTTACGACAAGCTTTGGTCATGCGCCAAATCCAACAGAGCTCAACGTGTGCTACGTGGTCATGTATTAATAGTACCGTTGTAACGGTCCAACAGAATCCATCGATAATATAAGAAATAACGTAATTTGAGATTTAGAAACATAATATGCATCGTTTTAGACCAAGACGTATTATATATCATGAGATACTAGGAGTCTTTTTTTTTTTTTTTTTTTTTTTATATAAAGTACTAGGAGTCTTTTCTACTTCTTTTGTAAACAAATTCCGAGAAGCAATAATTTTAGTGATCAAACGCTATTGTTTTATGAGGGAAATCATAATATTTTGTTATACAAATCTTTCTCTTTTTACTTATTTTTATTTTATAAACGGGTTATCATATCGATAAGATAATCAGTACTTGTCACTTAATTCGCCTCAACTTCATATATAAATCAGAATTCGTGGATCAATTTGGTTCAAATACACCTCTGAAGATTGATTTCGAATGTTTAATTAAGTTTTATAATTTTTATTACATAATCAAATTTACTTTAATTTTGAAAAGTCACATATTAGTAAAATAGGTTGAGACAACGTCGTCATCCCTATCCTATTAGCTTTACTAAAGTTGTGAGTGCATATGTTTCATTTTTACTAGCCATAGCGATTCACATTCTTTATTAATGTGCAATGTATACAACTTTTTAACATGTATGTGGATTTGTTTTCTTACAAAGTTAGGAGATCAAAGACAGCGATATATGGTTGGATGACTTCATCGGTCTACTAGTCACGTTTTCATGTCTTGATTAGGCGCATCACCTCTATATGTTCGATTCTTTAGTACCGATTTAATGGATTAATAGTTTATGAGGTTGATTACATATAACAATAAGAATTACTTAAAATGGATCAAATAAAGACAAGTCTTTGGTAAAAGATAAGTTTTAAGAAAGTCCAAAAGGTTCTTAATTAAATTCGTTAAGAAAGAAAAGCAAAAGTTAACTTTCTACAAGAAATCTATATATCTCTCTTTTTATTTTCAAATATTTTTGCTTTTTTTTTTAAAACCAATCTTCCACATTATGTTCTAGGATATTTTTGTGTTGCAACATCCTCAATCCATCCAATGAAAGTGTCTCTTTATTCTAGTGTTTGGGAGAAAAATCAAGAAAAAACTAGCGAGAGAGCCTTCCACAGTTTTATTTCAACTCTGGTGAACTAATAGAGGTCCATAAATACAGGCCCATTTATGTAGTTATAGCCCATAAAAGTCCAATGAAACCCTAGCTCTAGCCGACTATAGTCACCGTCGGGTATATATATAGCCATTAAACACTTCTCTTCAAACATTAGCCTTGCTACTCACAAATTAAAAAGCTACGCCTCCTTTATTCTTTTTTCTCGTTTAGTTAGTATTTTCGTTTTTAGTTTCTTTCTTGATTTATGTGGTTTTATTTGCCAAAATTTGATCGGAGAAGAGAGCGATGATTATAAAAAACAAGATTAAAATTCTGATCTGCTCTATTACTGGGCATGATAGACTCATATACACCCATAGAATATGAGCTCTCTTCTCAATCATCTATTTGTTGATTCCAGATCTTTATAAATACGTTTATGTTCCCTGAACTAACAAAGGGAGTCTGGCTTAGTTAAAGTGTTAAGCAACTTGTAAATTCATCAAATTAATTTTGTAACTGAACATCTGAAGAGTTTGAAATGTTTTAATAAATTCAAGTTATAGTTCATGATAAGAAATGTTTGTCCAAGTGTTATATCACGATGGAAAATTTGCAATAAACAAAACAAGGCAAACCGTTGGAAATAAATTGGACGTTTTATGAACTTTACCATGAGAAAAGAAGACGGGTTGACCTATCCTATTGTTAACCGGTAACTTATTTCTTGCAATGGACGTTAAAATAAGAACAAGAATTCACGTGATTGTTTACTTGTCCGAAACGGCGAAACCTATAGTGTTGCGTTGTTTATAAGATGTTTAAGCGAAGTTTAAGTATCAACAAAGTGACCGAACATAAGAACATATCTATTGTATCTCTAAACTAGAAAAGTTTCTCTGAATCTATCCAGTTTTAACGGAATTTTCGGACGGACTAAATCGGAGCTTTATCTAGTGGTTGACCAAAATACAAGATGATACTCTTTTCATTGGGCAATGTTACGTAATAAGGTTTGTTGATAAAAGGCCCATAAAAGAACCAACTTAAATAAAATATAAGCCCATAAAGGCCCAACTAAACCCTAACTTTAAATCCACCGACGCATGTATAAATAGCCAAGAGACACCCCCACCCTTTTCATATTCGTCTCCCCTCTCATCCGACTCTGCAACTCGGGTAAAGTAAACTACTAGCCTCCTATTATCATCTCATGTTCCATTATTTTGTTAATTTGAAATATTAACTTCGTTTCTTCTTTCTCAATCCTCATTCCTTAAACTTTTATACCATTTCCTGTTATCTCTTGATTTCAAAGTTATAATTTTTAGAGGCGGTGATGACAAAAAACATTTCTCGATGCTGAAACTTACTCGAGGGACCAAACCACTCTTGTAATCTTTCATGATGCTTGTTTTTATGCGTGTCTGAGCCTACAAATCTTTGTTAATTTGTTTTTTTTTTTGTAATGTTTTTTCTCATTTATGATTTGATTATCCTAGATCCCGATTTATGCTTGAAATTGTTTTTCAATTTCTAATTAGAGTTTTGCTTCATTTTTTTCTGTCTGATCATAATCGAAGACATGGAAGAAGCAGATCAGTTATGTTTAGCTGCTAAATCCGGCGACTTGAAAATGGTTGAATCTTTAATAAACTCCGGCGCCGACGTTACACATTTTGACAACGACGGTCTTACGCCGTTAATGCACGCCGCTAAAATCGGAAACGCTGAGATAGTAACGGCCTTACTCGAATCCGGAGCTCCATGGAACGCATTGTCTCCATCAAATCTCTCAGCAGGAGATTTCGCAATGGAAGAAGGACACCAAGAAACCTTCGATCTACTTCTCAAAACAGGAATCCAATCAGAGTTGATCTTAGGAACAATCGCAAGAAACCAAACCAAGAACGAATACTCTAATCAAGATTATCTTCAAGATCGAGTTAGTTTCAGTGAAGACAAGTTAATGGATAGTGAAAGCAAAGGTGTGATGATGGCTTGGGAAAAACCATTAATGGAAGCTCACGCTAAAGCTATTTGTATCAATGGTGGTCACATTCTAAACGTTGGATTCGGTATGGGACTTGTCGATACAGCGATACAACGATACAATCCGGTTAAACATACGATCATTGAAGCTCATGCTGAAGTTTATAAGCGTATGATAGAATCTGGTTGGGGAGAGAAAGAGAATGTGAAGATTGTTTTTGGAAGATGGCAAGATGTTCTTGATAAGCTTGATGATGATTCGTTTGATGGTATCTTCTTTGATACTTATGGTGAGTATTATGAAGATTTGAGAGAGTTTCATCAACATCTTCCGAGGTTGTTGAAGCCTGATGGGGTTTATTCGTATTTTAATGGGTTTTGTGGGAGCAATGCGTTTTTTCATGTTGTGTATTGCAATTTGGTGACTTTGGAGATTGAGAATTTAGGGTTTAGCACTCAGTTGATTCCATTGCCGGTTAAGGATTGCCTTGGGGATGAAGTTTGGGAAGGTGTCAAGCAAAAGTATTGGCAGCTTGATACTTATTATCTCCCTGTTTGTCAGTTTAGTGACTGAAGAAGTTTTATGAAATTCAGCAATCTTGTGATATTGTAATTTTTTTTGTTCTCATAAAAATTAGAGCTTTTTTCAAATTAGTGTCACTGAATTGAAGTAGAATCTACAAGATTTCAGACATATCTTTGAACCTATATTTATGACAACCAAATGTTAACAGTAATAAGATCTCATAGTCATGTGATGGGATCCAAGAGCCAAACTAGCTCTGTTACAAAGATCAAATAAAATGTCCTGATTAAAACATGTTATGCAGAAGCTTCAGGTTTTCTACGTTGTCTAAATAGGTGAAGACATAGTTACCCCCACATGCTTCAATTCCTTGTATTGCAACTCTTATGATCGTTTGCTTGTCAATATTGTAGTAGAATACGTAGAAAGGCGCAGTGTGATTGAACGGGGACAAGTGGACAACACAATTTCATTTGTCGGAGTTACTCCAACAAAACGTAAATAAGTCTTTCCAACTATATCCCGCCACATAGCGGGCAATACATATGTATGCTTCGACCATTCTTGCTTTTCCGCTTCTTGAAGAATCCACAACTCAACACTTGCACTACTTCCATTAACATAGAAATCCCTTTAGAAACAAGTGAACCTAAACCAAAGTTGAAGTGCAACGATTAAGCCATATGACTTGGTCTTTTCTTTTTATTTTATTTAGTTGCAAATAAACAGCGGGTGATTTGGTTGCCTAAGTTTTAGGAGAAGAGTTACGTTTCCTTTCTACACTGTTATTCGTTCCGGTTTTTGCTAGTGAAAATACTCATCCAAATAATATAAGGACAGTAAAAGTACATAGCATAATAAAAGTACATATATAGCATAAGATCCCATAGTCTTGTGATAGGAACCAAGAGCCAGACTAATTCTGTTACAAAGATCTCAAGAAACAAAAGTACTAATTAAAATATGTTATGCAGAAGCTTCACGTTTTCTACATGGTCTAGATAGGTGAAGACTATGTGACCCTGAAACGCTTCCATTCCTTCTATTGCAACTCTTATCATTGTCTTTTTCTCAATATTGAAGTAGAAGACGTCGAAAGGCACTGTTTGATAGCACGGCGACAACATAATTTCGTTTGTACGAGTCACTCCAACAAAGCGTAAATCGAGGGTTCCAACCATATCCTGCCACCAAGCGGGTAATACGTATGTAAGCTTCGACCATTCCTGCTTTTCAGCATCTTGTAGAACCCACAACTCGATAGTTTTACTACGTCCATCAACAAAGCAATCCCTTTCAGAAACAAGAGAAGCTAATTTACCATTGTAGTTTATCAATTCTCCATCATGCGCTGCTTTAATGAACTCTTCCATGACAGTAATAAATCTAAACTTCTCGGACCTAGCATCGAAGCAAACGATAATGTAATCGTCTGAAGACAAATCGATCGCTGGATAATACAAAACACCATTGATGCATATCTCAGACATTCCAGGAATATGAGGTATGGAACATTTAATCATTCTCCATGACAGTTCTCCACTTCCTAAGGTCAGAACTTGATGCTCCTCACTTTCATATGACAACAATACCTTGAACTGTTTCTCAACCGGTTCATACACGAGAAAGCTCATCGCCCCAATACTCGTCATTGGTTTAGGTAAGTTTAAGGTTTGTCCAGTGCTAGGATTACATATCACTGTCACTGTTTCGTTCGTTTCCTTTTGTGTAAGACAGATCAAGCCATTGACAGGATTGGAAATGTGAGAGCAAAAGGAGAAATTCATAAGAGAATTGGCGGACGAGTTCTCATAAGGATTTTGAAGCTGAGGTGACGAGAAGAAGAACAAGTTACCATCTTTTTTCCAGGAGAACAAAAGTTGCGGGCGATGCAAAGATCTGGTCAAGAACAACTCCGTGAAATCTTCACGGCAAATTACGGAGCCCCAAAGCTTCGACACGCAACGACATGTAGCTATAGATTTCGCGGGCAATCTCAATAGTATCTCGATAATGATATCAACTGGGATCTGGACTGAGTTTTTTTCTATTCCATTCGGTGAGGTCTTCTTCTTCGTACTGCGCCGGCAGATTGTAAGAAGATTCTCCGCAACATTTCTCCGCCGTCTTCTCATGGCGGATACACCGACGGTTAAAACCCTAGAGAGTGAGTGAGAGCTGTTGTAGAAGACGAACCAATTTGGGGGAAAATGAGAAAATCGCGAATACTTGTTTTAATGGACTTGGATTTGAATTGGGCTTTTAAAATAAATATTGGGCTTATTACTAATACGACGTCGGCTAAGTTCTCGGTCCTTTCTTCGCCACGTGTTTTATTATTCTCGTCTTCTCCAATTTGTTCCATTAGAAAAATTAAAAAGCTTTATGATTTTGGTTTCTGATTCACCAATGGCGATTCTCTCTCTACGATCTTCAAGCTCCTTACCACTCATTTGTTCCACAATTTCTCCTATGTGCTTGAAACCCCTGTCTCAATTACCATCGAATTTCTCAACGTCGATTGCTTCTGTTCCTTTCACCAAATTAAAATCCAGTTACAGTTCCGTTTCACCGATTAGTAGACCCCGTATGGTTTCCGCGAGAGCTGCCACTGAGTCCATCACTGATTACAGAGAAGATATCGGCGAGATTCTCGGAGATGTCTCCATCTTTACTGCTTCAGGCCAACGTGTGCAATTCAGTGATCTCTGGGATCAGAAAGATGTATGTTACAATGCTTATGAAGAAGACTTCTTTTGATTCTTTCGGATTTTTGCGTTTGATTTGTGTTTTTTTTTTTTTTTTTTGTACACAGGGAATTGCTGCCGTTGTACTTTTGAGGCATTTCGGATGCGTTTGCTGGTAAATTTGATTCAAAACACTTGGGGAAATTTTCTAAAGTTAAGGATTGTTGCAACACTAATGAATTGGTTCTTTTATATGAAAGTTGGGAACTTGCTACTGCTTTGAAAGAGGCTAAACCGAGATTTGATGCGGCTGGTGTTAAATTGATTGCTGTTGGTGTTGGAACTCCTGATAAGGCTCGTATACTTGCTACTCGGGTAATCTTTCTCCGTTTTCTTCGATATATATATACCAACTTACTAAGTTCGTGGATATGTTTTCTTGGGATGTACGTTATGTTGGCTTGTTCATTGGGTTGCTTCCTTGAACTCTCACGATAAGAAGTTCCCAGAAAACAACATGTCTCTTTTCTGAAAAACCTTTTGAACTTTTCAAGAGAAGAACTTGCTTTTTATTTATGCTATGTTCTAGTGGTTTTCCTCTCTGATGATATGTGCATTTAGTAGTACTCTGTTTTCTAGCCATGAGTCGAGGATGAGATCAAACCGAGTCTTCTCCATATCTCTCAGTCTATCTCACTTTCACATTGCATGTACAAAGACCAAACATTAGTTAGTTGTATCACTTATGGTTATGGGCTTTTTGAGTTTGTTTGGTGTCATTGTTAATTAAAAAATCAGACTAAGATTGGGCTGAGTTGTGTGAGATTGTTCTCAAGCTCTTTAGTGATACAATTTAGTCGAAGTAATTGTTCATTGCTTGGTCTTTGCAAAATCTGCAACACGAACATGGGAAGAGGGTGAGAGATCGAGAGATATAGGGAGGATTTAGCTTGATTTCATCGTGCATTCAAGCTCATTCTCATGGCTTTATATAGTGTACTTTTGGAGGCTCATAACATAGGATCAGAAATACCAAAAAGCATAGCATAAACCAAAATAGCAAGTTCCAACTTCCCAGAGAAGTCCTTGTATTATGGGAGCTTTTGCTGTAGTAAATCCCAAAATCTAGAAAGGTGACAGGGAAATAAACTTAAAAGAAACTGAGTAAATTCGACTCAACACCGCATGCTATATTGTTTAACCGAGATACTGAGTCTAGATTGTTTCCATGTTTTAATTAGTTACCTTTTCCCATGGAATGTCTTTATGCGGATCCTGAACGCAAGGTAACACAAAACAAACATACCTTGTTTTCAAGATATATTTTATTTTGAAATGGTGATTGAAGTTTTGAGAGGGATATTCGTAAACATGCAGGCATATGATGTTCTTGGTTTATACTATGGTTTAGGCCGGACTTTCTTCAATCCAGCTAGCGTATGAACCGCCTCAAACATTTTTACGGTTTAATTGTATATACTATTTTCACATCGAAACATGATAGAACTTTGATTACTGCAGACCAAGGTCTTCTCAAGATTTAACGAGATTCGAGAAGCTACAAAGAATTACACCATAGAAGCCACTCCTGAAGACAGAAGCAGTGTGTTGCAACAGGTTTTTGTTTTGTTTTGTTGTGTTTAGTTCTTCCCAAGACAAGATATCTGCTTTTATTTTTGGTTTGATCCTTTTTTCTGTCTTCTTCCCAGGGAGGTACGTTTGTGTTCAGAGGCAAGAAACTGTTGTACGGTCGAAAAGACGAAGGCACTGGAGATCATCCATCTCTGGATGATGTCATCAATGTCTGCTGCAAAGCCACTGTTGCTTGAAACATATTGGATCAAAGTCTCTTCTGGTTTGTCTTGATACTTAAAATCACTGTATATTTGTAGCTATGAAATAGTGTCTATATTTCATAAGTTTTGGATAATGTATCAACACTCAGAAGTAAGAGCAACATATGCCCAAGTCCAATCTCTCTCATATGTAGATTATTCGCCGGATCTTCTAAGCTCATTTAGATTTGCTAAGATGTCGACAATTCATTGAAACCACACAAGTCTTTTCTAATGTAAGACAAGACAAGTGTTTGGTTTGTTATTAGAAAATGTGTTTGTATTTATTTGAACTCTGCACTACCCCTTGAAATAACTTGTGGATATATCACCACATGTTTATAATACTGTATAAAGTTGATTTCAAACATATCTCTAAGTACGTCTTAGACATTTAACATTTGTGATATGAATCTTCTTTCTAATAGTATTTAACTATTTATGTTGGAGAAAGAAAGAAGAAGAAGGAATGAATAATATCACAGCGCTACGAATCATACGATTATAATACTGAATTCAATACCTTATGCCATAATGTAGTCAAACAATTATAAGAAAATTACGAATGCGGTGTGACATGACTAAGCATAAACATCTTGGTCTATTCCATATAAACTATTTTAAAGGCTGAAAACGATTAAAACGCAAATCTTGAAAATGACTATTGTATTTGTATCGTATAATACAAAATTTCGTAATTAAATCAATTTTTAATCCCAAATGGACAAATACTTATCTAACAAATCTCTATAATGCGCACAGCCCAAGACTCTACTCTACTAACGTGCGCATTAATACCCGGCCAAAGAAGAAGACGATTACTCCACAAGCAAAAAACTTCACTTTTTGTATTTGTTAACACTCACGTGAAAGCTTCGTTCTTCTTCAACCTTTTGAACAATCTCTCCGATGCCAGTAAATCACCGGTTACTCTTCCTCCTCTTCCTTCTAAGTTTCGAAACGGCACAGCGTTTAGTCACCGGTGACCCAAACGACGAAGCGTGCTTGACGAATCTCCGTCAGAGCTTAGAAGATCCGGCGAATAATCTCCGTAACTGGACTAAATCCTTCTTCTCAAATCCTTGCTCCGGTTTCTCTTCTTATCTCCACGGAGTCATTTGCAACAATGGCAGAATTTACAAACTCTCCTTAACAAATCTCTCTCTCCGTGGCTCAATCTCTCCGTTTCTCTCTAATTGCACAAATCTCCAATCCCTAGATCTATCTTCAAACCAGATCTCCGGCGAGATCCCGCCGCAATTACAGTTTCTCGTTAACCTCGCCGTTCTTAATCTCTCTTCTAATCGTCTCTCCGGTCAAATCTCACCACAACTCGCTCTCTGCGCTTACTTAAACGTCATCGATCTTCACGATAACCAACTCTCCGGCCAAATTCCGTATCAGTTCGGGCTTCTCGCGAGATTATCGGCGTTTGATGTCTCTAACAACAAATTATCCGGTCAGATTCCGTCGAATCTGGCGATGCGAAACGGAAACTTGCCGAGATTTAATGCGAGTTCGTTTATAGGGAACAAGAAATTGTTTGGGTATCCGTTGGAGGAGATGAAGAACAAAGGATTGTCGATAATGGCGATTGTTGGGATTGGACTTGGAAGTGGAATCGCGAGCTTAGTGATTAGCTTCACTGGAGTCTGTATATGGTTGAAGATTACAGAGAAGAAGATGGAGGAAGAAGAAGGAAAGATTAGTCACTCAATGCCTGTTTACTAAATATCATTAACGGTTTCTTTTGATCACATAATTAGGTTTTTTTTTCCATTTTTATCAGAAAGCTAAAGATATAAACAATATGGAGGATTCATTAAGCGAATTTACGGTTAACTAATGTACTTTGAATGATCATATATGTATATGTTTGGTTATTTTTGGGTATATTATCTATATCAACAAAAACACAAGATTTATGCATGAGCTACTAAAAGTGTAATTTGTAATAAACTGTAATGGGATTGGCTTTGGACCTGTGGCTGATTTGGATATGTTGGTGGATGGTCCAATTAAAAAAACGTTGCGCTTAGTCATCGTGACATCATTTATTTAAGGGCAATATAGTAATTAACGGAACTGTCGCGCCGTTAGTTAGTCAAACCCCTGCTTCGAGAACTTAAAATTTTATTCATCAAGTACGATTATGACCCCACATTATTATGTGCCGATTCTGCTGGAAAATAATATTTAAATAACTCATCTGGTTGCCTATGGCGCAAATTACATTAACAGGCCCGAATGAGCCCTGAATTAAGCCCATTAAAACATCTGCCCTAGGTCCGAATTCTTATTTTATCTAAACGACAGCGTTTTAAGCCTCGTTAATTGTGGCGGACAAGAAAATGCCAGAAGCCGATGACAACAATTCATAAATGCTACCGTTTACGAGATGCATAGATTCTCTCCCATAGTCGAGTTTTTTCTCAGCAAGCACCAATTTTTCTTACTTTCTTCTCAGTTTAAGTCTCGCTTTGACTTGATTCACAGAAGTCTTCACGTTTCTAGAGCTCTCGAAGATAATTTCCGGAGAAGTAACGGGATTGGCATGGTTTGTCTCGAGAAGAGCCACAACCACAACGAGCGTACCAAAAACTCCAAGTACGATGAATTCGCGAGTGATGTCGAGAAAGCATACAGGATTTTGCGGAAATTTCATTCTAGGGTTCCGAAGTTGGAACTCGCGCTTAATGAATCTGGAGTTGAACTCCGACCCGGGTTAATCGAACGGGTACTGAATCGTTGTGGGGATGCTGGGAATTTAGGTTACAGATTCTTCGTCTGGGCGGCGAAGCAACCTCGTTATTGTCACAGCATCGAAGTGTATAAATCAATGGTGAAAATTCTAAGTAAGATGCGTCAATTTGGAGCTGTTTGGGGTTTAATCGAAGAAATGAGGAAGGAGAATCCGCAGTTGATTGAACCGGAATTGTTTGTGGTTTTGGTCCAGAGGTTTGCGTCTGCGGATATGGTGAAGAAAGCCATTGAGGTGCTCGACGAAATGCCAAAGTTTGGTTTAGAGCCAGACGAGTATGTATTCGGGTGTTTGCTAGATGCGTTATGTAAGCATGGTAGTGTTAAGGATGCTGCAAAGCTTTTCGAGGATATGAGATTGCGGTTTCCGGTGAATTTGAGATATTTTACTTCGTTGTTGTATGGTTGGTGCAGGGAAGGGAAGATGATGGAAGCTAAATATGTTTTGGTTCAGATGAAGGAAGCTGGGTTTGAGCCAGATATTGTTGATTACACCAACTTGTTAAGTGGGTATGCTAATGCTGGTAAAATTGCTGATGCTTATGATCTTTTGAAAGATATGAGAAGAAGAGGGTTTGAACCGAATGCGAATTGTTACACGGTTTTGATTCAAGCATTGTGTAAGGTAGATAGAATGGAGGAGGCAATGAAGGTATTTGTTGAGATGGAGAGGTATGAATGTGAGGCTGATGTTGTGACTTACACTGCATTAGTTAGTGGGTTTTGCAAATGGGGAAACATCGATAAGTGTGATCTAGTTTTAGACGATATGATAAAAAAGGGGCTCATGCCTTCTCAACTCACCTATATGCATATCATGGCAGCTCATGAGAAAAAGGAAAAACTTGTAGAGTGTTTGGAGCTGATGGAGAAGATGAAGCAGATAGAGTATCATCCCGATATTGGCATTTACAATGTCGTCATCAGATTGGCTTGTAAGTTGGGAGAAGTAAAGGAAGCTGTTAGATTATGGAACGAAATGGAAGGGAACGGTTTGAGTCCTAGAGCAGATACGTTTGTTATTATTATCAATGGATTAACAAGCCAAGGTTGTTTACTCGAAGCCTGTGATCACTTTAAAGAAATGGTAGCTCGAGGATTGTTCTCCGTTCCTCAATATGGAACTCTGAAGTTATTGCTAAATACCCTTTTAAAAGACAAGAAGCTCGAAATGGCAAAAGATGTTTGGAGTTGCATCACAAGTAAAGGCTCTTGCGAGCTGAGTGTATCATCCTGGACAATATGGATCCATGCCTTGTTCTCAAAAGGTTATGAAAAGGAGGCGTGTTCTTATTGTCTTGAAATGATAGAGATGGAGTTCATGCCACAACCAGACACATTTGCTAAACTTATGAAGGGATTGAAGAAATTGTATAATAGAGAATTCGCTGTCGAGATTACAGAGAAGGTGAGAAACATGGCAGCTGAGAGAGAGATGAGTTTTAAGATGTATAAGAGAAGAGGAGTGCAAGATTTGACTGAGAAAGCTAAATCTAAACAAGATGGAGAAGGGAAGAAGAAGCAGAGCACTCGATAAAGCCTTTTTTTTTTGTTGAGTCTTCATACACTGCATGTTGTTTTTTTGAAGCTTGCAACTTGCAAGTGTCGGCAAAACGGCAAGAAGTCAATGTGTTAGTTAAATGCGCAGAACTAAAACGATAGCGTTTTAGGAGCAGCGCACTCCCGTAATAATAACACTAGCCACTAGGGACGAAGCTTTCGTTTAGTAAAATTTAGCTTAGAACACAGACAGAAGCACTTTCTCGGATCTGAGATCTTTAGATCCGAACATCGTTTATTTCAAATTGTTGATTCATTTCAAGGTATGTATATTTTTAATCTTCCTCTTCGAATTCTTCAGTATTGTTTTTGGGTTTCTTTCATTTTCCGCTTACTGATTTTTCGTAGAGTGAATCCTCAGTTTCATGGATCTATCCATGGTATTGATTTTTTTCTGTGCATTTATGCTCTGCTTGCTGCTAGTATGTTACTGAAATGGTACAATGAATTTGAACGAAATCTGTTTTGGTAATTTGTATTCCTGATTCATGGATCTGTTTTTTTTTTTATATATATAAATTGATTCCATATCTGGTAAATTTTTTGATGCATTAATGATTATTGCATCACCGAACGAAAAATCAAAGTTTTGAATTTTGTCGGTAATTCAGAGAATGGCGTTTATTCTAGCTCGTACTTGGTAGTGTTTTTGGTGGTTTTGGAGATGAATCTATTCTAATGTCTATTTTGTTTTGAAGGTCTTAAAAAAAGTTTTTGAGGGATCTCAGCCATGTCAAGAAGGCAAGTAAGGCGTGTAGGAGATAGTGGAAGCTTCCCATTTGTAGGAGCTTTGCATTCGAAATCGCGTTCGTCTCCTTTGTTATCTGTTTGCCTTGTTCTCGTGGTATGATGATTTGTGCGTTGTTGTAAATCTCTAAGTAATTCGTTTCATATGATACAGATTGATGTAATCCTTTTTATTTTCCAGGGAGCATGTCTTCTCATTGGTTATGCTTACAGTGGTCCAGGTGTGTATTATCTTCAACTAAGTATATAACATTCATGTCTTTTTGCTTGTGGTTTCGATTTGAAAGCCCTAATGGACAATTCATGTGTATTACAGGTATGTTCAAAAGTATAAGAGAAGTCAGCAAGATCACAGGTAATTCTTGTTTCTCATATTTAATACAAGTGTTTACGATAGTGTTCAAACAGTGGTGAATTTCAAAATTAACCTGCAAGAATGCATTACACTTGACATTAACTGTCAATTTTTGTTTAACAACTCTGTACAGGTGACTATTCTTGCACAGCAGAAGTTCATAGAGCTATTCCTGTTCTTAAGAGTGCGTATGGAGACAGCATGCGCAAAGTCCTGCACGTGGGTCCTGAAACATGCTCAGTCGTCTCGAGTCTGTTGAATGAAGAAGAGACGGAAGCATGGGGTGTTGAACCATATGATGTGGAGGATGCAGATTCTAACTGCAAAAGTCTTTTGCACAAAGGCCTTGTACGTGTGGCTGACATCAAATTCCCTCTGCCTTACCGGTCTAAGTCGTTTTCTCTTGTGATCGTCTCAGACGCATTGGATTACCTCTCACCCAGGTACCTGAACAAAACCGTGCCTGAACTTGCACGGGTTGCTTCAGATGGTGTCGTTCTTTTTGCAGGTAACTAAAACCAAACCCTTAAGAGAAAACCGAGACTAAGAGATGTAAATTCGGACTGACTACACTTGATCTTCTTCATCTAACATAGGTAACCCTGGTCAACAAAAGGCTAAAGGTGCGGAATTGTCTAAATTTGGACGACCGGTAAGTACACTAAAACCATGTTCTTGTCATGAATGAAACCACACATTACATTCATCAATTCAGAGATGTGGGTTAGGTTTATTATACATGTCCTGTTTGCTAACTTGTTGCAATTCCAATGTCTTGCAGGCTAAAATGCGTAGCTCGTCGTGGTGGATCCGTTTCTTCTCACAGACGAACTTAGAGGAAAACGAAGCAGCAAGCAAGAAATTCGAACAAGCAGCTTCCAAGAGTTCGTACAAACCAGCTTGTCAAGTTTTCCACCTCAAGCCATTACATTAGAACACTATTATTACTGGTCCTCAAACTTGAAACCAGATATATCTCCTCTCTGTTTAATACATTTTTTCACTATAGAAAGAAACAAAACTCCCACAAATTGTAACCCATTCTCAACGATTTGATTCATAATTTAACTATTTAATAAATTAGCCTGCATTTCTATGATATAAGGCTTCAACATCATCTGATAGAATCTAGTTCTCTATAGTCCGCCAGATGAATGGTCGGTTAATCAAATTGAGATAAAATAGTCATGAATATTATTAGTATGTTAACGAAAATAGTAGATTAATAACAGCTAAAATACAATTTTGGGCATTGTGCAATTCATTTTGGGTCATTGAAGTGTATCACTGTTTCTACTTTCTCGCATTTGATGTTTTTCGTCTAAGGTTGGAGAAGGCTTGATGCAACTTTACAAGTCGAGAAGAGGCCCTTTTTATTTGATTTGGTTGATACGGGCCCAAGCCTAATAAAAAATTTCCTACGTTAGTGTAATTCATTTTGGGCATTGTGTAATTCATTTTGGGTCATTGAAGTGTATACACTTTTTTTGGTCGAATACACTTTTTTTGGTCGACCAAAAAAAACAAATCACTGGTTTGTTGAGCCGAAATACAGAGTAATCTTATGATATGTAACCTATATAGCTGCTAAAAGAGTCGTTTTCCAATCTATAATTGGTTTCAAATTTTGGGAACCATTTGCCAAAAAGGAAAAAACATTCAAACAAAATACAGCACAGATTTATAAACATGGAAAAGGATAGGGAGAGAGACAAATACGAAATGGTGTAAAGACATAAACATAAGTTGACCATACTGTTTGTTAACTTGGTATCCAATGCAGGTGGGATTTTTTGTTTTCCTTTTTTTTTTTTGTTGTTGTCTAGTTTGCTTGGATTATGACCTACCCAATTGTCATATACAACATATCATTTATTTTGGATCAAGCCTCTTTCATGATTTTAAGCCTTTCAATTCTGGATTTTTCTGTGAAACCGTGAAATCTCAAACCGAAACATAAACTTATTTCCATTGCATATAGAACACCGTGTTTTTCTTCTTCTTTTTGTTAGCGTGTTAATGTACATATATGAGTACCATTGTTATATATAATGACACAAGACTATACATAATGAGGTTTTGAGAGAGTGTTAAATGGGACCTACGTTTTCAATTCTTGGAACATGAATAGTGGAAATTAAGAAAAACAAAAAATCAAAAAAGAGAAAGATCACGATGGTTGTCACAAAATGTTGTTGATGATGTAGGGACTTGGGGTGGGTAGGGTCGTATAACCTATACTTTTCACATGCATTCTTAAACCCTATTTCTACTGCATCTCCATGTGCCTCCCCTCACGTCTCTCTACCTTCTCTCTCTCCCTCTCTCTATCTGTTTTTTTTTTTAATCAATTACAATAGAAATAAAATATATACAGAATTTCCCCCAATTGCATCATATCTTTAACCATCTAAACCAAGTTTGAAGTGAATTTTGCATATATACAGTCCAAACTTCGTCAATTCTATTAAAGTTCGTTATTTTTTCTCTTTGTGAAAAATATCGCGATTATTAGTTTAAAAGAAAATTCTTTATCAAAATAGTACAGGAAATATTTTCTAAATTAATTTACTTCTTTGTGATTATTTTAATTTTATAAAATCATATTGTTGAGACAGTAGTATACTATTGTTTTATGTATCAGTTGGCATATTTTAGCACAAGTGCTTTTTTTCTTGATTATTTTCTATTGTATATAAATATAAAATAGAGAATTTTATAACAACCATATATAAAAATAAAACGTCATTTTTCAAAATATAGAATCTAAAAATGCTATATGGTATTAATTATCCAATTATATGATTGCATTTATGAGTTGATATGATATCTTTTGGTTGTTTCATAAAACAGAATCAAGAATAAAATGATCAATACCGAAATATATATATTGGCTTCATCATCAAATATTATTTCACATGTGATTCTCCAATGAGTCGTATTGGATTGTATCATTATTAAGAGTTGTTATACGAGGACCCATTTTTATCGCAGAAATCAAATCAATTTGAGCTTTTTAAAATCTACAAAAATAATCTGAGAAAATCGCAACGTCTCATTAATTATTAAAAAAATACTTGTGTATTCGATTTTGAAATGATAACGATTTTGAAACAATGATGTGTTTTTTTTGTTAGTTAAGAGACAACAAAAAATGTTATAACTACCAAAGAATATTCCAGTTAAGTTAGTTAATAGTTGGAGTCAAACTTAAATCGAATAACGTCGCCTAAAAATCTGGGGGTATAGGTTATAACCAACGGCTACCAACATTGGCTTCGATATATCGTCCACCTGATTTTTTATGTTAATATAACTCAATTTGATGGGTTAAATATTATGTTTTTATACTAATCATTCTAGGTCCAAAACAATGAATCACTCAATCAAATCAATTTTTTTAAAAAATCCCATGTTTCAAGAAATATTTGTAGCTTATTTTAGATAAAACTTTCGAATTTATATAATAAAAAATATGTTTATTTTTTTAATGTGTATATATTTAAAAAAAATCCGGATCATGAAGATAACAACTAAAGACTCATTTCTACTAGTAGGCAAATTTTATTCTACAATATTTTTCTTGTGTTCATGTTTTTATTATGATAACCATCCAAACTCATTATTTCACCCATGATCAAAGTAACTATATCTGCAACAATATCTGGCTCTACATTTGTATTTACATAAACTGCGGACCAACACAATTATGCTAAAACATCATCATTTATTCTATTGATATATATCAGAGATCAATATAATGTAACTGTACGTCAATGAATACCGCATAATTCACATGAAAATTATAACTCTGGTTAATCTGTCAATAAGTACAAGACTGAAAACATACTGGTCAGTAAAAAACATATTTTGTATGTATACGATCCCACCAAATAAAGAAGTTGTTGTCAATGAATAGATGGAAGAAAAAAATTTGGCGGACCAAGACATTTGGGACTACTAGAGTTTAGGGAGCACAAATGGTCCTATTTGACTTACCCTCTACC